CACTGATGTTCATTAACTTTGTAAAATAATCAGTTTAGTAATCAGTCAATTTACTGTTTACATTTAGTTCCTAATTTATTTTTTACGTTAAAGTTTATTCTGTTGTTATTTGTTTACTTGTGTACTGAGAAGTTCCACATGTGGTTCTACATGATGCTCAAAAAGTTCCTTTTTACCTACTTTTCCAACTCAAGTTGTCCTTTCCTCCTTCCACCCTTTCTTTTGTCCTTTCGTCTTTCCTTCTTTGTCTTTTCCTCCTTCCTTCCTTTCGTTCATTCCTTCCACCCTTCAGTCCTTCCATCCTTTCTTCCTTCCTTCTTATGTCTTTCTTTTTTTCCTTCCTTCCTTCCTTCTTACCTTCCTCCCTTCCTTCTGTCTGTCTTTCCTACCATTCCTCCCATCTTCTTTGTTTCTGTCGTTCCTTTCTTCCTGCCTCCCTCTTTTCCTGCCTTGCTCCCTTTCTTCCTTCCTTTCTTCCATTCCTCCTACCTCAATCGTTCAGTCGTTCATGTACTGTTGCCATCTCCTGTTGCCTGTCCCCTTAAAGAATAAAGACGTGGTTGTGTTGTATATATTGATTTCCTGTCGTTTACCCTGGTGGTACAGCTAGGATGGTGTTGATTTTTAAACCTGAGATTATAATCAATGCTGACAGAGTGGCTGTGTTTCTGTCTGAGGGCAGAAACGGCCCCCCGTCCCCTTCTCTGTTTTTGAATAGAGGGCGGCTGATGCTCAACTGAGGTCTTAGTAGGATTGTTAGAAGAATGTGGAGTACAGAAGGTTAACCCCCTGACAAATACCTAACCATATCCTGCCTTAGGCAGAGACTGAGAACCGTATGCCCTGGAATCAAGGCCATGTGCTGTTCTGATTAAAACTGCAATCAATATCAATGTGTTTAGACCTACACAGCCTTTATAGCTCTAATAATGTAAATAGAAAATAGAATAAAAATCTATACAAATAAAATCTATAAAAATAAGCACAAGCTGAAATTAAACGAATGAGATTCAGTAGGAAGCTTTACAAAGTGACCTTAACTACAAAATCAGAACTGAAGTTGATCACCACACATCTCATACCACTTGATGCCATGTGACGTGACAGCTGTACAGATACACTTTTCTGACATGAAACAAAACCCTTTCTTCTCCCTATATTAACAGTTGCCTGTTCTATCGCAAGGCCTTTGGTGATGCTTATATTGTAGTTTAGGCAATGATTTTTGTGATTTAAGAAAAGATGAAGCTTCCAAATATTAAATAGAGAACCAAATACTTAAGTATTTAAATTATGTAGGTCAGCCCTAGTTTTGACCTCAAAGCTGTGGTATTTCATCACATGCTTTAGGGCTATATATAATCTACTCTAGTCTATAGAAGAATGCAGAGAGAGCGGAGGCACACTGCAGTGTTGAGGTATGCTAGAGACCCAGCATGTCTTGCATAGAGTACATGCCAATGTCCATGAGCCCCTGATCACAGGCAGTTGCAGCATGTGGCTAAGCTGTGCCAGATCCAGTTTCAACGAAAACCGAGAAGCATTAAGGCTCTTCGTGATCAGCCGAGCATGTTGTTTGCCCACTGGACAGATGTCTTCCACACATATGAAACTGTCTTTATGTGCTAGGTAGTCAGTTTAAAGGTCAGAGGTGTCCCTGTGATGTTGTCTCCAAGAAAACATCTTGGGCTGTCATGTCTGTTTGTGTTTCTTTTAGGGCTGTCAAGATTACTTAGTGGGGAAAAAAAGAATTGCCTTATCGATGAATTAGCAATGATTAGTTGGCAGTTTGCGTAATGATAATGCATGTTGTAAACAGAGCTTGATGGACATATCCATTTAAATGCATTTTTGCTGTGTTTTTATATTTTCCATGTCTTTATAAAAGCTTCCTAGTTCATCTTTTTCCAATATAATGTTTTGTAATATATTTTATAATATTTTTTGCATTGGTTATTGTTGAGGTGTAATCATACACACATATTATTTTTAATGTTTGATACAATTTCCGTTTTTTCTTACAAATAAGTCCCAAAAATGGAACTATCATCAGTAAGTTCAAGTCCAGTGACAACCCTAACTTCAGTATTACTGTTTTCAGTGTCTCTTGTACTTGAGTCAGTTGATTGCTGTTGGTGTCTCTTTTTCTGCTGATGGAGTAATTGTGAGAGGGAGATAATAATAAGACACGGAGGAAAGACGCTTTGTCTGCTTTCCTGAGGCTGTCATTTTCCTCTGTAGGATTTGGAACAGACTCGCAGCATCACAGCCTTTTCTTGCTCACATGGCAGCGTCATCCACCCACCAACCCCATTTACACTGAACCCAGCAACCTGCATGACTCGCAGTAACACACTCACTCTTACCTGGCAGAGGGTGAGAGAGTGAGAGAGAGGAGAGATGACTGGGAGTGAGGTGGATTGTAGAGATTAAAAGGTTAAGATACAATATTATCACAATACGTGAGGCATGATGTGACTATTCAGCTTTGAAATGTAAAAATTGCTGTTTTTATATAAAGCACTTAATGTCTAAACGTAGACTCTTCAAAAATATGTGCATGTCTAAGCTCACTTGAGCAGAATGTTGCCTATACATATAGAATCATAAAAAACTATGTTTAGGATGCACAGTGCTTATCAGAACAATTAAATTCAATATAGTATTTGATATGTAGCACTTTTTACAACAGACATTGTCCCAAAGGAGCTTTGCAGAAATGAACCTTCTTAATAAAAGGGAGAGGGAGACTGCATCAGGAAAACCTAAGAGCATGAGGAAGAACCACTGAGAGGAACCAAGACTCAGAAGTGAAGCCCATCCTCCTGTCAGCCGCCCAAGATGCAGTTATCAACAAAGTAGGACACGCTTAGGAAGAAGACACAGAAGCTCTAGGATCACAGAGGAAAGGTTCAAGAGATAAACTCATGACTAATGTTAAAAGTCATAAAGAAGAGTTAGTTTTCGTTTGAAGCATACTGCTGACTTAATGACTGTGGCAGACATACAGGATATCAGATATGAGAACATGGTAGGGAAGGAGTTCAGTATGAGTGTAGGATTACAACTTCCAGAAAGTGGAGTTCATGAAGGTGTTGGCAGGCATTACATATCATGATAGCTGTTTGAGAGAAATGTAGTTCTCGTATATCCAGCATTTCTGTGCTTTTGATAGACTTAAATCCCCTATCTTTAACAACAACCTGATTGTCGAGATTAACATTAATTACATATGATTGTAGAGAATCATTCTCTATAACCTCTTTACTGTCTCAGGTGTCTCTAGTAATATACAATCTGAACACCATATAGTGTAAATCATACACAAGCTAAAAGTGCCGTAAAGGATCCTGATGAGTGATACAATTTTGGGTCCACAAAGATCATTTCAAAGGATGGTTCTTCAATGTAGTATTTAGGTAAATGAGATGTGTGAGTGTGAAGAACTTACGCTTGTTGAAAAGGTTCTTTCGCACTTGAGGTTTTACTTGCGCTGTACGTCCAAGCCAAGAAACATTAAGGAACCTTTGTTTTTAAGAATGGACTGTGGGATATGAGGACTGATATATTGTTAGTCATCACTGACTTTCTGTTACATTCAAAAGATTTTTAATATTGGATGGATCACAATTAGTTGACAATGTTTCATATACTTACAGGCTTCAAACTAATTATATAAACTTATTAAAGAAGGCTTGGAAATCTTAGTAGTAGTCCAAACAGATACTGTTTTGAAATGCAATGTGTAATTTGTTGTTCATATGTGAGTGACTATTGCCTTGCAAGTCCAAAAAGAAACTCCTGCAAACTGTTATTGTCACTCAGTTGTACTGTGGAAAGACACTGGAGAAATTCAGTCTGGCTATACAGTAAGAAGCTTGAGAGTAGGTCAGGCCAAGAGAGAGCTGTATGTTAAACCAAAGATAAGCTACAAGTTGTGGGAAAGTAGGTGAGTATGAAAGGTAGAAGGGGGAAATGTTATCTTTGGTGTTAAAGTGGAGCAGCAGATACAGGCTGTGTGCCCATGTACTAACACACACTTGCGCAGAGCGGTCCATAAAAGATGTTCCCACAGGATGGGAGATTTCCCCTCACTGACGTAGCTAAGAGACTGAGTACCTGAATATCTTTATCTCTATCACTATATATCACCACATCCCCCAAGCAGTATAATAAGTAGCCATTTTAAGGTTCGCCAGATTAGATTTAGAGCTTTCACAATTAATATAGAGTCCTCGATTAAATGACTCAATTAAAATGTGCATTCTGATTGAATTATTAAAATGATAAACAGGGTATCCACAGATCATTATAAAGCTGTGCTTAACAGACTGAAGAGGAGCTGTGAGCACTAAGATTGTTTTTGTGAGCACCACAGAACAAGAGGAAATGCGCACCAGCAGGATCTCACGAATGCATGTATGTTTGTAGTTACAAATTGCACACGCACACATAGTGTAGTTCAGTCTACTAGTTGTTACATATACTGGTATGTTGAAAGTCACCACTCTACTTTTGTTAGGGTGCTTCATCAGATCAGTGAAACAGTTCTGCTCCATATTGATAAGGCATGTGTGGGACAGTGGGGACAGTGACTCACGTGCTGCATAGCTTTGCTCGAGGTTATCTGTGGATGATAGAGCTGAAGCTTGTGCTGCTGTACTGTTTCTGTGCTATTTTGACCTGTTTAAATAAAGAGAGGCACAGTATAGAATTCACATAAATAATTCTGCTCAATATTGGTTGATGGCCCTTAGGACCATAATACCTAATTGATTCATGTATACTCAGACCAAGCAAACAAGCAAAATATATTGTGGTATTTAATCAGGTTTACTTACTGCTGTTCAAAGCTGTTAGGATATTACTTTTTGTTGCTTAATATTTGTGAGAGGTAGTATCTTCCAGTGTTTGATTATATTTATATTTGTGTTATGTTTGCAGTTTAACATGTTTTTTCTCTCTGTATTTCTTTCTTTCTCTCTCTTTTTTTCCCCCAGGAGTGTGTGGTTGTTGCTGTGGGGCTTTCAGACCCCGATACAAGAGACTCGTGGACAACATTTTCCCTGAAGATCCAGAGGTGAGAGATGATGCTGCCTTTTGTTCAGCACGTTGTACCTGTTGTTTCTCATTTACATTCCAGCTGGGTCTGCTCAAACACAGCTCCACCTTTGTCAGCCTGTAAAATCTGTTTGAGTTTGGATAAACAACTGCTACCAAATCACCTATTTATAGAACTGAATGACAGATATAATATGAACGTTATTAAAATGCAAAGAGGGAAATGAAAAATTGACAAACAGAAAGGCAGTTAAATAGAACTGAAAATAAAAGGCAAAAAAATATAGCACTGATTTCATTTAAATGAGATATTAAATATATGTGTTTAAGATGCTTTTTAAAAGTGCTAATTGCTCTCAGGTTTTCAGGTATTTGGGACGACCAGCAGATTGCTGTTTGATAAAATGAGTGGTCTTGCTGGAACATAATCAACAATCATTTTGCATTTGCAAGACATTTAAAATCGAATAAAATAATTTAAAATTAATTATATTGGATGTTATGGGAAAGCATGTAACATCATTAGCAGTGTAGCTGTCCACTGGTAAATGAAAAGTGGTGGGTGTGCATGATGTGATGCACTGTAGTGTGCTGAAGAACTAGGCCACCCCTTTTATGGGTTAAAAACAGCAGCCCCGCTCAGCGTAACTAAGGTAATCCCCTTAGCTGTGGAACATCTCTTATCTTCTGCACTCCAAGAGTGAGAGACACTCAATGTCTGTTTTTTCCTTCAAACATGATTATTTGGCTGGGTTTCACTTGCACCAACTTTTCATAAATGTCTTAAATTTTCTATATGTGATAATATTGTTTACTAAGTAAATCATTGGAGGGTAGTCATAATATGACCAGTACTTATGCCATGTAGTGACTTCACCATATAGTGAAATCATAAAATGTTAGACCCTTTTTTGACATTTTACTCACTGGCTTATAAGTCATTTTGGATATGCGCATTGTAGTAACAATAAAATTGTTCAGTAGTAACAACAGCAGTGCAACATTTTAATTCTTTAATTTTTTTTATGCTCGGGCTAAAAAATGTCCCTTTCTGCCTTTTACTACTCATTATCTTTAAATGGCCCATATCCTACAGTTTTAATCTATTTTATTGCTTTCCCTTCAGTTCCAATTATGCTGTTTGTATGGGTACCAAAATTAGTCATAATTAATTTTATATGACAATTATCCAACCTCTGTTTATCCCATTGAAGTTGTAACTGCACCTTTAAGACTGATATATGTAAATGAGCTCTGTTCTGATTGGCTGCCATGTATTGAAATTGTGCTTCCTTCAGAAAGCAGTCTGGGCTAAAATACACCTTATAACTTGAGTTTGAATTGGTGGGGCTAAATTGTTGTAGGTTTAATGGCAGATGAATGACATCACAAAAGCAATAAATACAGAATAGACTAGTTTTGCAGGTTAGTTTCTGTATATGAACTGGGGGGTGAATGGTGCATTGAAACATTGGTAATGTCAAGTCAAAGTTTATTTGAGCAAGCCAAAGGTGACAGTGACAAGGACAAAAACCCTAACAGCAAGGAAAAGAAACTTTGGAAGGAACCAAGACTCAAAAGGGGAACCCGTCCTCCTGTGATCGATGTTTGCACACTTAAATCAGTCATGAGGTTTTCAATGATTTGGTCAGTGACTATTTGTTTTGTAAAACGGACAAAGCTGAAAAAATATTTTTATTTATGAATAGCAATATACTTCACGCTTTAGTTGGCGTTCATTGTTACACCAGTGCAACAAATCAATTAAAAAATTTTCTATAGTGAGCATGGTGTTTCTTATATATAGTCATAGAAAACAAGGTAGCCCACAGAAAACTCCAGTTCCAATTTTCCAAGTTTTGTAGGTTATGCTCACTGCTCTTTGTATAGTACAGCACTCAGTGCTTGACTGCTAGACTAATAAATGCACATTTTCTCAGACGTTCTCTTGTAAACTGCTGGGTCCTTGTTTGGTCATTTGGTAATTACCTACAGGTAATACTGTGTATGTTTTCTCTGTTGTTTTTTAGGATGGCCTGGTGAAGGCCAATATGGAGAAGCTGACATTCTATGCTTTGTCAGCCCCAGAGAAATTGGACCGAATAGGAGCTTACCTGTCTGAGAGACTGTCCCGCGATGTGGCTAGACACAGATACGGGTATGGGAATTCTCTGATGTCATCTGACGCATTTGGTCTTTTTAGAAGTCGTCCTTCTTGTTTCAGTCTCTCTTGCATGTGTGTATCTGTGTGTTGTCAGATATGTGTGCATTGCTATGGAGGCTCTGGACCAGCTACTGATGGCGTGTCACTGTCAGAGCATTAACCTGTTTGTGGAGAGTTTCCTGAAGATGGTGCGCAAACTACTGGAGTCTGACAAGCCCAACCTGCAGATACTGGGGACCAACTCTGTAAGTACTGCTCAACTGTTACTCCAGAAATATCCAGGGGCAAAAAGGTAAAATGACCCCAACAGATTTTGTCGTAAAAGACAAGTACAGGGAGAGATTTCCCCAAAATAAAACCATTTACCACCATCAATTCAGCATTTTCTTCTAATAAATTGAAAAGCTTAGCTTAAAACTATCATAAAACAGTGTCTGACATCAGGTATTAAATACTTCAGATGTCTGATTGCTATCGCCACCACTATGAACAATTCAGTACACTCCTCTAGAATGCCACAGTTTAAATCAAACCATTATTGATAAGTGTTTGAACCTTGAAGGGGAATTTCAACATGATCAGCGTGATGAAATTCTTAAGATGTATGTACAAAGTTATGCAGAGTGATTTGACGTGAAATACTCCATTCTAGAGAAACTTAGAGAATATTTCACGGTGGTGATAGGAACCAGACATTTGAAGTGTTCAATGTCTTTAAAAGCTACATCACAGCAAGTTATGGCGTGAAATAAATATGCTGCCTGATGTCTGAGACATTGTCTTATGATTGTTCAGAGATTTTTTTTGTACTGTCAAATGACACAGTGGTCTTTATTCAAAAACACAGGCTGAGAGAAAGACCGTATTTTTACTGTCCTGAGATTAGTTGTCTATGTCTGTTTTCTAATTGGCACGACTTCCAAGATTGCTTACTTGATTTATTTTATCAAGCATTATTGCCTTGAATGACCTCAAAGCGAAAATCACTTTAAACTGTAGATGTTAGCCATTTGTCATATGAAACAAGGTTTTATATATATTTGTACAGAACGCCTAGTTACACTAGTTTGTCTTGTTGTGCGTGTCTCAGCCTTAACCGGTGTCCCAGGAAACAGCTCCATTAGTCAAAAACAGACGATGTTTACTAACATATGTTAATTCTACCTCATATCCTGCAAGACATAAATGGATTATGACTTGAGTGCTTGTATATTATTACTCACTGATTAATTAAACCGGCCAGACATGTCTATAGTGGCCTCAATTAAATTTCTTCACTGATCTCATCTCATACTTCTAAAAGCGTGTCATTTTGTGTTCTTGGACTGCAAATGAAAGTTGTGTTTTTTTTTTTTGTAGTTTTTTTTTTAAATTGATCAGTCTTGTGTTTATCTGAACCATTGATTAAAAACTATATAATGTTTGTCAAATAATATAAGGCAGTAGAAGTTTATAGTGCTTTCCTGTTTAACATAAACTCTGAGTTTTTTGTATGTTATTTTCAAAATTGTTGTTGCTTTAGTTCATGGTTTCCTTTTTTGATGCTGCACATTTGTACCCAAATATTCTGTGCTGAAGCAGTTTAATAGGATGTATCTTACAGTGCTAGTTAATTGAATATTAATCATCTTCACTGATTAGCTATCAGGGGGAACTGGTGGGTCTATAATTGGCATAATTTGAAAGAGAAGGTCAATACATTAAAGTTTAATCTCTGGCATTTTTCATTAACGATGACATGCTGGGTGTTCATAGGGAGAAACAATTTCCCTTCCATTTAGAGAAATATCAAGTTTAAAATAATTGCTTCTGTTGATCCATTTGACATTGTTCTTCTCACTGTGTCCCTTTCTTGTTTTTCTCTTGGTTTCTGTTTGCAGTTTGTGAAGTTTGCCAACATCGAGGAGGACACTCCCTCATATCACCGTAGTTACGATTTCTTTGTGTCACGCTTTAGTGAGATGTGCCACTCCAGCTTTGAGGATCCAGACATCCGCACCAAGTGAGAAACTGGAGTCCACTATACACATACAGTTGAACATACAGAGCATTTCAGGGCTAGGAATCACAAGAGGACTCATGATATAATGTATAATCATGATATTTGAGCCACGATGCGATTCAATCAAAATTTTTAAAGACTTAAGATATGCTGTAAAATACTGTTTTACCTTTGACTGCAATTTTCTCTGTTTTATTTACTTACATGCAGTCTTATCACCTTTTGGAAAAATATCACTGTTTTGAATACTGAATATGTTATTAATGTGAATCATGCAGAGTTTTACTTTTGGAAAGTTAAGGGGTAAGGTTAATTTTGTTATATTTAGATTTTTTTCCTTTAATGGCTTTCAAAAGGTGGTCACAAAAACGTTAGCGGGTATAAAATGTCATTGTATCAACTAACATTTAGTTTTTATCTAAAGTATATGTAGAACACATTGATTTCAGTGGATCAATGTGATCACATTGATTTTCAGTGGATTGCATAGTTGTTGAGCACAATGAACTAAGTAAATCCACTGGAGTTACCCCTGCATATAAGATTCAAAGTGCACTAGAATTTCATTTTAAAACCACTAAAATTTTCTCCCAGGAACGATTCTGCTATAGGGGATTGGTTTCTGAACTTGTCACTTGTTTCACTGCTCATGAAATTTCATGCCTGTATTTAATAGTTGTTTGTGCCGATCTCACTTAAGTCTTTTTTTTAGTAAAGCAAATCAAAATGGTTGGAAAAAACAGTTGAAAAAACTCCTTCAACAATTACACATTAGCATATGCTTTTAAAATTGCAGATGAATTTGAGCCTCTCTGTATTGCTATTTTTCACCCAAAGTATTGTGATACTGTGATGTATTGATTTTTTTTTCTCAAACCCATAAGAGTAGATATACAACTATGAAAATGATTGAAACTAGAACTGCATAATATGGACAAAGTACCACATTATGTTTGTGTTGCTTTCATATTGCAGTAGCAATATGTCTTAAACATTGAACAGCAGTATTTTTAACCTAAATTTTGTGTGTTCGGTCATTTGAATGCCTTGGTTCTTCCAAAGACCTAGAGAACATCTGTGATTAGTCAGGATGCTTACAGCACACCATAAAACATTCAGGGTTCAGTTTATTGCTTATTTGCATATTGCAGTATCAGTATTGCACAGGCCAATTTCAGTCATGTTTAACAAACAGTATAAGCCCAGGGGGAAACTGTTTATTACTTGCTTACTAGTTAATGAAGCTGGATCTGAATTACTTCATCTGATCATTGACATGTCTTATGTATAAATGTATAAGTATAAACTTCTCCTTGTCTTAGGATCCGTATGGCTGGTATAAAAGGACTACAGGGAGTAGTGAGGAAGACAGTCAACGATGAACTGCAGGCTAATATCTGGGACCCTCAGCACATGGATAAGATTGTTCCCTCTCTGCTCTTCAACCTGCAGTCTGGAGAAGGCACAGAGAGGTGAGAACATCCACCTATTGTATGTTCAGATCTTAGCTCTGTTCTCCACACTCACACTTTATAAGTCATATAAGTCCTCTGCATCAACAGAAATTCAAAGACCAGACTAACCTCATTTACGGAGCTATGTTTTGATCAAAATGTAATATTTAAACCGCCTTCCTTGGAATTCCCTGGTCTATAATTTGGAGGATTATTCAAGCTGCTAAAGAGCTACAATCTTATTCATTGATTCATCACATCCTGGCAAATTGACTGCCGTTTGAAACTTTAGTCTGAGTAGATTTACCTCTAATGACAGCACTGTCAGATCAGTGTCTTCGCGCAGCAAAGCTAAGCTGGCATTGCTGACACTCTACATATCCTACCCTCTGCTCCCAAATGCACTAGAGGTCTGCACGGGCATGAAATTGAAACCTGAAACCAACCGGAACCTGCTCACACACGCTAACAGAGATAGATTGCAGCAGATGTGGCTGATTGATAGAACATGTAATGCTCAGATAAACTGGTATTTTATACATGAACAGTATTTATTATCAGTATAGTTTTGTGGCTAGTACTAGTAAATATTAACTTTTAAACTTGTATACCTCCCACCCTTACTTCTAGTTAGATAGTTATATATTGCTTAAGTATACATGGAAAGCAGGAATCTATCTGTAGCTGCAGTCAGTCCTCCTGTGATTCAGAACTGATGGAGTGGGCTAAAGGAGTTTGCTGGTAATCAGGCATGGTTTCTCTTCCTCTCTTTTCTTCTGCTGTGATTCCCTGTTGATGTGACCCCAGACAGGCATAATTATGGTACTGGAAGAGACGTTAATTACTCCTATCTGCTCTTTGGTATGTGCTAATTGGCTCTTAGTGCAAGTGGCAGGTTATTATTAACCCCCCAGCCTACCTCACCCGGTTATCATGGGAGCAGAGGATACGTAAAAGTGAGAGTTCATTCTGTTCCGTGTCTTTTGATGAGAACATTTTAGACTTTATTTTGTCTTTCTACAGCTACTCATTTCAGTTGACAGTCCACTAGGATGCAACCAGATGCTTCGTTTTTATCGTTGGTGGTAGAAGTGGGAAATATGGCAATATTTCATTGTTACTGTAATAAATTTTTATTGTGATAAACAATACGCTTTTCTTGGCATATCGTGGACATTGTCAGTACTTAAAGAATGCTAACAAACTTCCAATTTCGTTACAAAATAAGGATAATTATTCCTCTTTAATTGAATTTTAGTACAGTATGTAAAAGATGGAATAAAAATATTTTAGCAAGAGTTTTTGATTGCAATTTTTAAATATGGCACTGTTATTCCGTTGTAAATGTGTGTCAAAGTATTGTGATACGTATTGTTTATTGTAAAATGTCATAGTATACTATAAGGCTAAAAGTATTTGGACCCTCCTCCTAATCATTGAGTTCAGGTGTTTCAGCCACATGCATTATAAAGTATGAATATGAAATCAAGCACATAGCCATGCAGTCTCCATAGACAGTAAATTATTGGAAATGGCAGTAAAATAAGTCATACTGAGGAGCTTGGTCTTTTTAAATGTAGTACTGTCGTAGGATGCCACCTTTGCCACAAATTTTTGTGAAATTTCTGTGCTGCTAGATCTGCCCCGGTCATCTGTAAGTACTCTTGTTGTGAAACTGAAGCATATAGGAGCAACAGCAGCTCGGCCACGAAGCAGTAGATCACACAAACTCACAGAGTGGGGCTGCCAGGAGCAACTGCACACAAGTTGAAGATCACCATGTGTGATGCCAGGTGTCAGCTGGAGTGGTGTAAAGCATGCCACCACTAAACTCTGGAGTTCTTTGATGAATCATGCTTCTTTATCTGGCGGTCTGATGGACGAATCAGGGTTTGACGAATGCCAGCAGAACTCTACCTACCAGAACGCATGGAGCCAGCAGTAAAGTTTGGTGGAGGAGGTATAATGGTCTAGGGTTGTTTTTCAGGGTTTGGGCTCAGAACCTTAGCTCCAGTGAAAGGTAACGTTAATGCTACAGCAAACAAAGACATTTTAGACAATTATACGCTTCCAACTGTGGCAACAGTTTGAGGAAGGCCCTTTCCTGTTCCAGCATAACTGTTCCCCTGCGCACAAAGCGAGTTCCATAAAGACATGGTTTGTTGAGTTTGGTATGGAGCAACTCCAGTGGCCTGCACAGATGCCTGACCTCAACCCCATTGAACACCTTTGGAATGAACTGGAATGTCAGTTGCGAGCCAAGACTTCTTGTCCAGCATCAGTGCCTGACCTCACAAATGCTCATTTGACTAAATAGGCACAAATTTCCACAGACAGTTTCCAGAGTCTTCCCAGAAGAGTGGAGGCTGTTAAAGCCAAAGGTGGCCCAACTCAATATTAACGTCTGCCCAGGTGTTTCCTGCCTTTTGCCCAGTGATCGCTGGGATAGGCTCCAACACCCTCAGCAACCCGCAAGGATAAGTGGCTTAGAAGATGGATGGATGATTTTGGAATGTGATGTCCAGTAAGCTCATGTAGGTGTGATGGCCAGGTGTCCACATACTTTATCATGATATGATATTTTGCCACATCACCCACCCCTAATTGACAGTGTTTTCGATGCTATGAGACCCTTTTTACAGAGGATACGGCTTTCAGTTTTACAGTGATATAGTTTAAAACGTGCTTTGAAAATTCCTTTATAATCCTATATTAAAATTGTTATATTGTAGGTGTCACTGTCCAGTCCATTTTTGTATTTTTGTTTAGAAATTGATCAATCCATCATTAAAATAATTGATAAATTACTCAGTTAAATAGTAATGAATGTTTTTTTTTTTCAATATTGTTTGATGCTGTGTTGAAATTGAATCATTGCAGACACTGTTTCAGATGTTTTAGGCACTATACAGCTATAGATACACATAGAGCTTTGTGTTATGCTAATAATACAGACTCATAACAGCATCCTAACAGAATTCTCAAACTACAGAGCTTGTGCAGGTAACTGCTGTAGCGCTTTAAAAGAGCTTCAGCTAAAAAAACTGCCAGCAAATCCAGTGTCAAACAGCTGTGTAAAGGAAGCAGTGTGAGCGCAGGAAGTCAAGGTGTGAGCAGGGACCAGAATAGTGTGATTAATAAATGATGACAGAGCCTGCGATACCCTCTGCACTTTGTCATACACGTACCAAATGGAATGCACAGTCCGAACACCATGTGGAACCTGCATTGGAAGACTTTCCTATTCAAAAGCTTTAGTTAAACTCCCAATTCTGTCTTAGCATTTAAATAGCACAGTTGATATATCCCCTTTTTCTTTCTGTGTCGTATATTGCCCTGTCATAAAACCTCGTAAAAACAAAGAAGGTTTTATGACAACACCGTATTTCAGTGTGGTTCAATGTCAAAATGAAAAGTCTTGCACTTTACAATCGACCTGAAAGTCCAAGTGTTCTTTGTTTCTCTTTTTCATTTATTTGTGTGTGCGCACAGCCGTTCTCCCTCTCCGCTGCAGGCCAGCGAGAAGGAGAAGGAAAGTCCAGCTGAGCTCACAGAGCGCTGTTTTCGGGAGCTGCTCGGCCGTGCTGCCTATGGCAACATCAAGAACGCTGTCACCCCCGTGCTTATGTAAGAAACCATCTGCATCAGTGAGCCATTCACTCCTTAGGCCTCAGCCTTCGCATTTAATTATCAGCGTTTAACCTGGTGCTGCTGCATCCAGAGCTTTGTCTTTGTCTCTTCACATGTAGATATGTCAGTGTTGTTGGGCTTTGTAGTTCTGTTAAGCAAAGCAGCAGGAAACTAGGAAAAACAAACTCTTTGCTTATCGCTCGCTTTCTTGCTCTGTCTGCTTTTCTTCTAGGCACCTTGATAATCACTGTCTGTGGGAGGGAAAATCATTTGCAGTGCGCTGCTTTAAGATCATCATGTATTCTATTCAGGTGAGGTGTCTTTCTTCAAGAAAATGTCTTTATATTAGATTTGCAATTTCCGCATTCTGGTGCTTACATGTGTCAGAAAAACTCAGAACATAATCATGATCCTGAATTTTAATGACCAATTCTGTTTTTTTTTTTGTTTTTTTTTCCTCAACCCGAAGCTCACATTGTGTTGGTTAAATGAATGCATGAAACACACAAGACCTGATGTTCACACAGGCTCTCATATTCTATCTGTTTCTCTTTCTCCAGTCACAGCACTCTCACCTGGTTATCCAGCAGCTTTTGGGTCACCTGGATGCTAACAGTAAGACATCAGCCACAGTGCGTGCTGGGATAGTGGAAGTTCTCTTGGAGGCAGCTGCTATAGCAGCAAGCGGCTCTGTTGGTGAGTTCATACAGCGTTTTTTTGATACATTTGGCCTAGACACTAGGCAGTTTTTACATCAATTGCTTAAATAATTCCTTAAAGGTGATTCCACTCCTATCCCCATAGAATGCCATTCAGTGGAAAAAGTATACACATTGTATACCAACCCCTTCGCTGATGGAGACAAAAATGTAATGAATTTGTCAGCACGCTTGTTCAGAAAAGGCATTGCAGGAGTTGTTTTAAGAGGGGAATTTCTTCCCTACTTTTTGCCTAACTCAGTTGTTGATTATGAGCAAAGAAAGTCAGAGTGGTCTGACGTGAAATGATTTGTTCATTGTAATAGAACTTGCTAACTGAGATTTCTTTACAGTGGTGGTGATTGGAAGTATAGCCATTTTATCTACTATTTTAAACTACCTGTGAACCTACACGTGTCTTCTGAGTTTTTATATGTAATGTTGAATATTATAAAATAGTAGTCAATTTGAAAAAATGTTTTATTTGCCTGTTACCTGATTTACCTGACAACATCCTGCACGTATCTCTCCATTAATGAATTAAAAAGTGTTTTAGGCCAAAAGCCTATCTAAAAATACTATCATTAGACAACATCTCAGGCGCTAGGCAGCGTATTCATAACCATTTCATGCAACAACTTTCTGTGAAGCAGCTTTTAGACGCATTCAACTGTTAAGACTTCTGGTTCCTATCACCACCACTGTAAACAATTCTGACTTGAGAGGTTTGTCTAGAGTGTTGCATTTGCACATTTCAGTATTTTTTATTTTTGACTGTTGGCATAGCAGAAGTGAATGTCCTGTGTTTGACACTACATACTATCAGAACTGTTTGATGCAGTGATGCCCCAGGGGTTCAGTGGGTGACAGAAAAGTGGGACAGCAACTTCAGCCCTCATTAAATGGACAGCCACTTGCTCAGCCTGGTGTCTCTGAACTATTTAGGGCTACAGCCATGCACAGTTGACAAAGGGCTATCAAAACTGCTCAAGAGAGAACCTCACGCCTGTGTGCCACAAGTAAATTTGTGTAAAGCAGGAGTTGTTGGAAAAAACAAGTGAAGCTGCAGACCTGTATGTGTTGCATTTCCCTCACACTTTGTAATTGTCATTTATTATCATTAAGCATGCTCGTGTATTCACTGAGCTGCTTCCTGCAGGATGTAGAATGAAAACTGTTTTTCTCCATTCCTTCTGTAACTGCCACTGCTTGTCCACTAGAGGGAAGCATGACTATTGACATCCAGCATAATCTACTCTTCTTTAGACTTTTTTTGAGTCATTTATTTTATGAATACATGTTTTATTTTTTATTTTTTTGGTTACATGTAGTGTCTTGTGAAAGTATTCAACCACCCTTGAAAGCCATCAACTTTCTACTGCCAAATAACTTACTTTTAGTTTGAATATTGGAGTTCACAATATAAATAATATTTAATAAATACATATGATTTCTGTAATTCAGAAAATATTCAAAACCTCCCAGGGAGTTGAATTATTAGAATTAAATTTTTTGTGATGTTATATGGGAAGTGCTTGCTATTCTGATGGGTAATGAAATAAATGAAAGGGTAGTATCTGGCTTTTGCACAGTCCAATGTCTTTGATGTTATTATAAATAAGTATGTAATGTAAGCACAAATACACAAACAGTAAAACAGCAGTTTCTGCTATTTGATTGATTGATGAACATCTGACCTCTCTGTGTGTGTGTGTGTGTGTGTGTGTGTGTGTGTGTGTGTGTAGGCCCCACTGTGCTGGAGGTGTTTAACACTCTGCTGAGGCAGCTGAAGCTCAGTGTGGACTACGCGCTTACCGGCTCTTATGACTGCACTACCATGGGCACCAGGACCATCAAAGAGCATGAAGAGAGGCAGCTCCAGGAAGCTGTCATCAAGACCATAGGTGAGTGGGTCTCACTGTATGTGTGGTTGTGGTTGTCGGTGTGTCAGAGAATGCGTCTATTGCCCGACTCTCTTTTGTGCTGTGAAATAGGCTGAACTTGCTTGGTCTTGTTTTATAACTGTGCTTTTTCTCTGACTGTTTGTACCTTTAGGGTCCTTTGCCAACACTCTGCCTACGTATCAGCGCTCGGAGGTCATGCTCTTCATTATGGGGAAGATTCCGATTCCAGGCATGCACCTAACACCGCCACCCACAGGCTCTGGGTAGGTACTACAGCCTCTGGAGCATCCACAAACCTTTACAACAGTGGAGTTCATTTATTGGTTCTGGAGGGCAAAAGTCCAGTGCAGTTTGGTGTTTTCCCTGCTGATGCACCTACTAAACTCGACAGTTAACAGATGAGTTGAATCAGGTGTGTGCCGAAAAAATGTGTTCACTCTAGCCCTCAAGGAAAATCATTCTGTATGTATAGTGATTAGGGGTGCGGGAAAAAATCGATTCTTAGATGCATCTCGATGCGGATGTGCATGATTCTGAATCGATTCATTCAACGTCAAAAATCGATTTTCTAAATATTTAATTTATAATGTAATGTTGACGGAACGCAAAGGGCGGAACTTGGAAGTGCGGAAGTGCAGCGCCCGGACAGTCTGTGGCGGCACATAACAAAAACACTACTGGATGAGCGAGAAATCCGACCGGCTCCCTCTGCATTAAAAGCCAGGTTAGGTCAGGAGTCACAACACAAATGATAAGAAGAGCCATTATGACCTTTCAACAAAATCAAACCACCTTGGGAGCCACAACATTTAATGTCCAGTATGTCTTAGTATGTGTTAATGTCCTAGTTTAGGCTAAACAATATAAACGAAAACGCGGACTCTGCTCTGCTTTAAGCTTTAGCTTTAGCCGCTTTTCTTCCATCTCCGCCAGAAAACTTTTCCTCAAAAGTTGAATAGTTTCTTGTAAAATGTCTTTCAGCTTTCGGCTGTTTTACGAGGCTGAAGTCGCTTCTAATTCGCCAGCTTCTTGCTGAACTTTCCTGTTCCACCTTAAATTCTGACTGAGGCACCGACGGTAAATGCGGCACCATTTAAGGTGGAACGGGAAAATTAGAAAGAGAAGCGACTTCATCTTCACCACTTCTTAGTGTTTGACAGTCTCTGGTTGCAAATTTAACGTATCACGAAACCAAATGCGCTGCTTATAAATGCGACTAAGTCCATTCATCTCCAAATGTTCATCTGTCTTTCTCTTTTCCTTTTTTGTTCGCTACTAGCCAGGCGAAACCTCGTTGCTAGGTGACCTGCAGTCTGCATGCCAGTTCTCAGTCGCTTTCGCGCTATGTTGCACACGTCCCGTCTTGAAGATATTTTACTGACACAGCGACCCCCATCCCCCGTCTCTACCATGAGGCCAAAACCGAAGTTATAAAATCACTAAAGAAAATGGGTAGGACCGCTGTAATGTGCTGCGTGGTCATCCATTACCACTGGATCTTATTTCACCCTAGCAGCGCATTTTATCGCAGATGAGTGGCAGCAGCGTCTCCAAACAAGAGCAGTGAATGAGAGCCTTCCAGTTCACTTGCCACATCACTTCCATTTGTTTTATTAATAAAAGATATTGGACATAAATGCATTATGGATCATTACAGATACTTAGCTTTAAAAGTACCAAGTCCTCAGACAGTAAGAAAATAGAAATCATGTCTAGAAAAAAAAGAGGCATCGAGATGCATCGATAATCATTTTATAATCGCATCTCAGCCCTCTGAATCGTAATCGAATCGACTCGTGAGGTGCCTAGAGATTCCCACCCCTAATAGTGATGTATTAATGTTATACAATAGCAAAGCCGAGCGTAGTACCTTTACCATTAGAAGTCTGTAAACTTCTATAACAAGTAAAATTATTGTCTCTCTTACTAGTTTGGGAATATGCTATAGATCAAAGGTCATCAAATACAGACATTTGATCTAGTTTAACAGGCCACATTTGATGACCTTTGATCTATAGATGAGTAAAAAGGTGATTTGTGCTGTTTGCAGAAATTATAACTTATGTGTTGGGTATATTAAAAAAAACAGTGCACTGGTGTGCACTGATTATTGGAAGGTGTCAATGTAAAAACTCTGTTTTTCAGGTCTGAAGCTGACAGGATGATCCAGGTCATGTTGTTGAAATCTCTGAGACAGGTACTGTATCTCTAGAGTCTTTCATTACAAAGACACAATTAAAATATGTGACAACAGAACTCATCAAAGAGGTGCAAAATATATCACACTTTAGCCATTATTGACAATATCTGTGGTTTCAGCCCTCCATGAATCTGGCAGTGTGTAGTTTTTACAGTCTGACCAAAATGATTGTAGAGCAACTTCAGTCCATCTTATACAGCAGTTAGTTCTGACAGCACAGTTTGAGCACCACTTGCAAAGGAATGCCTGCTTTGTAGCTAAATTAATCAAAAATGAATGCCTTTGATAATTTCTGCAAGGTAGTATTTGACCTGCGGTCTGTTAAGTCAAACCTGTGATTGTCCCTAAGCAAGCTTAGGCAGCTGTGAAGGAACAACTAAACACACTGGAATTAGCCAAAAACCAACAGAATTCAAGATGGCTATGAAATGCTATAAAGAGTGGCTGGAACAAAATGACATTCAGGTTAATCTGGCTAATACTGATGTTTTGTAATAAAGAGAGTGGCTTCCTCTAACTGGGATTTGTAATAGGCTTATGAGAAAGCCATGTCCTTTATTACACTCTATGCACTTGTTAGACAGCCTCTGCCAAAAGTGCCAGTAATCTGCACTTCTAAATTGTGTTCATTTGTGTTTTGGGCTGATTTTAATCTTGAAAAAATGTAGTTTTTTACAATCTGACAGTAATAATTGTGCTTGAGTGCTTATAATCCAGGATGAATCTGCAGTGTGCATGTAGTTATTACAATCTGAATGCAGTGAATGTGCATAGTTTTTAGTCTGACAGTGATAATTAACGTTCAGTGGATGTTTGTAGTTATTACAGTTCAACAGTGAAAAATGTGGAGTGAATGATCTCATCTTAATAATTTTATAATTGGCTGAACCTGGTGTTCTGTCAGTAATAGAAATCCTGTCCAATCTAATTTTCTAATAGAGTAACAAAGCCTGTTGATAGACAGAGCCATGTGGTGTGTTGTTATTGTTATTGAGTGTGACCTGTCCTACAACACTGATGTGAACATTTGGACTATTACTTTTCACTCAGAAATTTGGAGAGGAATTACACAGATACTTTATTCTGTAGAAATTGGAGAGTCAAAGCCCACAGATTATTGACACAACCTCCTCCAGTTACATTAATCCAGTTTAAATAGGGTTAAGATGGTCTTTCTTGAATTATTCCAAGAATTCAGTAAAAGGCCTCACATTCCTTCTCTGTCTATAGGTGACGAGTGGCTTCCAGAGCACGAACATGTTGACTGCTCTACCCAGCTCGTTCCTGGACCCACTGCTGTCCTTCGCCCTACTGGAGGACGCACACATCCGCCTGCTTGTCCTTGAAATCCTTGTCAGCCTCATTGATCGCCATGACAACCTCCCCAAGTTCTCCACCATCAGGTTTGTATGCGCAACAGTAAAGATATAAATAATACTCAGTTTGAGAAGTGTACTTAAAAGAGGGTTCTGTTAAAATAATCAGATCAGTGATTTTAGTGTAGTAGCACTGAAGTGGTTTCCTCTGCCCCTCTGTAGTATCATCCCGGACATTTCAGTGCTCAAACTCAAAATGGAGAAGTGCTCCCGTCAAGACAACCTCTTCATGAAGAAGGTACTTCCCTCTCTCTCTTTTCTCTCTCTTTTTCTTTCAAAAATGACTATTTTTGAGTCAGTCATTTGATTTGAATGTACTTAATTGTTGTAGTTTACGTTAAACACACCAGATGGTGTGTAATAAGGTTTTGCTCTGTAAGGGCAGATGTGAATCCTGGTCCTTTGTGTGTTTTGCAGCATGCTCAGCAGCTGTACAGGCACATCTACCTGTCGTGTAAGGAGCAGAGCAGTGTGCAGCCACACTTTGAGATGCTCTACTCACTCCTTGCTCTCATCAGCATGGAGCTTGCAAACGAAGAGGTGGTGGTGGACCTTATCCGCCTGGCTCTGGCCCTGCAGGTCAGAGAGACATGTTATTATGCCTGCCTGAATTGCTAAGAAGTCATATTGGGTGGTGGTGGGGGGTGGGAGTGTTCAGAAGTGCATGTTTTGTTTTTTTTGTGCTCTTTCCTAATTGTTTCCAGTGGGAGAGGCGGTTTTTGTTTGCTAGGAAAAAAAAACAAAAAGCAAAGCCCTTTCAGGATAAATACAATGTGAACTCGCCTTCAGTTGCATGAATGGTCACTTTTGCAAAAATCATGTGTCACATCTGGGGTAAAGTTACATTGCATTACTGACCAGTAAAGCTGACTTAAGCTGTTCGTAACCCTACCTGCTCTCCCTGTGGGTCACAAATTTGATAAAATTGCAAGAAACAGCTATTACTAAGAGCAGGGACCATAACGATTTCATATTCAGTTTAAGTAGAAATTTGATTTAGAAATTAGGGATGCACAGTGATATCAGAATCATATAGGTATTTGCTGGTATTTTCTTTTTGTAAAAAAATCATGGTTTTATTTGCTGTGTTAGTTGAAGGCTGATTATTTAAACACAACCAATCAGCACCAATCAATACTTTTCTCCTATCAGTCATAAAACGCTTTCTCTCTGCCAGAGGACATATTTACATGCTTGTAAATAACATAGGCTATAGTGCGTCGTTCTGAGCCAAAAGCTTTAGAAACATCTCTAAATCATCATTCTTTGTGCGCATAGTATTTAATTGTGTTTTAATAAAGCTAAAGCCATGTATTTGCTTTTAAGGGTAAAACTGACCTGAGAGACAGGTTGAAAAAGGATCTTTTGACGGCTAATCTCTACATAATTTTCTTACTGACGGGACATAATTTCCCCTACGAACAGGCACTGAGTTGGTTCTCCAGGAAACCTAGGAAAATTCGATGTGCAGATAAACAGAGCCATATTTGCCAACTCACCACGGTGCCCACCTTCTTGGTGTTATTAATATTTGTCTGTATCTGACATACCTACATAGTCTTGTAAATGACCCCCAGTATCCCTAGCGACATATCAACCAGTATATTTCAAATCTGTGGGAAACACTAAATGTGCCCAGTGATGCGGGGTTAATGGGCTAAAATCTTTGTTGTATTAATTTTACTGCATTTGTAAATGTATGAAGTGTACACTTTTCTGTAATGTTAATCTATGTAGATTTAGGCCTAACATTGTACAATTTCTGTACTTCATGAAGGTTAATCTGTCAGCAGATATGTATGTGAAAAAGGTTGTCCCGCAATTGTTATCAGTGCATCCCTGATGTAAATATAATAAAATACATACATATATATATTATATTAAAAAATAAATGCAAATACAATACAGTATAATACACATACATACTGAAATCTTAAACCCATGGTTATAGTTCGGTTCTTTTTGTGCAGGATTTGGCTCTTGCCAGTGAGGAGACGTTGCGTGTGTACAACCGCTGTGCTGTTCACGCCCTCTCCGCTGCCTACCTCAACCTCATCTGCCAACTCACCACTGTGCCCACCTTCTGCCAGCACGTCCATGAGGTCAGTGCTACACAAGAACACAGCACCTTTCTGGTCTGTGTGCATCTCTGTGATCAGTACTTCATTCATTTCCTCATAAGAGTTGATGTATTTGCTGTTGCTTGCAGGTGATAGAGATGAGGCAAAAGAAGTCCCCGTTTCTCTTGCCTGAGGATGTCTTCATTGAAAATCCTAAGTAAGTCCTGCCAGAAACCTTTGAATGTGTGTTTATTTTATTTTATTGTTTAAAAAGTTTAACTTAAAGAGAACTGAAAAAAAAACTGAAAATAAACTGAAAATAAAACTGCATGTTAACTGTGTTCTCTGTAGAGGATGTGTTGACTTATTTTCACTTACAAAATCAACAAAACATGTCATTTGACTAATTGTGTCTAAACTTTTTTGCATATGATTGTATATGAAAATTAAGCTCTAGAAACTAATGTCCACTTATTCAGATTACTGCTGTTTAGTTCTGCCTATTCACACTGAAGTTATAAGAAATGTTTTAGCCCTACCTGCTTTTTGTATGAATCTCAGTACAGGGGGGCCAATCAGAACAGAGATTATTTACATATGTCAGCCTTAAAGACACAGTAACACAACCAGTTTGTTTAAATCTAATACATAAAGAGAGGTTGGAAAACAGTCATGTAAAAATGAATTATGGCCAGAACATTGTTAGTGGAAAAGAATTCATTATGAGAAATTTGTAGGATATGGCCCCTTTAAAGAGCTAGCAGACCATGGCTTTGGGAACTGAGGAGACCGACTTCTGTATTTTTGAAAGTGATAGGTTTTCCCATCCTTACTTGACATAGGATTTAAACAGTTCAGAGTCTCCTTTGTTGTACTTTTCATTTCATAATCTACCAAATGTTTTCAAAGGGTAACATTTCTAGACTGCCGGCAGGCCAGTTCAGTACCTGGACTCTTTTACTACGGACCAGAACTGTTGTAATACGTGCAGAGTATGGTTTGCCTATTTGAAATAAGCAAGATGTTCCCTGAAAAAGACATCATCTCGTTGTCAGCATGTTGCTCCAAAACCTGTATTTATCGTTCAGTATTACTGTTGCCTTCACAGATGTTTCAGTCACCCTTGCCATTTGCACTAAAGCACCCCAAACGCTGATAACAAGCTGGATGGTCGCTCTGCTGTTAAACCAGGAAGATTTCCAAGAATTTCACATTTTTGCATCGGACCACAGTTCACTTTTCCACTTTGCCTCAGTCCATCCTAAATGAGCCTGGGCCCAGAGAAAGTGGCAGTGTTCCTTTATCCTGTTTATATATGGTTTCTTCTTTGCATAGTAGAGTTTCAACTTGCATTTGTGAATGCAGCGGCAGACTGTGTTCACAGACAGTGGTTTTCGGGAAGTGCTCCTGAGCCCATGCAGTGATTTCAACGATAGAACCATATCTGTTTTTTTTGCAACGTCACCAGAGGGCTCAAAAATCACGGCCAGCCTTATTGGTTTTATGATATTATGTACCGTAGATGATGAAATCCCCAAGTTCTTTAGTGTTTTACATTGAAAAACATTATTCTTAAATTGTTGCACTGCAACAATTTGCCTGCACAGTCTTTCACAGTAGTAAACCCCTTCCCATCTTTACTTCTGGAATTCAGCCTCTCTTTTTATACCCAGTCATGGAAACAAGGCTGTATACTATAAGAACCTTGAGACATGCATGTTCACATGTGTGCACATATTACTGTTGTGTCAGAATAGTTACAACCATTACAGAGATCTATGGTCCACTCGTTCACCTCAGCTTAGAAAAAAAAATAATTGTCCTTAGTTCTGCTGTGAGTCATGAATGGAAGTATTGATCTGCGGAAAAATGGTTAAATAAAACTCTATTCCTAGAACCATAGATGAAGGTTAACTCAGTCTTCATGCCGTTTGTCATTTCATTTTAATGAGAGTGCTGGCTTTGGACAATAGTTTATGAAGGACACAACCTTGTTATTGGTGACAATAAGATGTATGTCTTTCTTTGTTATTTTATCTCTTGTGTTCATGTGGTAGGATCCCTGAGATCCTGGAGAAGCCAGAAGGAGAAATGTTGTTCCAGCAGGTTAAAATCACCGAAGTGCTGGGAGGCTGTGGTTATAACACAGAGAGACTGGCCACACCTTATATACCTCAGTTTACAGGTATAAGCCCCTTACTTGGAAATTGCAAATCACAGCTGTGCCATGCCAGCATGAGCTGTGGGCAGGTTTCTACTTGGCTGGTTGTTTAATTGAAAACTCTGCTTAAAGTATCACAGTAAGTTAATTGGCTGCTAGAAATGGCACTGATATCTAGTATTGGTGTGGTAACAGGAGAAAATGCAGAAGAAAAAATAATGGATCCAATTTGATTTGGAAACAAGTTATGCGTACAAGTATGTACTAGATTACAATTAAGTTATGTTCTTTTATGAAATGAAGTGAATACAAAAGTTGCAGGTGTTCACTATGTTGGTCACAAAGAATATTGTTTAAGCGGTTTGAGCATGATACTTCTAGACAGCCATCTTATGTGACTTACTTCAGTTGAGAATATCTCATGTAAATACTTAGTAAGGCCTGGCTTTTACCAGTCTGATAGGTATTGGATTTAGTCGGTACTTAAAGTTTCAGCATTTATCGTAAAAGAAAGATGTTATTGTGCTATTTCTATTGCTATTATAGTTTTAGATTCCTCAGTATTTTTTTTGCATCAGAAGGTGACAAGCAGTTTCGGTGCCAACTGAAGTTTATTGTAGTTGTTGTCCTTTTTCTTCAGATGAAGACCGGCTGTCAAAGAGAAAGAGTGTTGGAGAAACAATCTCCCTGCAGGTGGAGGTGGAGTCCAGAAACAGTCCTGAGAAAGAGGAGGTAAGATAATCATACACAAAAAAATCGTCTCACACTTTCACTTACTGCCTAACTAATGTTGTGGTTTTACCCTCTCCTACAGAGAACACCAGCTGAGGAAATCACATTTGAGGCACTGAAGAATGCCATAGGTGAGTGCCTACAAGAAGTTACCAGGCCAGTTCACATTTTAGGTCCAAGTGATTCACAACAGAGAACAGCACCTAACAAACCTCATTGATGAATGCTGCAAATAGCTCAATCTTTGACAGATGCAGAATGTACTAATAAGTTGCACTGCATTTCTATAGTGAGTTCTTACTCAGGTTGTTTTTAGCTACTCATTATTGAGTCGTTATTTCACTCAAGTAACAATATTAGTATGAGTTTAAGGCATTATACCTCTTCAGTTTAGTGTGTATGGGAACGCTAAGCCAGCTTCTGTGTGCCTGTGTTCTACAGTGGACAGTGTGGGGATGGAGGAGCAGGAGAGAGAGCGGAGGAGACAAGTGGTGGAGAAGTTCCAAAAGGCTCCATTCGAGGAGATAGCTGCCCACTGTGGTGCAAGAGTGAGTGTGCTTTTTGGACTCATACTCCTGTATTCAGGTAAATGTGTTCCAGTCCAGCACTAATGTAGTTTTGTTTTCCTCAGGCTACAATGCTGCAGAGCAAACTCAGTCAAATCTTTGAAATCACAATCAGGTGGGTTTTACCATCATGTTATTTCATCATACACACGTATACAGATGGTTGACAAAAGGAAAAAACAGTGTCTTGGTATGATGTGGGCCACCTCAAGCTTCCAGAACATGTTTTCATACCCCTTTGGAATAGAGTAGGGTTCTGATGACTCCAAAGGTCATAGCATATGATTTACATAATTTCCATACACATCAAACCATTTGGTGACCTCTCATGCCCTGAGAAAAGAGGGCATTGTCATCCTGAAAGAGACCACTACCATTTGTACCATTAGGAATCAGAATTGCTTTATTTTGCCCAGTTTGTTACACACACAAGGAATTTGCCATGGTCAGTGCACACTTGACATGTAACATACTGAGCAGACTACACAAGCACACAGACTAACACATTTTAAATAAGGGACAAATAAAATACAAATGCAATAAATAGAATGAAGAAAAAAAATGTTGTGTGATAGGATAAACGTGATCAGTCATAATGACTTAACATTGATTGCAGTGACCCTTCCCTCTAAAGAGAAAAGTGGACCCAAACCATGTCAGCAAAATGCCCCCCACAGTATAACAGAGCCTAAAGACCCCCCCACTGTCAGGCTCAAGCATTCAGTCCTGTTTGATTCTCTTGGTGTATGTCACAGAAGCACTCATCCACTTGTGGAAAATATGGCAAAGGGTGACTCCTCTGACCATGTGACTTTTTTCCTCATCTCTGTAGACCAGTGCCTGTGGCTTTTACACCACAGAACTATAACATCCCTCTCTGTGTAGTTGTGGATGGACTGTTCTTGCTGAGTCTGATCACATCGTACATTGACATTCTCAGTCACCTGAGGAACAATTGCTCTTCTGTTTTTTTCTTTCGCACTGGAGCACAAGCATCATGACCGTCGAATGTGCACTTTCGACCATGATTTCTTTGTTTACTGATGTCTTTCTCATAGATCTAAATACAGAAGTCACTTTAGTCACTGTTCCTATTGAAACATTAGCTGGCTGAGCAGTCTTTGTGTCTGCAGCTCCTATCATCCGTGCCCCAATAATTAATCTAACGTCACGTAAATCCTTTCCTCTTGCCATCTGGAGCTAAAATTAAGGTCAACTAGGTCTCAGCATTTTTATACATGCCACAGCGTGTTAGTTTGCTGCTAGATTGTATCATGCAGCACAAAGAACCTTTGAAGATTAGTTCTAAGTCGCCGGTTCTTCCTTTTATTTGTCAAATTAAATGATAGTATTTGCTAAAGCAATATGCTGCAATAGGCCATAGTGTTTTTACCATGCTTAAGAGACATTGTTAGGCATACTAACAACACAATACAGTAACAACAAAATACAATGATGAAAAACACTCAATAATGGTTCAATAATAGTTCAATAATAACTACATTTATTATTAATAATTATGGCAATAAACAATTCTCCAGCTTAGCAATGCAGTTTGTTAACAGTAGGCTGTGGTAAAATAATAACTGTCCATTTTATTAAATCATCCATATAAATGTCTTTGATTATCTTGGCTCTCTTCTTATCTCTGCAGGCCCCCACCAAGTCCATCTGGGACCATCACAGCAGGCTATGGTCAAACACAGAGTCGCTCTGTTCCTGTGTATGAAATGAAATTTCCAGACCTGTGTGTGTACTAGCACCACAGCCTCCGAGCAGCCGGGAGGGAAAGAGAGAGTTTGAGGATGGAGCGTAGAGTCTGTATTATCTTTCATCACTAAGACGTACAGAGAGCACTACATGAAGCACTTCATCTCTTGACTACCAGAGGCAATGCACATGGCAATTTGCACTGTGACTACTGACGAAGAAATGACGACAGAATGAAATCAGACTCTAAACTCATTCAGAAGAATAAGGCCTTCTAGGCACAGTTAGCTCATTACTGCTCTCCTGCTGTGAACAGTTGTGTCTGCTCGGCGTTTTAAGAATGTTTTAAGGCTGGTATCATCTGAAGGGTATTTTAGCGTTGTTTGCCATGTTTTAAGAATTCTGTTTTGTGTATTGAGGATGGCCAGAGATATTTTTTGTAAGTACTTGTGCTTTGCCAATCCTCCAGTGCCAACTTTTTTTTTTAACAGTTAATTAAAATAGTTCATTCGGTTGCATCTTATTAGAACAGGCTTACAAAGAGATTTTATCCAGTCACTTTTGCTAAATGTAAAGCTTCTTTGAGTTATTTTACCTATTACTTTTTTTAATATGTTTGTCTATATTGGTGCTAATTTTATTCCATTCTTTTTTCTGTTTTATAAGTATAAAGTTTACTGACATTCGTTTTGTTTGAATTATATTGGAAAAGCCAGCTTGTTGCTGAGCATGCACAAATGTGCTTTACTGTGTAAATACATTGTTACAGCAAGCATCTGCCTGGTAGACAGATTTTGAACTGCGGTCATTCTGAGAATATTCTCCACTGGCTGTGATGAATATTCTGGAGGTGATAGCCATTTTCTTGTGATGTTCACAGTTGTTTTTGAAGATGATAACATTTATGTGATAACTCATTTTAAAGACAGAAAGGGACAACTAAATATCTGGAATTCTGGCGTCTCTCAATCAGAATTTGCAGATAGATAGTCTGATCAAAATAAATTTAGTGAGCACTTTCCATTATTCAGCTGTGTGTACTCAAATGCTATAAGTATTTTCATTTAATTTGTCTAGTTTGTGCTTCTTTTAGGTTAAATGAGGCCTGTTTTCTGGATTCAGTTGAGACATGTTCATATACTAGAATTCAGTTGCACTTGATAATGCTTATGTTTTTTTAGAAAAGGCTGTAATGTAGTAGAGGTCTAGGTTTGGACTGCGTCTCCATAAGCTGTTTTAAGTTATTACCCTCCCCCCTCCACAGTTACAGCCTTATTCAAAGGTTTTGGCACCCCAGTGAAATTACGTGTTTTGTTAATTTTATAATTGAAAATAAGGAAACTTTCAGCGCTTTTTTACGAGTTTTAGTGCACGGTTTTTATTTACTTGTTTAACATATTGGAAAAAAATAAAACATAAAATGTGGCATCTGCCCAGATTTTTGCACAAGGCACATTCTGGGCCAGTTTTCCAGAAATGGATTAAGCCTAGTCTTGGGCTAAATTGCAGTGCCAGTGGTGAATCACCATTGGAAATTCTATTTAATCCAGGCTTATCCTTAATCTGGTTCTGGGAAACCAGCCGTTTGTTTTTTTTCTTCCAAAATGTTAAAACTATACTATATAAGATTTGAAGACCTCTCTGGAGAAAATGTGTAATTGCATTTGTAACGTTAGTTGCATTTGTAACGTTAGACCCGTTCCACGAGCAGATGAATCCGATGATGCGCGTTGAAAGAGTGCTCAAAGAGAACTCAGTCAAAACTTAGTGAAGGTTGTGTCTTCCGAGGATGTGAGTGAATCATCTACTAATGTCATCATACATTCATTGGTATGATGTTGATTTTGCATTTGAGAGCTAAACATGGAGCTAGACCGTCTTTTTAAGTCTGTGCATGTGATGTTAATATGTGAAGACGTATGACGTGGTCTGAAAACCTTCTGACCTGACGGCTCTGACGTTTAAATTATTTCTGCAGGCTTTACTTGGCGACTCCTAGCAGAGCACGAACACTATTTTGTAGCATGTTTTTTTTCTCCTGACTGAGGTACTCAGTTTTCACAAGAAGATCTTACATAGTGCAAATAAACAGAATGCACATTATGTGCAAAAATTTGCAGGAATGTGATTTTGTAGAGGATGTGTACTTATTTTCACTTAGAAATTTGACAAAACATGAAAGTTGACCAGGAGCGCTGAAACTTAAACATAAGACTGGTAAACCATGGTAAACTGCTTCATTGGCCCTTGCTTTTAGTCTTGGCCAAGTGAGCATAAGCAGTGTTCATTTTTATATATATAGCATACAGTTACATTAGCTACATGTACGCATATGAATATACAGTATATGCAAACAATGTAAATGACTATGAAAACAAAGTTAGTTTTAGATTGCACTGATTTTATTCGGAGAGTTTTCTAACATTGAACTAGATTAGATAAAACCTTGCGTGAATGTGTGCGTGCACGCACCCATGAAGAACTAACCAGCATGAAATGACTATCATCACAGAATTTACAAGTTATATTTTCACAATCTAGATATCTAGGGGACAGATTAAGATATAAGACCATGTTGATAAGGTATTTGTTGCAGAATAAGCCTTGTGATTGTAGCTTTGCCACATTCATCCCCTCGGGTGCTCTCACAGCAGGACCCTGTCCCCAATGTGTCATCCAAGTCACATAAAGGCCTTCAGTACATGTTTTAGATGTTGTGGCTAATCAGAGAACATGAACTTTACATTTGATTTTTGGTGTTCCTTACAGTGGCTTCATCTTCTGTGATAGGAACACATGGACCACAGAAGACCAGTGGTCCCATCTTCTTTTTTTATTGTGTTGTTTGTCAGTGATGGTGGTCTTGAGGCCTGCAGTACTGTGCTGTAATCAGCTGAGGGGATTCTCTAATCTGTGTTGAAGTATATTGTTGCTTTGTTTGATAGAAATGTGCTTTTTAACTTTTATTTTTAAATCCAAAATGTGTCATTAAGACAAATACAAGTTACGTGTATGATTGCGTGAGTGTTTAAACAACGTAATGGGGGTGTAACTGTCTTGTGCCATTAAGTGGCAGTCGTGTCAACGTAGATTTTTTTGTCTCTGGATAATTTTTATGGCTTTTAGGTTTACAGTCTTTTCAGAACCTTTGAATTGAAGCCAGGTTTGCAAATGTCTTTAAATGAGCTAATGGGTCTGTCTGTAGGTGGTGTGTCCTCACATAGAATTCGAAACACAACATATAATTAATATATTCAGTAAGTTTACTTTAAAGCCATGATTCATCTGCTGTTTGATTCTATGCTTTTCAAAGATGTTCGTTTTTCAACCTTTTTTAAAGACAAACTGTTGAGACCCACAATTAATGTGCAGTAAAGCCCTGTTATATAAACACTAAGAAGTATTTTCCCCCCAGACAATAAGCAAGCAAATACTGGATCGTTTCTCGTGTGGGTTTTCTTTTTATCAAGATATGAGTCAGTCAAAGCGTCCTTCGCTAGAAAAGTTTCAAGGACCAACATTAATGCTGGCATTAGCATTCTTTACGCTTAAATCAGCAAGCATTTATTATTATTAACCTTCTGTATTGAGTTCTCCATTTTAAGTCTGCCTGCTGTAAATGTTCCCCACTACATCAGTATGTCCTGTTCTGCTCATGTTGCTCATGTACAGTGGAGTAGTTCAGTAATTATTTGTGGTAGAAGTGTGTGATATGCTCAAGTCATCAATGTAAGGCAGCTTTTCAACAGAACAAAATGCCTTGTGTGCATTTTAACTGTCAGCTTCTGTTTAAAATGGATAAGCTTGTACACATTATAACTGACTTTGTTTTTACATGTCAGCTGTACAAATAGTCATTAAATCGTACATTCAGTAATGAGTAGTGTTTACATTTGGGGTGTGGGGGGGGGCATGCTCAGAGTTGGTGCTGAGTGCTGTTGAGTCTTTTCGTAAACTGTGATATGAGATTAAAGGGGACTTCCACCACTTTTTCAAAATTTCTGCATAATTCAGTGGTTGAGATGTATCCAGAGGCATTCAGAGCGGTTTGTTGTGAAACAGTTCACTGTAGAGAAACTTATAGACTCTGATTTCTTTACAGTGGTGGTAACAGAAACCAGAGGTTGCAATGTCTACAAATATAGCCACTTTATTTACTGTCTAAAGCCACCAGTGAACATACACGTGTCTTCTGAGATGTTATATGTAATGTTGATGATATTAAAATAGTGGTAACCCTGAAAAAGTAGCTTTTCTTTGGGGACTGCTTTGCCTTCCAATGCCTCGCGTGTACCTCTTCACCGTGAATTTTCTTTTAGAAAGTTTTTTTAGTAAAAAGTTTTATCTAAAAACTATTGTAAATTAGTGTCTCAGACTTAAAGCAGCGTATTTATAACCATTTTATGTGACTTGTCTGTGAAGGAGCTTTTACAGACATTAACCTCTTCAGACATCTGGTTCCTATCACCACTACTGTGAAAGTTTCTCTAGGACTGAGCATCAAACCACCCTGAATGACTTTACATCTTAACCTTTGAATTATGCAGAAATTTTGAAAAATGGATGGAATTAGCCTTTAGTCAATGTGACTCAGAAATCATAACACATTTTCCTCTTGTTCTATAATGTATTTCTGAGTTAAACTCTGTATCAGGGAGGCAGGTGGGAGGGGGAGGTGAAACATGATATTATTGATCAATATTATTTTTCCTCACCTGCTAATACACTGTAAAAAGTAGCTGGTCAGATCTACCTAAAAAAATTACTTCATGTGGTAACAAGCAAATGAACTTAAAGAAACTACAGTGATTGAAAGAATCGTTCATTCCAAGTATTTATTAAGGTTGAATAAAACTAGGTAATTTACTTGTTACCACATGAAGTAATTTTTTAGGTAGATCTGATGAGCCACCTTTCACAGTGTACACAGTGACAATCAAAAATCTGAACATGTCTTCAAGACAGGCAAAAGTCATTACATTTCCATCAAAGATTGCTGGAAAATAAGATTTGAAAATGATATAGTAGTAAAAAAGGTTAATTATGGTGTAATTTTGACTTAAATACTGAGTTGGTGTTCTTTTCAGAACAATGTACAATGTCAAGCTTGTAACAATAGAAGAACCCTTTTTGATGCTTTATAGAACCATCTACACCGCAGTCTCCATCAATCTGAGGAACAAAAATCATGCAGCGTTCATTGTTTAATATAGAACCATTTTCTTGACTGAAGAACCCTTAAAGAATCATCTTTGTACCGATGAAATTGAATTCCTTGATGAATCGGGCAATTCGCTATATCACATCGTAATTCTGTGAAAATCAACCATTGTTAGCCACTTAACCAGATTTAAAGTTTTCAGTCCGGAGCAGCTGGACGTTATCTTGTTTCTCTTTGCACGAGACTGAATTTGGCTTATTTGGTTTCTTGTTTGAATTTTCCATTACACCTTAAACGAGGGAGCCGTTACCCAAAGTACTGTACATTAGCGAGAATGCCAGTGCCGCGCCTTTTAAGGTGGAACGGAAAACTTGAATAAGAAGCAGGCAAAAGCTCCATGTTATCTTCCACAACGTTCTGTGAAAAAATACTGTTGAGTGTTGTTTTTTGTTTTCGATTTAGCTGCAGCCCTAATCATGAAGATGTAGAGCTGTGTTTTATTTCTCGCGCTAATCAAACTCAACACACCTATCAGTCACAATGTGCCTTTAACCCCTTTACAATAAAACACGGAGTCTAAGAGTCGATTCCGAGCTTTTCGACTCTGAGTCACTGGCCATGAGTCATCGCTGACTTCCAGGCGTGCTGGAGTCGAAGAATCGACTCTTTTGGAATCGAATCCCCATCACGAAAGCAGATAAGCTAGGTTAGCTAACATTGTGCGCACCAGAGCGGTAGGTTGCCGAGAAGTTGTGAAAAAGTCGTGTTTGCTGGTACATTACGACCAAAACAGACATAAACTATAAAGGTGAGTTAAAATGAATGTGTTTATCTTGGCAAATGATTTTTAATAGCAGAGATTGCTATTATTATTTAGGCCATAAACACTGTTTCACCGCCACCACGAGACAAAATGAAAACAGCTAAGCTAACTTAAGCTAGCTAAGCTAACTAGTTAACCTAAGGTAGCTGTCGCCTTGCTAACACAAGTTAGCTAACTTAACTAGATAAAAGAGAAAGCTAAATAATGCAGTTCAGTTTTTAGGTAACATTAGTTGACCAACGAGCATTAACTTTTAACATTTGCTCAGTTTTTTAAATAATTGTTTATATTGTACCGTCAGTGAAGAAGAAGACGTGGGAGTCACTGTGCTCTAAAGATGAATGCTCTTTTATTGAACAGGCAGCAGGAGAGAACCGCCGCTCAGTGCTAACCAAGTGGCCAGGAAGCAAGCAGGACACTTCTAACTGTACAGCTTTCCCCCATGGCCGACACTCAGCCCAACAAAGAATAGGACAACCAACATGCAAACACATGTCAAACATCAACAGCTTTGACAACAAACATTAAATCTGCGGCAGGGCCCTAGCGCTCTCTCGGGGCTGTGTCCTCTCCATCGGTGCACCACAGTGCAGAGACTGAGCGCTGCATCCTCCTCCCTGGTCGTGGCTGAACTCCCCGCAGCTCACCATTTGTTGTCCAGGCATCCTTGCCATTGTCTCCTTCGCCGTCCTCCAGCTGGGCATTGCTGCCAAGCCATCTCCACCACAGGTCCTTGCTGTGCCTTTTCTTTTTCTGCAGCCTTCAGGTGGACTCTGTCTTCTCCACCGTTCGCCTTTGAGTTTGCTGAAGCACCATTCCTCTCCAGGTCACTGGGAGGGCTGTCCCATTCGCACACCAAAGTAGCATCAGCGAAGAAGAAGACGTGGGACTCATTGCGATTTGAAGGTGAACGCGCTTTTGTTGAACAGGCAGCAAATGAGAAACACCACCCAGCGCTGGCCAAATGGCTGGGATATCAGGCAGGTCACTTCCAGCCATGTACTTTCACTTTGTGACAGACACTTTAACCCACTCAACTAATATTAATATGAACCAATATCACAATCTCAATATAACAGACATTTTCATTATACCTATAACTATATTTTAACACAGACACAATGTACTGATAGTGTCCTATTTTAAAAACAGCCATTAAAACTTTGGGCACTGTGATTTTTATTTAACATTTCACATACTGCACTGCAGTAAACCCATTCAAACAAGACTAATAATGGTCTCTTTGTAATGAAACACAGTATTGGTCAGTGTTTATAAAGTATGAATGATAACCAAGATGTACTCAGAAAAGCATTGTGTTTATCACAATTACAAAATGTATTACAATTACTTTAAAATATTGTCATGTTGTCTACCTCTACTAGGAGCTCCCATAGCCCAGAGTGGTCCTCTTGCTGGTTCCTCCTGGAGGTTAGATAGTACAATTGGTACAAGATAACTGTTTAGTATGACCACAGAGCTAGCCGCTAAGCTTTGAAGCCAAGACTCCGGGTACTAGGAGCATGTCCAGGAGCTTGCCATCAGGTAGCATTCTGGTGTTCTGTGTATTATACTGACATTCAAAGAACATATCTCAGTGTGCTCTACCTCTCTCACTAGCCTTGGAACATTTTCTGTTTACAGCATTATTTTTTTTACTGTGAGATCCCATTGCTTTGGGTAATAGCCAACAGCTTAGTACTTTACAGTATTTTACAGCAATTCACTGGTCCTCAACAGGCTTCATATATTTATGTGTTGAGATTTAGTCCATTTTAAGAGAATGTGTATGTACTTACTTGACCTCCCTAAATCATTCTGTTAAAAAATTACTGAAGGAGGTAGTTGGCCCCTTCCGTGAATAAGCTGCATTTATTTGTATGTTTAAGATGTTATTGTTTCTACTACTGAGCAGCAAAACCTTTAATCAGGCAGCTTGGATCTGGTAACATATCACTTCAAAATAACTCTTGAGTCTATTTGGCTTGGCCCATACACTGCATCTCTTGACTCTGTTTTCTTTTGCAATATTTTGTTTCTGTCACAGCCCAAGTTATCCTTGCTGACTTAAGATAACACACTGCTTAAAGATTGGTATCTGTCTGGTTTTTAAACATCCAAAGACTTCTACCATTTGATGTCATACTTGTGAAACAGTAAAACACATGACCGAGATGGCAAGTGTATATCGGTCTGCTGGCTTGATAAGCTCAGCACCCCGGTTACTGTATGCCACTGCTGGTCCATCCAGATTATTGTTCTGCATGCATTGTCTAACTAGTTTTTAATCTTCTCACACAGATTTTTAGCCTTTTATTTTGGAAAAAAATAGACAAATATTTAAAACAATTGAGAGAAAAAAAATATGACTTGGCCTAATTTGTTGACACTGTGAGCTAGATTGGTTACACCTTTATAACCACCTTTATGTATGATAATTCTGTTACATTTAGTTACTATGCTAATTTAGAAGGATTATGGAAGAAAGAACTGAAGGAAAAATATGTAAGTTGGACTCGATAGCGATATCAATGAGCGATAAAAAGTGGCATTTTGTCTAACAGTCTGATTAAACACCAGTGGGCCGCCCAAAAAACGCTGAGCAAAAAGCCAGAAAGCTGTGCTGTCAGCGGGCAAACAGGGGCCCATTATCCTCTTGCTCTCTGGGAATACTGACAAAATGAAGGTGTCACAGAAAACAGAATTTGGGTGTGCAATTACAACTGCACTTTTTAGCCTGTAGTTCAGCTTTGGAAACACAATTTAAGATGCTGTGTATTGCTGTAGATTGTTTGTATATTGCTGTAGTTGTTGTTATGATAACTCTCAGGAAGTGTGCAAAATTTGGCACAGATTGGCCAAATTTGGCTATTACAGCAACAACTAAACATAATAGTTTCATTGTAAATGCTTTTGTCTGAACTAAACTGTGTGTGCAACATTACTGACACACCTGCTAATGAGAACTAGGGCAGGGGTTCTGAATCCCAGCTGTGGTGACCACACATTTTTTTTTCTATTCCACACACCTGATTAAGCCCACAAGGAATGTGTTATAAAATAATTAAAAGTTGAATCAGATTTGCTGGATGAGACAAAATACAAAAATGTGTGGAGGCTGCCAGGACTGGCACACAGAACCACTGTCTTAAGGCATAAAAATGCAGGCTGTTTGACTTGCCGATTAGAAATGCTTGGACCCCTTTATTGCTACTGGCAGCTATATGTAAATGTGTTATCATATGTTTCATTAGACTTCACGTATTACAGACTTGCAGGTTAGCCTGCCAGTTTAAGACATTTAGTACTGTTACCAGCACTATTTTCCAAAACATAGGCTTTAAACTTCTTAAGCTGCTGCATGTTCTTGTGCTTCTCTTTTCTTGCTCCATGTGCTGGAAGGAACCAATCAGATTAAAATAACAAGAGGATAGCTGGTGCTGAGCCATCTTTTAGGAAACTACAGTGAGGGGAGGTTTTTTATAGGTAAACATCTGAACCTGTGCTGTTTAAACTGTTTAGTGTAGCTGTGTAGAATCTGCTACTTTGATAAAATGCTGGCGTGATTGTGAATTTTTTCAAGCAAGATCCCACCAATCAAAACACCAAAGCTGATTTTTTGCTGCTTGTAATAAAGCAAATTCATTTTAATATATGATTTACAGTGTTGTTAATAAATCTGAAGAACATGTAGTTTGATTATGAATCCAAACATTTTTAAAAACATTTCATAGTTAATCCCAGTGGTGTAGGTTGAAGAATATCTTGGTGTGAGATTACGTAATAAACAAATGTAATTGAATCCTTTCCTCCAGGAATCAGGAATTCTTGAGGCAGTGTGTTAAAAAATGAGCCCATTTCTGGATATTGTGATGTAACATGTAACATTTTACTATTGTAATGAACAAAGTACATTCAGTGTCATCATTCACCACTTGCTTTTATTTACAATATTGTGCTGTAAGATGGAAGCTGACTGATAAGTGGCTTTAGGCCTAGTGTTCACATTTAGAGACCTTATCCACTCTCTACACTCTTTTGTCATACTGACATTTTATGGAGTCTTGGTGAATTTAGCCAGAAGGGCATAGAGAAGCTACAGTAGGCTATAATATAGGGAGTACTTTAACATGTTATGACTCCATGGAACATCAATATTCTCTTCAGCCTGTTTCTTTTTTGTCCCTTTTGCCCTTTCCTTACTGTCCTATTGTCCATTCTTAACAATGATGTTACGGAGCAGTGCGATGAGGGGCTTGTTGGACGTCTCTGACCAGGGCTTCATGAAGCCGCCATAGCGTTTGGCTGCAGGTGGAGTGCTCCAGCGGAAGTGCATCATACGATACTTCTCGGTGCTCTTTGTGTTTTTCTTCTGTGATGGGGCCCCTTTCTCACTGCTGTCCAGCTGCCTCCTGCTCTGGGTCTCCATAGACTGTTCCTCGGGACTCTCCTCCTCCACTGAGCTGCCTGAGTAGACTTTAATGGGCCGGCGCTTGCGGCCCATCGGCTTACCCCAACGGAAATGCTCCATGGAGTAGGAGCGCCTGTCATCAGTGCGCAAAGGCCCTGTACTGGACCTCTTGGCTTGAAGGGCGTCATCCTGAGCCAGAGACGACGTCAGTACGCCCAAACTCAGGCTTTCTTTCTCCTCCTCTTCCACTGTGCTCTGCTGCTGATTTGGAAGAACTTTTTTGGCATCAAAGAGCAGCTGCTTAGATCTGCACTGCCAGATACACTCCTAGCAAGAGGGGGACAAAGACCAAGTGGACATGAATAATGTGTACAATAAATATAACGAAAAAGGGCTGATCACAAAAGTCTTGTTTACTTGTTTTGCTGTCAGACAAAGAAGGGACAGAGAAGACTGGGTAACACTTAAATGCTGCTACATAACATTGGCATAACCATGCCATAAACATGTAAAGGCAGATGTCGTAAGTTGTCATGAGTTGTCATGACAGATTTTGTTCAGTGTTATGGCGTAGTAAAAACCTGTGTAAAAAAAACAGTAAAGTATTCAGACCTTAGATTTTTACAATAATTATTTTCCATTTAAACTCAAGGCATTAATTGAGATTTTAGTAGTGTTCTGATTGTTTTGGTAGTGCATGTTTATGTTTCTGCCACGACACTGATTGTTAGTGTTATGTAACAGCGTTCAAGTAAAGCCATACTGAAGATGACTGACTTTTTAAAGAAACTGCACTAAGAAAGGAAGAACGATATTTGCTTGATTTAAACATACACATCATAAAATACATCTCATCAACACAATTTAGTCTTTCAATTTGCCTGTATTTGGCAGTAATTGTGCTTGCGTAATATATTTCACTCATGAAATAACATTCAGATTGAACTTGATAGATCCAGTGCGTCATTTTTTCATCATGATTTTTCCATCATGACATTTAAAGTGTTTTACCATTATTTTCTCTTCAGATCCTAAATTAGTACAGTCCACAATGTCCCAGCACTGGCCGTCCACTCTTGATCTGCATGCACACAGGACAACTGCAGCACAAAGCCAGGAAAGAACCTGCATCTTCTGCCATGATGAGAAAGACAAATGTGACAAAGAGTTCAAACCTCTGAACTAACATCCAGGTGAGCCTGAATCAAATATGCAGTACATTTCAACAGTTTGGAACCACCTGTTACAGTAATAACTAGATTTAAATCTTATAAACCAGGTATGTCTAGTTCTTTCTTGGTATTTCTAAATTCAAGAATTTAATATACTGTAAATTCTTTAATTCCGTCTATGTACAATAATGCTTTGTCAAGTCATCTACCTCAAGATTTGATCCCCAGTTTTCAAATACAAAGCAGTTTGGATGTTAATTTTATTCTAACCTCATTTTCAATACTTCACTGCTTTCTCAGTCATGTAAGAATCATCTGTGGCTCTGTTCATCATTCTAAAATGTCTTATTATTGTGTAGCTTCTGATATTCGTTATTTGAAAGCTATAAAATTGCACAGGACTGACATACTGAATTCATTTTATACATTTATTCGAAACAGAATTTTTTAATGCTATTCCAAACTTTTCAGCTGTAGGGTAGAACATAAAGGAAGTTGAATGATGCTAACTGAGGGACATTTTCAGCTTTAGAAAAATCTTTCTTCTTAGTCGAGGGAAGCTGACCCTGACAAATATTTTTATGATTCACCGGCAGAGCAGCTTTTGTTTCGCGTAGCTCAATGAAGTGTGTGCTGAAGCGGATGCGGAATTCTTTTCAGAAGTGCAGCAGAGTTTGAATGTCTGTCTTTGAAAAGAAGTATGCTGTAATTGGTATATTGGTGTCAGTTGGTGAATCACACTGGAAAGTGTTGTATGTTAACATAGAATGCATAGCAATATGAAGAGAAGCTCACTTGAATGGCACTCATCTACAGCTATTCATCCATAAAAGAGGGATGATCATGCATATTTTTTTTGTTGTACCCCTCATCTTCTTTATGTTCCTTTTCATTGACGGTCTACCTTTACAGCTATAGATCAGAACAGAGTCAGTGACAGAAGGTTCTCAGCAGCCTCGAGATGTTTTGCTCAGAGTGTTCTTATATGAACCCCTGGCTGTTATAAATGATTTCCCTTTCATTAGTTAGCCACTGTACTGTCAAAGTATGTTGAAAAGCAGTGAGAGGTATAAGATACAGCTGTATGCAAAAGTTTGGGCACCCTGGTAATGAGACATGTTTGTGGAAATGAGTTAAAACATTCTCGACAGAGAACACACTTGTGCACATTTTCAAGCACAGTAACTGTTTATTTGCTGAACTTAACATTGGAAAAAAGTAGAACATAAAATGTGGCTGCAAAGTTTATATATTTATATATTACATATTTATACATTATATATTTTATGTTTTTCGAGTATGTTAACCTTAGCAAATAAACTTCGTTGAAATGTGCAGAAAAATGCTACATGTAGAGGACGTAGAGGACTGTGTAACAGTATAAATAAACATATCACATATAGTATGTAAATACTTCAGATGCTCATTTAAAAGGAAAAAAGCTTGATATTGATATATATTGATATATTTTCAGTGGCAGAAGGCATTTTTTAAAGACTTTAAGTGTTTATCTTTGCAAAAGCAATGATCCTGACCTAATACCTAATATAATGGTATTAATATTATAACGACATTTTTCTAGATTATTTATGAAAATGTATAGTAGTTGAATCTCCTCAATTTCTTTCCCTTTTAGATACAACACATTTAATCAAAAGGGCAAAGGTACCTTTTTATCAGTGTATGTCTTAGTTATGTATAACAGCTTACAAATTGTTTATTTATTAGTTCTTGACTTCAAAAAATGTGTTAATGGTTGTGCAGTTATTTTGAAAAATCATTCAATCCTTTTTCTTTCCATTTCATTATAGAATCAATAAAAACATTTGGAACATGTATACTTTGTACTACAATTAAGGAAACAACCATCTGAAAAAGATTGACATTGTCAGTGTTTGAACTGAATTGTTGTGTTTGAATTGGAATAGTTTAAAATAGTCATTTTAGATTATTTCTATGAAAATAGTAGGAAAATAAAATAAATAATAACCTTCTCTTCCATTTCCTTCTGCCCAATAATATGCAGTATTATATTAAACACTAACAGGACTAGTGTTTATTTTCTATTTTAAAGACATTTGAAAGGATACATGAAGGTCAAAGATAACAGAAATCAGGTTTTGTTTGGCCATGTTTCATTATATATTGTTCAGCTTTGTGTTTACTGCTAATTTTTACATTGTTTACAATTATTAGATTTCTTTAATAAACAACATAAAGTCTAAACATGTTATTTAAAGAGTTGTCGTCATCTAAATGCTGTATTTTATGTACATTACGTGTTATGAGCATGTAAAACTTCCTCTATATTTTATCCCATAGTTTAATCCATTGCAATACATTTTAATGGCCGCAGTTTAGATCGAAACAATTCTAAATTAATGTTAAGTTTATAAATGATTATCTTACCTTTATCAGTATGACTTCTGTCCACCTGGGGGTTCCAGTTCTTTTCTGAGATGAGCTCTGCAAACTTGTTCTTGTTTCTCCTGATCACTTCCTCTGATTGGCTCTCTCTGCTTCTCTGTTTTTTTCTGAATGAGGTCTGCGCTCTTATATACACTCTCAGGTGCATGACAGCCCCTCAAGGCCAGACGACAGTGAAGCGGATGTCATGGTGTTGCGTCTTGATTGGGGGAAGGAGTGTGAGGGGGGGCTGCTTTGGGAGAATCGCTTAGCAAAAGCAACAGATGTAACCCCCACCCACACAAACGTCCGCACCTCACGGCAAACCGCTCAAAGACATCAGCAGAAATGGCCGAATGGATTAACAAGTAGGTGCTTCAGCTATTTGAGCACCTGTTGAATTGGCTGACAGGAAATTTAGCTGCTCATGGTTTTGTAGGAAAGGTCGTTATTGTAACTGTATCAGAACTGATTTAGGGTTCCTGCATTTAATTAGAAAATTGTGAATGACGTTGAGGGAGTGCATCAGTGTTTCCTTCTTTTGTCAGCCAAGGCGTGTAAAGTGTGAAGATCAACCACACATGTCAAAGTACCATTAAAAAATAAGATAGATATGTATTTATATTTTAGAAAGATTTTTTTAAGAATTATAAAAATGTTTCACTAAATTATTAACTTGATTACAATATATATAATTCCATTATAAAATCTAGAATATGACGAGTGGTATAATATTAATATTTTAATAAATATTTATCTATATACACTGCCAGTCAAAAGCTTAGATACACCTAACTGAATGTGTGTTTTTCTTAATCTTACTGACTTTTTAATCTACAGGCTGATGCTTGAATACATATAAATAGTGCAAGTCATGAATATGAATATATTTCCAAAATAAAAATGTAAATTATTTATTTATTGTAATAAAAAGTAGTTTTCAGCAGCCAGCATTGTCTAGGCATACATCTTCTTCAGTCCCGTTAGAAAAGCATTCCAAGTGGCTCCTTATGAAGATGCTTGCGAGAAGAGTATGTAAAGCTGTATTAAGGCAAAAAAGCTACTTTTTGAGAGTCTAAAATATTATATTTTTATGTTCTCTATTTCCATATGTTTTGATTCATATTTTCTTCTTTTTCTTTATTTATGTTCCTATATACATAAAAAATTAACCTTAAAGTTTTGACTGGTAGTGTATATATCAAACTTTTCTTGAATATGCCAATTGCTGGTTTCTTTTTCTATTATAAATTCACTAGAACAGATGACTGTTATTCAACATTTGGATTGTTTATCATTATTTTGTAATTTGAAGGACTACCTCTCACAAAATGCCAGTATTTAAGCTGATCTAACTGACTATATTTGAACTGCTTGCTATTTAATTGGCTAAATTTATCTTTCTTTGCCCAAAAAGAGCAAATTAGCTTTATAAAATGATATTTACGTGTTTATGTTTGACAGCTTAATAACTATTCCAGTTCCCTAAAGTTCTGATTCTCCTCCAAGTGAGGTCAGTAAGCAAGGGAATAGCACATGAGTGGTGACGTGGTTTACTGTAGGTCCTTGGAGATTTCAGAGATGCTCTGTCACGACAGGTGAGCTTAGTTAGGATACCCTAAGGGTCATACTCATTTGCGTCATTTGCACTGGAGGATTTATACTTTAGAATTTTAGGTTGGTATTTTGAAACTGGACAAAAAAGTTCTTAGTTTATGCTTATTGCATCCATAAATGTTAATTACATTTGCTGAAGCCACTATTTTTACATTTGTTAGCTAGCACAGAAGCCTGTTCTTAAATTTTGCAAGATTTTTTGAATGCTTGTCCTTGCTCTACATATGCTACACGGTCAAAGTATGTGGATACATCTAACTTCTAATTAAGGAGGTGAGCTATTTCTGCCACACCCACTGATAACAAGCATCTAACAATAAGTATTTAGCCCTGCAATCTCCATAGTCAAAAACTTGCATTAGATTTGGTCGTATTGAAAAGCTTAGTCACTTTCAACATGGTTCTGTCATAGGCTGACACCTTTCTATTAAGATGGTTTGTCAGGTCTTTAGCCTGCTAGATCTGCCCCAGTCAACTGTAAGTGTTGTTACTGTAAAGTAGAAACAGCTCAGCTCAACTGTGCGTTTATTCTAACTTCACTTTCAATGCCTCACAGCTTTCTCAGTCTTTTAAGAATCATCTGTGGCTCTGGTCATCATTCAAAATTGTCTTATTATTGTGTAGCTTCTTAGCAACTCACTTGGTAGGCCTCATGGAACAGAGCCACCGAGTGATAAAGCTTTTCTTGGTTGCAACACTCAATACAGAGTTCTAAACTGCCTCTGGGAAATACGTTGGCAACGGAGTTGTTCATCAGGTGCTTTATGAACATCTCCATGTTTGAATTATGCAGAAAATGCAGAAACTTTTTGAAGATTTTGAGAATTTAGTGATATTCCCCTTTAAAAGGGCAGTAAAGGCATAACACACTGAAGTCACATTCTTAAATCAGTGGAAAGGGTAATTCCACTGATTTGTCAAAATTTCTGCGTAATTCAATCTTTGAGATGTAAACAAAGCCAGAGTCAGAGTAGTTTGATGTGAAATGGTTCATTGTAAAGAAGCTTTCTGACGCTTTATTTCTTTTCAGTGGTCATATAGGAACCAGGGGTCACAACTATCTACAACTCAAATACAGCCATTTTATTTACTATCCAAAACCACTAGTGAAACTGTATATGTTTTGTGAGGTGTTATATGAAATGTTGATAATGGTAATATAATAGTAAATCTGAAAAAAAATAGAACATCATGCATGTTCCCCTCTGCCATGAATGGATTTAAAATATGTTTTAGGCCAAATATTTCCTCAAAACTATCATAAAACAATGTCTCAGGCATTAAGCAGTGCATGTGTAACCATTTTATTTAATAACTTTCTGTGAGAGAGCTTTTAAACACTCAGATGTCTGATTCCTATCACCACTACTTTGTGCTATTCTTCATAAGTTTCTCTAGAACAGAGCATTTCACACCAGACCACTCTGAATGATGTTGCTTACATCTTAACGATTTAAGCCTGAAATTTGGAAAAATCGGTGGAATCCCCCTTAAACACATGGTCTCATTGCAATAAAGTGACAAAACGAGAATTCACAAGAATGCAGTGGGTTACACATATTTTATACTCAATAGCTCTTGCAATATTGTTTACCAGATACATCAAATAGATAAGACATGCCTAATTAAATTTATTGATTTGCCGAACGTTTAATCGGTTTTGATTAATTGGCCCGTAGTGTGCAGCACATAGTTGGTTTGGGTTCATGTAATCCATTGTATGGATTTTCTCTTGTCTCTGTGCCCTAATGATGAATCCTATTACTGAGGATTACAGGGATAAGATGTCCACTGTCAGTCACACTGCTCCACATTAGAGAAAGAGAGAGAGAGAGAGAAAGTGAGAGAGAGAGAGAGAGAGAGAGATGGACGGATGGTGACAAACATGCTAGAGACCTTTCACTTTTTTCTGCTCTCCTCACGAGGGAAGATGCCTCACAGTTCCAGGTAATCATTACCCATTTATTACCCTTTTATAACACTATAGCACTTGCTTTCTTTCCTTCTCATACAAGAACATTCACCGAAAACGGTGCTGCATTGACTTCAGATGTGCCCATTATTTCCACATGAATAAAACTTAATACATTAATTGTGTCTATCAGTTTACTTACTTTTGGCAATAATTCTGTTGGTGTTATATATTTTACTCATGTGGAATCATGGTGATAAGTAAACACATCATTTTTTCTGTGTTCAGTTTCTTTGGTCATTTCTGTGAGATGGAAACATCAAGCTGTTACCTCCTTATATGGTTTATGCATTTACTAAGTGGTTCACTTTAGTAACTCACTTTAGTGAACTGTGCTCCATCGGTTTGTCACATTGCTGTGTCTTTGAGGGCAGATTTTGTATTACATGAGGAAAATGAAATGCCCTCCAAACAAAAGGAAGAAGTCTCTAAGTGCAGGTCTGTCTAATAAAAGTGCCACCTGAAGGCACTCAGGTCCTCCTCCATCACTCTGATTCATTCTTCATTGACTGCTAATAGTATGGCCGGAAATATTAGTCAGGAAACATATGAATGTGGAGGGACATGGGAACTGCTCTTTAACCTTGTTAGCTTTAACACCTCCATACCCTGCTGGACGCTTTGCTTTGGCCTCAGGATGTGCAGAAAGAATGGCTGGGTAAGATGTGATGCTACATTATGGCACTCTGATGTGGATATATGATGCTGTATGTTGTGGTCTAAGCTCTGCGCATGAAAGGCTTGGCTAAACAAAGAGTCTTGCTAATGAATTAGCTTCCCTTGCAAGGCAAATTAGATTATTGGGTGCAACTTAGGTGTATTTGTGCCATGCAGGTGCTGCCATTTTCACTTTGATTAGTAAATTCTGTTTGACCTGTTTTAGACTATTTGAAAATGGTACAAAAATATATTTTATGTCTGATCTTATGAATTCTATTGGTGTTTTATTTTTTTTTTGGTTCCAAAACTGACTGGAGCATGTTTATCACTGTGTCATATCATCACTTAATAAACGCTTGAGGACTAAAGACACCAATTCATCCAGTTTTGAAAACGGAATTTTTTTGTTATTTTTCAGTTATACACGTCTTCAGCTAAGCAATTGTATGGGGCCTTCTTTGTGTATCATGCCCCACATATTTTCAATAGGGGACAGGCAGGCTTGTCTTGCACCCACACTCCCTGATTGTGCAGCCATACTGTTGTAACACGTGCAGACTGTGGCTTGCCGTTGTCATGCTGAAAAAAAACATGGGTGTCCCTGAAAAAGACATTTAAAGGCAGCATATGTTGTTCCAAAATAACAAAATGTGTATGTATCTCTAGCATTAATGGTGCTCTCACAGATGTACAATTTATCCTCTACTACCCCCCATGCCATTACACACCCTGGCTCTTGAATTTTCACTGGTAACAATGTGGATGGTCATCTTCTTCTTTGGCCCAGAGAACAAAATGTCCATTATCTCCATAAACAATTTGAAGGTTGACTCGTTAGACCATAATGCACATTTCATCAGTCCATTTCGGGTGAACCCAAGTCCAGAGAAGTTGGCAGCACTTGTAGATGTTGTTGACATGTGGCTCCCACTGTGCACAGTACAGTCCTAACATTGCATTTGTGGATGCAGCAACAAACAAAAGTGTTTATTAACAAAGTATTTTTGGGCCCATGCAGTGAAATCCATCACAGAAGCATGCCAGTTTTTGAATGCAGTGCCATCTAATAGATCTAAGGTCATAGGTATTTAGCTGTGTTTTTTGGCGTTAGAGATATTTCTGGATTCCCTGCATCTTTTAACAATAATACGTACTGTAGAGTGTAAAATACCTAAAATCCTTACAAAAACTTGTTAAAGAACATTGTTTTTGAACAGTTGGGCTATTTGCTGATACATTTTTGGCAAAGTGGTGAGCATCAACCCATCTTCACTCACTAAAGAGTAAGGCTTTCTTGGATTCTTGTTTTATAACCAAACATGAGAACATCACCTCTTTTAAAAGGGTTTCTAAACCTTTAACAACGTTTCTAGTCTTAATTTGCCCCATCACAACCTTTTTGGAATGTGTACAGGCATCAGTTTTAGTATGAGCATATATTTACAAAAAAAAAAACAATGAAGTTGTTCAAATAAAACATGAAATATCTTGTCTTTGTATTGCTTTTGTTCAAATACAGGTCAAAGTGGATTTACAAGTCACTGCTTTCTGTTTGTATTATGTGTAGTCTTAACTTTGTTGGATTTGGGTTTATATGTGTGAGAATATTAACTTAACCATTCCCTAATCTCTCCTCAAGGAAGTCCAGAACTACCACTCAATACCTAGTTTATCTGATCAGTCCTTCATTAAATAAAATGAGATGCTGCAGATCGAATTGAGCAAATCCATGTGATTGCTGGAGTGCAGTGAGAACTCAGGAACCAAATCTGTGTTCTTCTAACCAAAATATAATTAATAATGTTTTAAAAAAACAAAACATTCTTATTACATTTACTGTATTTGTTTTTTTTTTTATATTTATTACAATGTTATGAGGTTTTTTGACATAACTGTGTTAAGTAGCTTCTGAAACCCATGAATTAATAAGCACTCAGTGAATTCGAGTCAGATGACCTGTTTTGTTGTTTTTTTTTAAATGAAAATAAGTTAACACATCTGTTAGAGGAACAAATTTAAATATGTCATTTTTCCTGTAAATGTTAGTGCACAATTTCTATTTATTTGCTGAAAAAAAACAGAATATAAAATATGCAATCATTTTTGCACAGGCCACATTTAATGTTTTATTTTTTCCCAGCGTGTTCAATTCAGCAAACACACAGTAATTGTGTATTAAAATGCGTAGAAGTGTGTTCTCTGTAGAGGATGTGTTCACTTTTTTTCAATTAGAAAATCAACAAAACTTGTCATTTGACCAGGGCTGCCCAAACATTTGCACACAACTGTAGATGGTAACTACTGATCTGTTTATTCTTAACTCTCCCTGAGTAGATGAACTTTCACTGTTGCTGTGGTCTTGATCCGCCACCTCTAAGAAGGAAAGTGCACGAGTCACTAAAGCACCTTAGCAGTGGATGTTGACTGGCTGACCTAAAGTCTGATCAGAGCAGGGCATTACAGGTGGCTCAGGATGTGGGTGACATTTAATTAAAGTGTCACGTTTAGAGACATAATTACAGTTTGCAGCATTATTTTGTTAGGGGACGCGCCAATATGAAAATTCTAGGTCGTTGTCTGTAGCTGGTGATTGCCAGTAACTGGTCATTTTATATATTTATATATTTGTTTGTTTGTTTGTTTGTTTGCATTTTAAGACAAGCTTACACTATAATCCATATATAATGTGCATGTGGTGACCCAACACCTATGGCAACTATGGTGCCTATTGCCACTAATATATTGTGCACCTCTAATTTTGGTGCTCCTGATTATTAAGATGACCACAGTACACTGTAAAAAAGTTCTACACTACGCAATAATTTATGTGATTATCATAAATTATTATGTGTTTAAATGAGTCCTGTATGAAAGTGTTTTTGGATGCGCATTGGCTTGATTCCCTTTTTCTTGCTCCCTTTTTTTCTGTTTTAGAGTGATGTAACCATTTGGAAAAGGCTCCTATGGGAACAGGGACTGTAGAGTTCCTGATATTGTGGAAGAGGTTTTCTCTTGATGAATTATTCTCCATCCTCACTGAGATTGGAGTTTAGAGAGACAGTATGCTGGCCTGATCCCTGCAGATCTCTCCAGAAAGGTGGGCTGGGGGTCAGCTGAGGTGGGCAGATGGAGGGTGGGACTCTCCTGCCCCTCCTGGTGGTCATACTGGGCTTGAGGTTATTTCAGGTGGCTGGAGCCGATGACGACCACTCTGAGCACACTCACCAGGTCAGCACAGCTCAGTGCGGTGAGTACAGTAACCAAGTGATGGAGGATGGTATGTGCAGGCTTGTGGCCACGCTGCCCCAGCTGGATGACCAGCGCTGCCCAGACATGTTCCGCTGCACAGACGAGGTGTCCTACTGGCTTCATGAGAACGAGGAACGTAAGCAGCAGATTCTGGCTCTGCGAGAGACTGTATCCGAGCTGCAGGAGGAACTCCGCAATCACCGTCATCGGGTCAAAGTCCTTGAGCTACAAGTCAGTATTATTATTAATGATAATAATAATATTGGAGATTTATTTAGCACCCATAGATGCTGTACAATAAGACTGTAGTAAATTATATACAAAATGTAAAAAAGAACCTTCAAACTACATAAACTACATAGAGTTCATTTATAATATTAAATCAAATCAAATAAAAATATAAATAAAATTATAATGAGCTCAAATGCCAAAAAGGCGACACATAAAAGCTAATTATAGAAGACATACAGAGAAATAGAAAGACAATATGAATAAAAATATTCAAGCAAGGTGAAAGAATTCACCTGCCTCAAAAATCAAGCTCTAAAGCCATAGTTACACTGTTATCCAGCCACCAGTGCTGCAGAACTGGGCCAGAGCTGTCCTGGACACCAGCCCTCCACAACCAGAACTGAACACCTCTTAATAGGGCCAGTGTTGTACTGGACATGTGCATGCATGGCAAGTTACATATGTCTTTAACTGGAAATCACATAGCTACCAACTTCATAGTCAAATTTCTTTTCTTATTAGGATATGGCAAATTATTAGCTTTATGAGATGGCATTTGGAATATACAGGGTGGTTCAAAAAGACTGATCCGATTTTGAAATGATTTATTTCAGTTGTAAATCATTACAGAACAACGCCGTAAATTGTAAATGGTTTAAGTGAGCATAAAGTTTATTATATTCATCCCATACTTGATTGATCATGTCGGTTGTCACTGCACTCACGGCTCTTTCAGTGCGATTTTGGAGATCATCCAGTGTTGTGGAACCAACGACGAATGCTCTGAGCTGTTGGAGGTTCACTGCCGACGAAAATCACATTGCACAGTTATGACGGATTCACTTTTAGTTTATATTGTGGACTGGAACAGGCAAATACGCTGTTTTCTAAGTGCTGTAGATGCATATAGGTTGTTGTGATGGACACTTTGCCTGTGTTTAAAATGTCTTTTACCTTTATATACTTACTTGTACATTTAAAATTGGAATCCTGCTTATGATTGTAGGTTAAAATCCTTACAGTTCAGGTGAGCCACCAAAGTAGGCCGCCAATCTCAAGCTAGTTAGGCTCGCTTGACAGCTTGTGGCATACTAATTCATGACAGGTGAGCTTCTGCACAGTCTCTGAAGGAACTTGCAAGAGGAACAAAAAAAGATATTCAGCAACTTTAAAGCCTTCGTTACTAAAATTTGAAATTACTGACACAGTGCAATACAAGCAGAGGAAGTGATTTCAAATAACCAGCAATTTCCATAAGTGATCACACTAGCATGAACATATTGCTTATTTGAAAGATTGTGGAGGTTCCTCTTTGCTCTGACTAGCTCAGCACTGCAGTTTTCTTCTTAAAGTCTCCTTGACCCTCAGCGGTAACAGGATTAGCATTGAGGCCTTGACCCCTCTCCACGTGCTTGGCTGTGTGTACATGTAAGTTCTTCACGCTGCGCTGTAACAGCTAGAGCAGGAGCTGAAACATTAAGCTCACGCCCAGAGGGCTGAATCTCCTCGCTCTTAAAGCAGGAAGTATACAAACCATTGCACTGCAGGTCTTCCAGAGTGATAAAAATTTTGTTGTTTAATGTTTTTAAAAGTGAGTAAAATATGTTAATTCATAGCACAAAAATATATTAATATACTTTTAACTACTCTTAGACAAGATGTTCTTAAAAAGGTTGTTACTGAAGTACCACAATAACAGCTATTGTTGTATGCAAAAATTAGGTTTTTTTGTTTATTTTTTATGTGAAAATAAGAGAGCTCAACAGAGAACTCACTTAAATGTGGCATTTTCTTTCTCATTAAAATAATAAATAATAATGAAAATGTTATTATAACCATGTTTCCAAAAAGGCTGAGACACTGTGCAAAATGTAAATAAAGAGTGTAATGTTGAAAATAGTACAAAGACAACATAGTAAATATTCAAACTGAAAAATGTTATTGTTTTTTGATAAATATATGCCCGTTTTGAATTGATACCAGCAACATGTTCCAAAAAAGTTGGGACAGGGCAGAAAAAGTCTGGGAAAGTATAATTGGAAAAAAAAAGAAAAAAAAACACCTGGTGAAATATCTCACAACTAATTAACTGGCAACAGGTCAGTCATGTTATTGTGCATCCCAGAGAGGCTGAGTCTTTCAGAAGTAAAGATGGGCAGAGGTTCACCACTCTGTGAAAGTCAACAATTCAAGAATAATGTTTCTTAATATAAAATAGCAAAGAATTTGGGGATTTCATCATCTACGGTACATAATATTAAAATATTCAGTGAATCCAGAGAAATCTCTGTATGTAAGGGTCAAGGCTGAAAACCAGTATTGCCTGGCTGTGATCTTTGGGCCCTCAGATGGCACTGTATTAAAAACTCACTGCATGGTCTCAGGAACACTTGCGAAAACCACTGTCTGTGAACAAAGTTTGTCACTGCATCCACAAATGCAAGTTAAAACTCTACCATGCAAAGAACAAACCATATATAAGCAGGATCCAGAGATAATGCTGCTATCTCTGGGGCCCAGCTCATTTAAGATTGACTGAGGCGAAGTGGAAAAGTGTCTTGGTCCGCCAAATCAAAATTTGAATCAAATTCTTAGTCCTCCAGACTAAAGAGGAGAGGGACCATTCAGCTTGTTATCAGCACATAGTTCAAAGGTCAACATCCATAATGCTATCGGAGGACATGCACATGGCATGGATGACTTGCACATCTGTGCGACATTAATGTTGAATGAAATATACATGTTTTGGAGCAACATATGCTGCCATCCAAGTGACGTCTTTTTCAGGGAAGGCCTTGATTATTTCAGCAAGACAATGCCAAACCAAATTCTGCATGCATTACAGCATTGCTTCGTATTGAAAGAGTCCACGTGCTAAACTGACCTGCCTGCAATCCACACCCACTGAAAACATTTGCCGCATTATGAAAACAAAAATACAACAAAGCACACTCCAAACTGTTGAAGAGCTGAAATTCTATATCAATCAAGAATGGGAAAGCTATTCACTTTCAAAACTACAGCAATTGGTCTCCTCCAAATGCTTACAGAGTGTTGTTAAAAGAAGAGGTGATGAAACAGTGGTAAAGAAACCCTTGTTCCAACTTTTTTGAAAAATGCTGCTGGTGTCAAATTCAAAATAGGCATATATTTTTCAAAAAACAATACAATTTCTCAGTTTCAAAGATTGATATGTTGTCTTTATACTATTTTTAATTAAATACAGGGTTTAAATGATTTGCACATCATTGTATTATGTTTTTATTTACATTTTGCACAGCATCCCAACTGTTTTGGAAAGGGGTTATATAAATATTAACAGTATTATTTTGGGAGATGTTTATTTTCATGATAATTCCTATTGGAAAGATAAACACTAAGTCAGAGAAACTAACCAGCTTGATTTCCCTGTTAATGAACTTTGATAAATGACTCAGTTTAAAAGAAAGAACTACTACCTAAAAGCTTCCTGAGCTTCTATTTCCTTAGTGCAGTTTTTTCACAGCTTTTTAAAGACATTGTTTCATTACTTTAAGAATGTGCAAAAGTGTTCTCTGTAGAGGATGTGTTAATTTTGACTTAGAAAATCAACAAAACATGTCCTTTGACCAGGGGTGCACCAACTTTTGACTCTATGTGTATGAGTTTTTATTGACTTACAGTACTATACGAAGGTTTTAGGCGTCTGGGACAATATGTTAAATCTTTTATCAGGGTCCAGTTTCCCAAAAACATCTTAGTGTTGAAATCATCTTAACTGGTAGAGTTAGTGTGCAATGTGATGCTCGCTCTACCGCTGTATGATCTGTGTGCTAAGATGCTTTTGGGACACCCAGCTCTGGGGAGAAAGCATTCATTTGTTTAAGATAAAAAAACACTAATATTATAATACAAATAAATGATACCCTGTGACTTTACACTACTGTTCAAATTGCGATTCCAGTATTATTTACTGTTTTCAATAATAATAAAACAGTTTTTGATTATTGAACATTTTTTGCTCCAAGCACATTTGTATGTTTCAACTAATTACTAGGAAGCTGTGAACAATGAAGAAATGTTAGATTCCAGAATGATGAACAGAGCTGTAAAAGATGCTATAATAATTGAGAAAACTGTAGAACATTGAGGATGAAATTCTAATAAAGTTAATGAATGTAGCATTTTTGAAAAGTTGTGATCAAATCTCGAGGCAGATAACTAATCAAGGAATTACTGTGTAAGTAGATATTTACAGTGTATATACAGATATTTACAACTTCCCATACGATGTTCCCAAGAAATGTCTTGAAGCACCAACTTGTGTTTAGTTTATAATATTTAAATCTATATTATATGAGTTATTATTGACTGAAATGACAGCAATTATTAATTGACAAGTGAATATAAACTTTTGAATGGTGGTATATGTGTGTCATTGTCAGCTTAACCATTTCCAAAGTTCTCCTCGAGGAAGCCGAGTATCTGCAGTTACCACCCAATACCTAGTTTATCTAATCAATCCGTCATTAAATTAAATCTGGAGTACTGATGAAATTTAACAAATCCATGCAATGATGTGCAGCAAGAAGTCAGAAACCAAACCTGTGTTCCTCTAACTGTATTGCTCTAAGATATTAATCTTTATTGACTGCCCAGATCAGTAGTTTTTTTGGCTGCGTAAAACACAGTACTGTAGGTTTGCTGTTCCTTCTGCAGAGTGAAGAGAAATCTCGTCTGAACTCATCCCTGGAGCAGCGCTTCCATGAGCTGGAGGAGCATTATGCAGAGGCCACCACACTGCTCCACATCCAGGGCTCACTAGTCTATGACCTTCAGGCTCAGATCCAGAACCTGTCCATGCTGGTGGAAAAGGTCCGGCGCAACCCTGGTTGCATGATCAACATTGTGCGCACAAGCCCCTTGCTGAGTGCCCAGCAGGCCCTGCACCCAGGTAGGCTGAGTCAAGCTTCTTTAAGTTTATCCTCCCTCTTACTGGGCAATGCACAGCTGAATAACAAAACCAGTTAGGATCAGAAAAATTGCAGCAACTGATAAGGCCCTGCCAAGACAATAAGCTAAGATGCCATCATATTTAGCAGAAGAATCATAGCAACATTTCAAAATCTTCTGATCTTTAGACTGCTTTGCTAAAATGCCTGAAAAGATACTCAACTCAAATAGTTAAATACTATAAAACCCAGACATACCTTATATCCAGTTATCTAATATCCATTTGTAGGTTTATGTGCTGAATTTAACACATTGTGGCCCATGCAAAAATGATGTAGTTATGTCACAGTTTATATATATATATATATATATATATATATTTTTTTTTTTCCCAGTATGTTAAATTGATCAAATAAATGTGCACTGAAATTAGGAGTAAATGCCATGTTTAAGTTTGCACCCTGTAGAAGATTTCCTTATTTTCACTTACAGCCATCATGTTATAGGGCTCTTTAGCTTGGATGGGGTTCTAATCGAGGTAGAAGGGATCATGACTGCCCCCACTATCAATCTATTTTGGCACAAAACCTTTTGGCTTCTCTCAGAAAGCTTAAGGTGAAAAGGAATTTCACCTGGCAGTTTGAAGGAGCTTGAAAATTTTTGAAAGGAAGAGTGGGATAAAATTGCAATGTATGAATATAAAAGGCTTATAAAAACCTGTACATCCATATTTCATAGTTGTTCCAACAACTCAAATGACAAAATTATGCAAAGAACTGCAGAATTCAGCTGAAATTACAGTTCTTCCTATCGATAAAATAGAGTAAGGATTAGAGTAAGGACTCAGTAAGGAGACCACATTAGGCCTGTAAAAGGTTACTGGTGCAAATCCCATTTGGCTTAGTAACAACGAGCTGCACATTCTCATGCTCTTGTCCTTCGTTTCCTCTCTGCCTTCGGTCAGGAAAAGCCAGTTAACACCAGTGTTGCTTTCACACAGCATTCATGTCTCAAATCCCCTTTTGTCCAAGCTTGCTTGAAATTTAGAATATCAGTGTATTTAAACAACTAAAGTTTCACAAATATGGGGGTATTAGCTTCGATCACTTTTTTAGCTACATTAGCCTTGTAGCTCCAGTGCTTCAGAAAGTTCAGACACCCAACATGTAGGCTGATCGATTTTTATTAAACTACTCCTTTAAGTAAAAATGAATATTAATTTATTAAAATGTGCGTTGTTCTACACCAGAGGTGCAGCACGTCCGAAACTGTCCCATCGACTGTGCTTCCATCTACTACAACGGTGTGCGGCGCTCTGGGATCTACACTGTGGTGCCATCATTAGGGGCCATGCCTGTGGAGGTCTACTGTGACATGGACACTGATGGTAATGTTTTCACAGCATTTACAGACTCAGTGAACTTATAAATTACCTTATAATATATTCATTAAACCTAGAAGGCCTGTAGAATTTCCTTACCTTTTTCTGAAAACATCTTCACGTTTACATTTAGTTAATTAAGAGGCTCTTATCCAGAGCGACTTTGCCTGCTCATTGGAATTGCAGCAACTCCTTGCTTATAGAGTAAATCCATTACAGTTAATCCTTTTTAAGTTAACAGTGTGATGAAATGCTGACATCTACATAAAATAGAGAGGTGAAGTTACTGATTACTGTTGAACAAGCTGACCTAAGAGGCCTCTGTCTATGCAACAAAAAATATTGAATCAGATTTGTAACCTGTACTGAATATATGTGTGTTGTGGTTCTCCCAGGTGGTGGTTGGACAGTAATTCAGCGTCGGCAGGATGGCTCAGTGAACTTTGATCGTGGCTGGAAAGAGTACAAGGACGGCTTTGGGGACTTGCACACTGAGTACTGGCTGGGAAACGAGCACATTCATGACCTGTCCAGCCAGGGAGACTACGCACTACGCATAGACCTGGAGGACTGGAGCGGCAAACACAAATACGCTCTTTACCAGAGCTTCAGGTGACACTAGCTATCTCCTGTGACAGTTTTCCCCTTACTCAAACGTCCGCAAAGACATTTGGTGTCTGATGTTTTCTTCATTAATTTTGCACTGGAGCTTTGAAGCTAATGCAGCTAATAGGTAAGGAAAGCTTATACCCCACCAGTTAGCACTGTGCAAGCTGCATGCCTGAATCATCACACGCTTGCCACATTTAGCTGTTAAGTAATATAAATTTGCTAATATGGTTTCTGGCCATCTAGAAATATATTATCATGGTGACCATACATACTCTTTGTCCAGGGCATGCTCTCTTTTTGGGACCTAATAAATGCGTCCGGCTGGGTTTTCTAAATTGCCAAAAATGTCTGGGCTTTAGCTTTGATATCACGTTGACATTTGCTTTCTACAGGCTCGCCCTGTAGCTTCAAGCATCCTTTTTTTGAAAACCAAAATATGGTCACCCTAATATATTACTTTGTTTGAACCTGATGTGCCCCTGATCACTAAACTAGACCTTCAACTGTTCCAATGATAAAAATGTGTCTGTGTGCATCAGCACCACGTAAAAACTCTCTTTGTGTGTTGGCAGTATTGAGGATGAGGCAACCCAGTACAGGCTTCATATCTCTGGCTTCAGTGGAACAGTGGAGGATTCTTTCAGCTGGTACCACGACAAGCAGAGCTTCAGCACCCCGGACACGGGCAACATCTGTGCAGAAATCTCTCATGCTGGCTGGTGGTACAATCAGTGCTTCTATGCCAACTTAAATGGCATCTACCACAAGGTACTTGTCCTTTTTTACATCAGATGTTTAAGGGACATGGAATATTCTGCTGCACAGAGCTCCATTCGTCAGCCTTAGTGTTTTGACAAAATTCACGTTTTAAATCACCTTTGTGGTTTTGTCCGCCTGTGTTCTCTCACTGCTGTCTGAGACATGTTTACAAGATAGAAATCAGTGGTCACCAATCTTATTCACAGAGGGCCGGTGTAGCTGCAGGTTTTCATTCCAACCAAACAGGAGCACACTTCCTATAATGTACCACTTGTTTCAAGACTGAGACCAAATAATTATACAAGCAGAATCAGTTGTGCTTCTGCATGATTGTAATAAAACTTGCAGCCAAACTGACTTTCTGGATAAGACTGTTGATCCCTTTAAGTTATTGTATGTTCACAAAGAAAATATGCTGTTATTCTGATCTGCAGGGTGGACGCTACTCTCCGAAAGGGAAAAGTGCTCTCGGGCCCAATGGGATTGTGTGGTTCACCTGGAAAGATTCAGACTATTACTCCCTGCGCAAAGTGAGCATGATGATCCGCCCTCGAACATTCCGGCCACACTTGTCTCCCTAAGCAACTGAGTCATTAGCCAGCCAATCATAAGCCTCAGAGCCACAATGACAGAAGATGACTGGAGGAACAGAAGATGTGACGATGCTTTCTGCGAAGTGGACTTCTGAAGGGTTAATATGGTATTATATGGACAGACACACAGAGATTGGATTTTTTTTTAGGTCGAAAATAAAGACTGGGAAATCAGTTGACTAGTAAAATGTTACCAGACTTGTATCAAGTTCCATGCCTACATTCTATATTTGCTTTTTTCTTTTTAGCATTTTTGGTTAAAATTCTTTGAAATAGATAGGGAATCACAGATAAGAATTTGAGTGCATTCGTTCTTTATGTAAAAAGAAAAGCTAATGACTAGTACAGAGACATGAACCACAAGAAAATTCCTCCTCTGCTGGCGTAAACTCATTCACCTACAAAAACAACACGTTCATCATTCCTCCTCATTCACATTCTCCTGAAAGCACTTATAGCTGCCCAGGAGAACAGATATGCGCCCAAAAAAAAAGAAAAAGAACAAAATAATCCCAGAAGGAGAGAGTACAAATCAGGGTTTATTAAATCATATCAGAATTATTTTTGTGTTTTTTTTTCTTCAATAATTTCTGGTGCAAACATTGCTATACATAAAATGATACATCAAGAACTGAAGCACATGCATTGGATAAAGAATATACGTTCAGTGTGAGAAGACAAAGAAGTGCATGAGAAAAACAGATTGCACGGTGGCAACGTGGCAGAGAAAATTGCTTAGCGACAGGCGAAAAAAGTAAAGCTGTTCGTCATTTGGCTTTGAAGGAAACATAAAGCACCTGTTTGATGTTTGAATGAAATCTATGGCGCAAAAAAAAGGACCAGCCCTCCTGTATCTACTCCAGAGATGTCAAACGGGTTTATGCATGTACGCATGTGTCTATGTACGCGTGTATATAGAAAGATGTGCATAAAGACTTATCTTTATATACGTTTTGGCACTGTAATGAACATAGTTTTGCACTGAAAAACACCTCATTAAAGTGCACGGCGTAAAAAGCATGCTGAACTTCAGCACACACATAAAGGCACAGTGAAAGAGGCCGCACCTCTGCTATTGCAAAAGAGTGCACACAGAAAATGGCACAGTAGAAAGCATGTAAGACTCTCTTCTCTGTCTTTCTCTGGATACGTAAACTGACAGACTAGGATATCACAGACAAAGATGGCTGGAAGTGGTTCTGAATGTGACAAATTGAAACAACATACAGTATTGTGCAAAAGTCAAAATGGCCATTAAGAGCAAGTTATTCATTTTTCAGGAGATGTCAAAAGAGATTCAGTATATGCCACTTGCATAAGGAGGTGGAAAGTCAAAGGAAAATAAGTGGGGAAAATAGAAGTTTCTAAAACTGGAGTTCAAAAACGATTAAGAGATAGAGAAAATGGGACTCCTAACAACTGCGCAAGAGTTGGTGGACCACCAAAACTGTCAATACTCTTGCTCTGAAAAAAATCCACAGGTGTTTCTGTCAAGAAGCCATTAGTGAGAAAATCAAACAGACAATAAAGATGAAAATTTTGCAAATCAAAGAAGCTGCTGTTCTCAGATCAATTGACTGACCACCGCAGAGTCCAGACCTCAACATCACAATGTGTTTGGAATAATTTGGATTACGCGAAGCAGAAAATGCAACCACTTCTGAGACTGGACTTTAGAGGTGTGGAAAGAATGGAAGCTGTAATAAAGGTAAATGGTTGACACAGCAAATACTGTAATATCTGATCTCTAATATCTGCTTTTTGCTTTTTCTCCCTGATGCTGAAAAATAAATAATGCATAACAGCCATTTTGACTGGAATTTAAATAAAACAAAGGGTGGTCTCTTTTGCACAGTACTGTAATGCACAGCATTATGATGGATGCAGTACTAGGTGTTAACCTCATATAGCCTCTTCACTGCTTCTGGAGGAAGACTGGCTGTTGATTTGAAGGAAAAGGAACACTTCAACATTTTCAAACTTATCTCAATCTGAATCTATATTGCACGGTCATTTACCACAGACGATAAGTTCTCTTACTGAACAGAAGAGGAAATGTGTTGGTTCACAAAACACAATAGAAACCAATGGGCAAGTGCCTTTGCTTCCATTAGGTTCTATTATAACTGTGCTTCAAGTCAGTGCTTTTCTGTTCAGGGTAATGTGTCAAAGTTATTATTTGTGTCGTCAACCTTATGCTATTCGTACTATACACAGAGACTAGGTTGAAAAACTCAAAGTATCCATTTAATTAAAAAAATGAGAACGGTTGGGAGATCTGTTTGTGTTAATAGAGAGAGAGAGAGAGAGAGAGAGAGAGGCTAAGTGATACTTTAGCTAACTGCCTTTGGCCTGAGATCAACAGAAGCTTTTTATGGCACTGAGGTCATAGACAAACAAAGATCTTAAAAAGAAAGAGGAACTGAAAAGAAAGCGAGAGCAAGCGAGTGAGAGAGAGACAGGAAATTAGAGAGAGGGCCTTGTATGTGCAGCAGTGCCTGGCTCAGTGCAGTCCTCTTCTCTTTACATGGTCGTGAACTGACTGTGAGCGTGTCTCAGCTTCTCAGCAATCTATAGGTGCAAAACAGCATTCACTGTATAGATCTTTCTCATCAACATACGTCTATTCACCAATTCAGTCATTCATTTCTCAGCATTACTCATCACAAGTGCTGAAGGACCCATCCAAACACTATCTATGCTAAAAATATGCCTGAATTACATGCAGGCCTACGTGTTTGTGCAAAACGTCTATGAATGGATGGACTTTTAGAAGCTTTAAAATCAGTTTACCGTCTCATAGAATTTCACTTGCTGCTCCAGATACAACTGCATCACTCTGTTGTAGTCATAGATGCGGTTGCTATGGAAGTGATTCATTTCCGCTGCAGGGACAAAATTAAGACAGGTATTGGGTTTCAAGCTTCAGACATCAATAACAAAGTCTCTGGATGCTGTGTTGTTAAAGAAATAGTGATATAAATTCAATTCATACAATTTTCTCTTTACCTCGAAAGCTAATTCAGCCAAAACATGTTTGATGTTTGGTATGAGGCTAATATAGCTAACAAGTACAAGCAGCTTACCAGGGATGTATATAAGCTTTTCGAGCAGGCAGCTCTAGTGCAAGCAAAACTGGATCAATTAAAGGGGAATTATACCTTTTTATCAGTTTAGAGTGGTTTACAGCGGTACTGATGGGAACCAGATGTCCAAAGACTTAAATGTCTCTAAAAGCTAACTCACAGGAAGTTATTACAAAAATGATTATGAATATGCTGCCCGATGCCTGAAACATTGTTTTATAAAGGTTGAGTGATATGATTTTGACCTAAAACATACTAAAAGTATTTTTTAAGTATACAATCATCGTGGAGAGTTACGTGACGGGTGTTTAAAGGCTAAATAGTCCCCAATAAAATTACTTTTCAAGATTTGTAAATATTTATCCACTACCAACATTACATATAAACATAAGACAGAAACAGTTTGACTGATTGTCTTGGACAGTAAATAATTAGGTTTATGTTTGTGTTGTAGACATTGTGACTCCTGGTTCCCATCACGTCCATTGAAAAAAAATTGAGTCAGTAAGTTTCTCTACAATGAAGCATTTCACATCAAACTACTCTGAATAATTATGTTTATATCCCAATGACTAAGCTATGCAGAACTTTTTAAAAACCAGTGGAATTCCCCTTTAAAGAACTTTAGCACTGAGATAAAACAACATAATATTACTTCTAAAAACTATTAATCCCAATTAAGTGGAACAATTTGTTAATTTCACTGTGCAAAAACAGAAGCAGCATATAAATGGATTTTGTATGTTGATTTTGTTAAATTTACAAATATTTCTTTTTCTACAATTAATCCAGATTCCTCACAAGGGGGAGTTATTGGCACTCAGACCACATTTTTGTGCATTATTGAGAGAGGAAATCTACACCAGCAGGATCTCAAAACCTGAGATTTTTAACTTTTTATTCTGAAATAGTATACAGGCTAAAGAGAGCTCAAACCTTAAACAGACCTAGTTATGTGGGTCCTGACAGTGTTATGCATGCAGATAAACAGAATTATGGACAAAATACAAGCTTCAAAATGGCTATTACTGCAGTTTTATGTGATGTACTTTGATATTTTTCATCAACGAAGCAAACTTCAGACACCGAACATGCTGATAAAGTACGTTTACAGAAACAGAGAAAAATGTATAAATTTGATTTCTGGATAAACTATTCCTTTAAGCTGAATTGAAAGAGTGGTACATTACCCTGCAATGCATATGACATGGTGCTGGCTCGCTTGCCCATGGTGACCTTTTCTGTGGCGGTTATTTTATTGGTGGCCACCAGTTTGTCAGCCTCTTTCACCTTCTCTATGGCAGCCTAGAAAGACCAAAACATAACATAAATATACAATCTGTACTTAATATGTAATCTACTTTAATCATCCACCAGGAGGTGCTAGCCTCTTTGGTTTCACTGATTCTGCTGAAAGTTTGTGAGGATAATGTTTACTTCTTATTCTGACTTCTGTTTGTTTCTTTGCCAGCGGTTCACAGCTGTTTCCTGTAAACTAGGATGACTCAGAGCGCCATCTTTATAGTGTTTTATAATTAGTACCTTGTGAACTCCGATGGTGTCAGGAAAGCATCCTAGAAGCCCTTTGTACTCATTGTTGGTCTCCATGAGAAAGTGAAGATCCTTTTTAGGCTGAAGAGAGAGAAAGCACATAAATATGAGAAAAATATTGCTCAATACAGTCAGCTGCTCACATAAACACAAACACACATTTCTCTGTCTTCCCCCATAATAAAACAGTGTGGAAAGTTAAATACATCACCAGTTTCACCAACAGCAGAAGTAAAAGAGTCAGAGTTTCATGTGGAAATCTAAATTTACTACATTCTATGTGAAAATATGAAAACCAACAGGGAATGATTCAAAGTAAAAGCACTGACTACTACAAGAAAATAATGAGTCAGATTATGGGTCGTATGTACACTTAAATAAGCCAAAGCCCCTAAAAACAACATGTTTAATAAGGGCACGCTTATTATGGTCCTAAGTGACCTATTCATGCTCCACCCACAAATGTGTTCTTTTGTAGCTATTGATGTCAGATTGGACAAGCTTTACAGAACACTGGGACAAATCTCATCGACTTCATCAACCGCACAACCCAGTTTTTGGCTGGATCTCACAGGCTGATTAAGAGGCAATTGTACTGACAGCCACTGGTATATGCATTACTTTATATTCACATTATTATCAACTTTAACTCTCTATGATCATACGACCATGAATAATGTAGAAAATACAGCCCACTAGAAGCTCACTTGTAATGTTTTTGCCACCTGGATGCAAAAGTTACAGAGGAGTTGTGTAGAACTGTTATTACAGGCATCCCCCGATAAACTAATCCAATCTGAATACGGCTTATAGCTTAACAGGAAACTCAACAACTCTAAACAAGAATCACTACAACTATTATACTACAATTATAATGGCAGCTAGTGGTATAATGGAGTCGTTTACAATGATCACATGATCACATGTAATGCAAACATTGAGGTTTGTAGAAAATACCACCCACTTCCCTTACAAAAATGAAATGTTTTTTGCACACTTCACGTTAAAAATGTGATCACGTGGAAACATGTTCACGTGAAAAAATGTGTGAATACAAGTTAAAAGGTGTTCACATGTGAAAAAACATTTGATTATCGTGTGCAACAACCACGTGTTCACGTACAAATGTGAAATGTATGTGACTTTTCTGTAAGGGTAGAAACTCCCTCGTCCTGCTGCAATTCACTGGTAATCTGGACGCAAGAGTTTTATCACAGAAGAGATGTAAAGAAGCTCTCACAGACATCTCCCTGTCAAACTAATCCAATCTGAATAAGGCTTGTAGTCCAGCTTGGTAGCATAACTATTTAAATGGGAAACTCACTGGCTGCGTTTATATGCAAAGATTTTTGCCAATACGATTAAATACATTCCGATTATAGATTAAGACTGAGGTGTTTATCTGCTCACTCTACTCAACAATCTGATGAAAGTCTCCGTTTACACGCACACTACAATTAATCTGATCCAAAAAACCTGCATGCCTAGATTACCACTTAGCGTAGATGTTACCATGACAAGTATCACATGAGTCCAGTCAGAGTGAGATGAACAGCGGTAAGCAGTGTTTATGTTTTTAATTACTTCAAAATGATGTCAGACTCAGGAAAACGTACTTTACATGTCCTTTTTAAAGAAGGCTGAGAGGAAGACGTCGTGTTCTGAGACACATAAACTGGACGCCCATCAGAGCATAAACAGAGCATAAACTTCGTCTCCTCTGCAGACCAGTTTCTGCTCCCGCCATGTTGAACTTTATAAACTGTCACTTTGACACGACGCACATGCACAGAACATACTTAAACTTTCTGACTGGGAATGTAATCGGATACAGGTGTTCACATGGTTATTATTCTTCTGTTTAATGGATTATTTACAGGATTACTCACCTCATTCAATCGCATAGAAACTGCATTCCGAATGGCCTCAATCAGACTAGTCTATTCTGATTGAGGTGTATTCCGATTGAGCTATTAGTCCGATTATTAACGGATTATTAGGCTGCATGTTATCGTGGCTAGTGTTGTGTAGCACCCCTAAACAAGAATTTTCACCAATGTTCTTTTTTAACCAACGTTGTCCAACCTAGAAACAGTAGATATGGAAGTATGCCTTTGTAGGCTGAGCATGGAAGGGTCAACCAGAGTCAAGCCAACACTAGCCCATGGATTCAATCCAAACGTGTAGCAGATTTCAGTTTTTATTTGTTATTGCTACAGCAAGAAATCAAACCCAAAGGAATACACTGAAATATATCAGTTAATATGCTTTAAAAATGAGATTTAAAAAAGTAACCCAAAAAATGTATCAGTGTCTTTGCTGGGTCACTTATGGCTTTATCTCATTATAAACAGCCACAGCACTGCTGAATGAACTTGAAGTTGTCTACCAAAATGGTGGCAGCGTGATTGTGATGTCATCCGAATACTATCAACAGACCAAGGTCTCAATCTAATTAGCAAGCAAATCGAAAAAAGACTTGGTAGTCAGAAGCGTCCCTGAATGTCTTATATAAGCCTCAGTCTGTGAAACTCCATGTTGAGGAGGAGCATTTTAATTAGTCACAGCAACTCACAACAACCATGACTAATATCTGCCTAAACTCACATCAGCTTTTGTGCATTTTTAGATTGAATCAATGTACAAAGATGTGTCATCCTTACATAACGAAAGAAAATAAGAAGGCTCTACAAGTAAGGGAGGTTCAGAACTGTATGGTCCACACAAAGCCATGGATGCTTACCAGACAAGTCCTCCGAGTGGATGCTGCGTACACATCAAACAACAACAACAACAACAACAACAACAACAGCAACAACAACAACAACCAGGATTTTGTTTAAGTGCATGTTACAGCAATCAGGGCTAATGAACATGGTAGAAAGCTAACAACTGAATGACAGTCTGTCTGAGCATGAATGTGAAGGGTAGGCAGGGAATGGCTGAAAAGAGAGGGGAAAACAGAGCCAAGCCTGTTCCCTTGTTTCCAGGCAGCATCTGGCCTGGCCCTGAGCTTCTGCATCAGCCAAGAACATGTCGACATTTCTGCTTAGCAAGGGAACCGAATCAGGAAAGCAAGCATGGATGGATATATAAGACAGAGGGCTGTATGATATGGTCAAAATACCACACAGCAATTAGACTGCTGCATACTGCAATATATTAAAAACACATTAAAAGACAGGCCTGCATTATTTTCACCAAAATTATTTATCATTGTTAAATCACTGAATTCACTGAGGCATCCAAGCCCCCAAATGTGGAACATCTGAGGATTCTCACATTCATGTAATAAATCCACATTGTGATTTACTGAATGCTTATTTACAATCTGCAGTCTTTTGTGGTATCAGTATTAAAGAGACCAATACTGCGATAACGCTCATCAATGTATTGTGCAACCCTAATAGAAAGTAACCTCACATTTATGAAAGGACAGAGCATCAGGATTCAATGCATTTCTTGGAAGTATAAGCAGTAAAAAGAAGCAGGAAACCAGCAATATTCAGAATGATGAGTGACAAAAAAAAAATAAAAATGCAGTCTACAGTGAGGTAATTCAGTAGAAGAGACTGCAGGTCATGGAGGACTTAGGACTCGTCCACACGTATCCAGATATTTTAAAAACATAAAAAAGATTTTAAAAATCACTATGTTTGCACAAGGATGCTAAAACGACTTAAAACACTCAAATTTGATGTCATACACATCAAGACGAACGTTTTGAGCATGTGCACTGCGCAAAATTTGGAGCCCAAAGTTACAAAGCTAAAGCAGAGACCTTCTAACAAGGCTGAGGCTGGCGTGTTACAAACGCGGCAGAATTTATGCAGACCGTCAGACCTCGGGAAATCGATATTTCAGATTCCAAAAGATTTGTAACCTGTAAAAGCGAAAGAAAAACCACTTGGTGTGGGATTTTTTACGTTGCCATGGCTACGACACCATCTCTGAAACGTCCACAGTCCTGATCAGTCAGAGAAGCCGAGACTTCTTCCAGCTTTTCACCCTATTTGAATAATGATGCTAGGATTTATTTTGAATCTGGTTAATGATTATTAAGACCAAAAAAGACCAAAAAAGACTAAAAAGACTAAAGTATTTTTAATATTCGCAGTCGAGCTGAACCTCCATTCACAACAACTGAGCGCATGACATTCTGTCGCCTCCACACAGCGGCTTCATGAAAAAGAATAGTCAAATTCAGTTATAAACATGTTATTAACTCCAAAATTACCACTAAATAACTGAGCACACAGTAAATAACCATCAGTCAGTCATCAGACTGTACAGCCAGTACTGTTGACTGTAAAACGTCTCGCTGTTTGAATTCAGTCGCGTTTGTTTACGAATATATTTATGTTTACAAAAAGACCGACATATCTACCTAAGTCTTTTGAGGTTCCTCCAGAGAACTTGTAGAGAGGAGAAGTACCACTCTGTAAGGTCTTATGGGTTTTTCAAACGCAGGATTTGAGCAAAATCATTGTTTACAAATGCTTAAACATATTTAATATAAAAGATCACATTCATTTCCTGAATAATGAACTGCATAAAACATTTAACAGCCCTGTTATATTTTTGAGTGCTTTTGAACTCGAGTTAAAGGAGTTTAAAACGGCACCTCGTGTACGTTCATGACGTCAGTGAGCGTAAACAGCCAATAAGCTGCTTCACTCGCCAACCAATCAGCACTCAGTATCAGTAATGCCAGTGTTCTGCTGCCCAAAACCCGTTTGCTGTGGAAAAAAGGAATCATACAGGCAAGTTTTCTTAATTTTGTGAAATATGTCATTCTACTTTACAAAATTAAAGGAAAGCTCTGGGCACGTGATTAGAAACTATTTTAACTTTTTGTTTTTAGTCGTTTAGCCCCATTCACCCCATTCATTGAGGACTCGCTCACCGGCGCCCTCTGGCGTTTCGCGGTCATGTTTATGATATAGCAGGGGAAACAGAAAGAGGCCAGGCTCCCCATAAGCTGGCTCTGGTTCCACCGAGAACTGTTAATTGCAGACTGTGTTATGTATGATTCATCCAATAACACTGCGACAAACAATTATACCGTGACCGGTATCGTGCGAAAAAACAGTCTGGCCGAGTGAAGCTGAGTGATTTTACTGCTGACGGTGTGCACGCCAGATTACAGAGGTAAATATGCTCTTCTCATGTCAAACTCAGCTGTTGTATGATGACATCATGTTCATAGTGTTCATCCAACAGAATCTGCTGCTGCACAGTAATGATTAAACCCGTATGACGTAGCACTCAAAATTGTTTACTGTGTACCATCATGAATTCTGTTCCTTACAGTAGTGTAAAAAATAGTATGTTTCGAATGTATGGTAGTGATTAGATGACCATTTCAGACACGGCATGTGTTTTCAAAATATCTGCATGTGTGGACAGGGCCTTAGAATACAGCTGACAGCTCTCCAACAGGTTCATTCATAGTTAAATTTCAAATTACTTTCAATATAATACAAAGTATAGACCTCTGAGGATGTGTCATCATTTTATACTTCACTATGAACACCCATTCAAGCCCGGGAAAATAAATAGTGTTTTTGAAAGATCGTCCCAAATCTCATCAAAAAACTAAGCATGCAAATAAATATATAACACAATAAAATGTTGGAAATATTAAGTTAATAAACTGTACTAATCATATGTGTATGTGCAGTAAGAGCAACTGATGGGTAGGACAAATTGTTAGAACACCAGGCTCTGAGTAGATGCCACCAAAGACAGTGACACCACTCAACATCTTTTTGTTGCTGTACTAGATGACCTGTGACTTGTAATTTACACAGGGAAAGCCAAAGTGTTTAAGATAAACAGACAAATGATAATAATTTTTAACCTCAGCTAACGTTACTAGACTATTCACATCGTATTTCACTTTGTATTTCACCTTTTTGCTGGAAAACAGCAAGTTTGAGAAGTAACTTATTATAAAAGTAAAGGGTAAATGAGCTTAGGCTTCTAGTTTATCTGTGATTTTCCACTACGCCTCTTATATGATATGGCTGAGCTGTGCACTGTCTGCTAAACGGTGGTGTGGAACTTCTTGTCCAGTGTGCTTTAGCCTTTAGAATGCTGCAACAGTCTATCTAAGCTTTTGTGTTATATTTCAGTGAACAGACAAAAAACTCAACACAAGATGCAGGCTGTTCACTGCCCTCTGGTGAGGTATAAGTTCAGACAGCTCAGCCACGAAGCGGCAGACCACGCAAACTTACTAAACGAGGCTGCCGAGTGTTGAACTGCGTGAAATTTGCCTGTGCTCTGTTGCATCGCTCACTTGCAGTGTGTTGGCTGGCCTGGGTCTCTATCTGACAGTCTGACGGACGAATCTGGATTTGGAGAATGCCAAGAGAACGCTGCCTACTGCAATGCACAATGCCAACATTACATTGTCATTGCTGCAGCATACAAAGACATTTTAGACAATTGTATGCTTCCAACTTTGTGGCAACAGTCTGAGAACGGCCCTTTTCTGTTCCAGCATGTCTGTGACCCATGCAAAAAAACGAGATTAATAAAGGCATGGTTCAGCGAGTTTGGTGTGGAGGAACTCCAGTGGCTTGCACAGAGCACTGCACTCATCCTCATTGAGTACCTTTGGGATTAACTGGAATGTCAACTGCGAGCCAGGCCTTCTCATCCAACATTAGTGGATGAGAAGATTGGGCACAGATTCCCACAGACACAGTCCACAATCCTGTGGAAAGTCTTCCCAGAAAGGTAGAGAGGCTGTTATAGCTGCAAAGGGGGGGCTAACTCTATGTTAATGCCCATGTTTTTGGAATCGAGTGTCCAATCAGCTCATACAGGTATGATGGTCAGGTGTCCACATACTTTTGGCCATATAGCATATATAGCAATGTTAATATCTCAACTAATCTCATAATTCAGATGACCCACTGACATTCAGGGGAAAAATAATATATACAGCACAAAATGTGTCAGCTTTGGAGCATTTCTGTTTACAGCAGGGTGTGAGAAGAGTGATCTTCGAAAACAGCACTAATTTTTACCACAGACAAAAGTGGCTTAGACCTGGACTGTCTTATTTGGGCATGATACCGACTACAAAACAACACACGTCCTCTGAGGTTTAAGGGGAGCCAAAGAGGATGCTGTGCTCTGAACAGTCTGAGTGTACCTGTTCTGCCACCATCTGAGCGATTTCCTCGTAGGTCTTCCCAGCTGCTGTCATAGCGTCAGTAAGCGTGGCCTCTCCTGCAGGAAACCCAACAACCACACATTCACAGTCTGGAACCACACACTTAAAAAGAGGCAGTGCTGCACCTCTAATTATGGTTACCCAAAGCCATAAACCATCATAACATCTATATATTTTGATGGGAATGACCAGACAGCATCCTGTACCTTCATATCCACTGCTGGTGAATACTGATGACAGGTTCTGGAGGGCTTTGCCAATGCGCTGGTACTCCTTAGGGAGGGCTATGAGAGAAAATATGAACGCCTATTACTAACCACAATGGAAATATACTTTTTGTGTGTTTGTGAAAAGGATAGATGGAGTACAAGGAAGACAAGCAATTAGTTTTGGACTTTTTTAAAACTTCAAATGCAAATGCTGGCATAATCATGAGAAAATCTTTCCTGTAAGACTTGATGCTAGTGTGATCAGAGAATGATAGGAGTGGTAAAGTTATTATTCACCAATAAAAGGGAAAACTGAATTATTATTGGTCCAATATTGGATTAACAGCCAACGATGTGGCACCTCATCTCACTTGTGAATGCACTGACAAACGTATAGCCAAACTTTGTTACTGAAAATCTCAGTGGTGTAGAAGTAATGTTTAAACAGCAACAATTTAAATGATTGTTTATATTGAACTGGTTATTGTTATTAGCCAGAACAAGGTAGTAATTATTGGTGGTCATTATTGGGCTGGTGTTTCCTCAGTAAGATGTGGTGGTTAGTTTGTAGGCTTGGAGAGGTCACTCACGGCCTGTACAGCGCTTCCAGTGCTCATGTCCTACTGTCAGCAAGTCCTTCACTCCATCATCCATCGCTTTGGTGAAACGACTGAACTGCTCACACTTCTGTTCCCTACACACACACACACACACACACACGCACACACGCACACGCACGCACACACGCACGCATACATATACACAGTGAGGAGATACAAATATTCAGACATTTTAGTTTTCATTGAACATTTTTCTTAACACGTCTCCACTTTAACATACACACATTATGTCTTTAATGTTTAACCACATAATATTAAATAAGAAAAAGAAAAGTATCTGTTACAAAATTGCCTGGCAAAATCTGATCTACTTTCAAAGCAACAGTTTCCTTTATTTAAATCCAGAGCTATGTGGTGCATCTTCTCAATTAGTAAGCCTACTGTAGGACTACAAATACGAAAAGCTTGTTTTTACGTATATTTGCATTTCAAAATAATTAGAAAAATAAAGTATGCACTCTTTTATTGCCTAAAATAAGATTCTCTGGCTATTTAAGCATAAAAAACTTTTATTATCTATATTTCACTACTGTGTAAACAGTTCCTCCAGTCCCTCCTACTCCATGTATTTTTAGAAATTATTTTCAATGATACCAAAACAATGTAACGTAATCAAATTACAGTGAATCATTTCCTAAAGAATTTAATCAATCAATTGTGAGGTTTACACCCCAATCCTGTAAAACACCACCAAGTTTTAGGTTTGTATACAGTATCAGTTTGACTGAATGAGCAGTCAAATCTTTTCTCACACTTCGAGAAGGTCCAGGTCAGGCAGTCCCTCCGGCTCTATGGTGGAGAAGACCATCACTCCGACTGTTTCATCCTTCTCTGCTTTTCTCTTCCCTGTTTTCCAGTCCTGTGTTTATAAACACAAAGAAAAATCATGAAATGCAGACCACATACAGAAAACAACAAATTCAACAGAAACTCAATGGTAGAAACAAGATCTGCCATCATACCTTCTCATCCTTGTAGGTGAGGAAGAGCTGAAAGACTTCACTGTTGGAGACGACAGGGTGCCGACACATTCTCGTCATCCAGGCCTGGAGCCTCTCCATTCGCATCTTAATGAACTCCTCTTCAAAGCGGCCTGACACACAAGCAGCACCATTATGCTCACTCTTGCATTAAACAGCACATTCTATCGCTCTGCTGCAGTGAACACCAGAACCAACAGCAATGGTGCAAAATTATTTGGAATAAAATCTTGCTACACTAATACATTAAAGTTTAGAAAGATTTTTTGGCTGTCCTTTAACGTTATCATTTAAGAGATAAAATGTTTAATTACAACACCAATGATACTTTTTGTAAATGCAAGGCTGCTGAGAAACAAAATTTTTGTTGTTACAAGCAACCAATACTATAAGAGACTTAAGAAGGTAGTTTATGAGACTGATGCAATATTACTGGAGACATTCTGATGTTTAAAAGCTTGACAGAAACTGTTAGCATATCACTTTTCATCATCATTAAGAATGCTATTTGCTCATAATGTATGTGAAAGGACCCTAACCCTATGATTGAAGTGTCCCTACCTGTGACCTGTTTGTCTGGCAGGCATGGGATTGGGATGGCTGAACCAAATTTCTCCAAAAGTCTCTCAAACAACCAATCAAAGTGCTTGTATCTATGATTGACAGGTTTGTTGGTGGTCTGAAAAGAAAAAAAGGCATTTTACTTTATGTATTGAATATTTTTAATGTGTTAATTTATTTTTCCTGTTTTTATTCTTCATGGTGTAATACTTACATTGGGAGTGACCTGATACTCAATGTAGCTCTTGAGCCCATACATTTTGGAGCCCTTTTTGGGGTCTGCTACAACACAGTCCAGCTGGGTCTCAGGGTATTCCCACACTGGCCCAACCTCCCCTCTCTGAAAGGCCAAACAATCAAAAATGATGTAGAACTCAACAATAACAAATGATACATAGCATTTCAAAGATTTCAAAATGTTTTACTTGAAAAAGATAAAACTAGAAAACCTTTCAGTAGAAAATATCTAAAAAAAAGGGGGGGGGGGAGCTTCGGGGGGGTGTTCATATGACCTTTTGAAATGCAAGGAGCCTTGCCTCTTACTCTTATAAGAATCAGTACACTCCTCTTAGGGGGCAGGATAATGCATTTGATTGACATGTAGGTAAATAGACAGATCAAGCAATTTGACAGAATGTAAATGACGAAGACAATCAATAATTATTTTGAAAAGGACACGCAAGATCATAAACAGAAAATGCAGATAATATTCCTCAACAAAAACACAGAAAAAATTTATTATGTTCATGACTGGCTACAGAGAGGGCCTCCTCGATACTGATTTGTGAGCTGAGATGACTATTAGCACTTTTCGTAGACATGCAGCAGAAAAGCTGAGGTTTTCAAATTCAGACATGAAAACTTATGAGGAAGTGAAGTTCAAAAACTCCTGCAGCAGGGGTCTGACAGCATTGTCCCTAGTAGATTTTAACATGAAATTTTGGTGCAAATTGAGATTAAATTATAATTATTGTGGAATTATTTAGTTAATTGGGTTCAACAAGTAAGCAAATATAAATCATGTCCCAAAATTGTACCCTTCTCTAGGCAGTTTATTTGTTAAAAATATGTTGCTTTCCACACCAGGGTCAAAAGGTCAGCATGTACAGTTGCAGACATCTGCTTTTGTGATTACTCTTTTACATAGGAACCATTCTAAAAACTTTGTTCGTCAGGTTCCATGAAGTGCATGAACCCTGAAGATCACCACTTGCAATGTAATTTGTAGACAGTTGTTTAGCCCTTCACAGCGGTTATAACAGTTCACAGAAATCAACTCAATTTCAAAACAACCTTAAAAGCTGATGGACACTGCTCCATAGACACCACTGAAGAGTTTGAAACGCTGTTGTCTGAACACCCCCTTATGACTCCGAAAAAAAACGCATATGATTGGTGTGCATGTTTCTTACTGAGAGCAATATGAGATTTTTAATATTTGGCATCATCATCATGCAAACTGCCAGTCACAATCTGTCTGCAAGGTAAATTTTAACTAGTAATCATGACAGCCTGAATATCCAAATACTATAACTACGCTGGACAAGTGTCTTACATAGACTGATAATTTGTTTCCTTTGGCGCTCTGTTTGGATAGGAGGTACAGCTCAGGGCCTGATTTGGAGAAGCCAGGAAATCTGCACGTAGAAGATAAAGTTAACAGAGGAAAGACTGTGAGTATTGATCATCTCCAGCTGTTGGAAATATCATAACCAATCTAAATCTTTAGTACAAATAAGAATAGCAGGTGAAAACAGCTGACTTACTTGTTGAGGGCGATTTTCATGGAGGACCCATGCGCTCCTCCTCTGGTGATAGCCCCTCCCTCCCCTGTTTCTCCTTCAGCATAGCCCGATGACTTCCTCTCATCCCACTCGTCATCCCACTCATCATCCTCAGCACCTTATAACACATTACACACGGGCTGTCAGACATTAATTACACACATTAATGCACATATAAATTAAACAATCAAACCTAGCTTTTATTAAACAAGGTCTATGTTAGTGAAGAACACTGAAGATAAGGCAGTCAAATCACAAACAGAGCTATTTTTCTAACTAGTGCCCTGCAAAGTTCCAGGCCCATAGGAGCTTAATGTAGGTCACTTTTGATGCTAAAGAAAGGGTTGGCATGCTCAGAATTCACTGGCTCCTCACTCAGTGCTAATGAACAAATGCCATATCGTTTAAAAATACAGTTCAGAATGATTCAAAACGGACAAAAATGTCACAAAGCACAATTTACTCAAAGATTTTACAAATCACATGCTTGTGAGTTTGTGGAACAGTTCAATCCATGCAGCATATTAAAGCTGTTATGCACACCCCAGGACGAAATCATATACCAGTACCTGTGTAATCGATTAAGTATGGATATGGATAAATGTCTTTGGGGGAAGAGGAGAAAGATTACTTATTATTTAATGGAAGCATAAAGTCTTTTTCATGTTCAATAACAATCAGCTCAGACCCGTCTTATAAAAGGACGTTCACCTGCACAGTCTATTGGTCAACTGATTTGGAGAGACAGGTCTTCAGCCACACCCACTCAGTGAGCCATGAACCGCTCCCTGCTACTTGAGTGCACATGAGTGCCGATCTGACATTTTGAGCAACGTTTACTGCTTTTGAGTTATTAAAGTAACACATGTATAGGGTCTTTTGCTGCCCTGTTTAAAAAATTGTAACTGTTATTTTGGACATGGAAGATCATAAACATAGGTGTTCAAAGTTGTACAACCGTTTTGGTTTGTAGCTGCTGGCACTAACTAGCCTAGCAATGTCATCTAGAGCTAAATGAACTAGCTATACTAGTAATGAAATTAAATTGCTTAAATATCTAACATTAGTGCACTGTATTAATGTGAAGGCAGTGATTTGGAGCAGCAGCAACCAACCACATCATCTCAACCTCATTCCTTTTTGTAGTGATCAATCATAACACTATCAACTATCTCACAGCAGCAGTAAGATGTATTTATCCAAATTATTTATATATATATATATATATATATATATATATATATATATATATATATATATATATATATGATTTGGATAAATGGGGGCTCCACTTCATATATATATATATATTGTCCATTTCATCAGCCCCACTTACTATATAGGTAGTAGACTGTAGTCCATCTGTTTCTCTGCATACTTTGTTAGACTGTTCTTCAGTGGTCAGGACCCCCATGGACCCTCACAGAGCAGGTACTATTTGGGTGGTGGATCATTCTCAGCACCGCAGTAACACTGACGTGGTGGTGGTGTGTTAGTGTGTTGCGCTGGTCTGAGTGGATCAGACACAGCAGTGCTGCTGGAGTTTTTAAACACCTCAGTGTCACTGCTGGACTGAGAATAGTCCACCAACCAAAAATATTGTCCTGTGACCACTGATGAAGGACTAGAGGATGACCAACACAAACTGTGCAGCAGCAGATGAGCTATTGTCTCTGACTTTACAAGGTGGACTGACAAGGTAGAAGTGTCTAATAGGGTGGACAGTGAGTGGACAAACTGTTTAAAAACTCCAGCAGCACTGCTGTGTCTGATCCACTTGTACCAGCACAACACATACTAACACACCACAACCATGTCAGCGTTACTGCAGTGCTGAGAATGATCCACCACACAAACATTACCTGCTCTGTGAGGGTCCATGGGGGTCCTGACCACTGTAGAACAGGGTAAAAGGGGGCTAACAAAGTATGCAGAGAAACAGATGGACTACAGTCTGTAACTGTAGAACTACAAAGTGCACCTTTATAGTAAGTGGAGTTGATAAAATGGACAATGAGCATAGAAACACGGAGGTGGTCATAATGTTATGCCTGATCCACGTATATACACAGGACCCTGAACTTGTGTTGCATTAATTAAACGGACTATTGCAAACATTGCTCATAATGTTGATCATGCTGGTGCAATCCTCTGTGGCAGTGCTGCACTCAGCACAACACGTTCAAGAACTGACAAGTTCCATGTTGAGGGCAGTTTGCAGCGCACTGAGTGTGTGTGGCTACAAGTCGGAAGACCAGTCACTCTGAATCATTTGACAAACAGCCGGTGCAGGTGAATGCCCTCTTGTAAGACCTAACCCTGTGAAAAGTCAGAAGCAAAAGAAAGTAGACTGGTAAAATAAGTAATACACATATCAGAATGGGTGAAAATGAGTATTTTTTTTGGAAAATAAGTTGGATTTTACGGTCATTATTTGTATTTATGTTGGCCTTGACACTTAACACTTAACAATATAGTCAATATCACAATTTTTTATTGGTGACCTAGAAAAAGTACAGAAATATTTCTTCTTCATTTTCATTTGTCCTCAATACAATCTGCCTGTTTAAAACAATAGTGTGTACATTAGTTTTTTCACTAAATTGCTGCTTTAATTCTCTTTTAGTGTAGAATCACAGATGGTAGCACTGAATGACTGCAGAGGGAAAGGTGTGTGTGTGTTTACCTGGGCCCTGGTAGGCCTGAGGATGACCATATGAAGTGGAGCCCCAGGCATTGCTGCTGTTCTTGCCCGTCTCTGTGCCCTCTGGCTGGGCCGCCCAGTTGTTGGAGAAGCCTCCAGAGGCGTTGTTGTCGAACACTGCCCATGGGTCATTACCATTACTCAGCTGTCAGAAAAAGAGGTGAATGGTGAAGGAGTGGCAGTGAAGGAGTCACGAGGAGACTACAGTTCTGCTTTTCCATATTCAGTATTCTACATAGCTGGACGTGCGTCAATCAGCATTAAAGCAACAGTTCAGGCAAAATTTAAATGCACACAATTTTTCCTCCTCCCAAATGTAGTGTATCAGCCAAGACATGTTTAGTGACTGAAGTTTGCTTCTTTAGTTTTGCACTGGAGCTATGAGGCTAAAGTAACACTAGCATTGTGCAGATTGTATGCTTAAACACTTTCCTCAGACCGTGTAGAAATGTTAACCCCTTAAAATCTCAAGCTTATTACATATTAAGGCTTATTAATTAGTAATTACAGGGACTACAATGCAAACTGTCACAGTTATTCTTACGTCATAGAAGTCTGTGATAAAATTTGAGCATCTGCCAAATGCCATAAATGTAAATGCATATGGTCACTGTGAGAACAAAACCTTGTAACTCCAAAATAGTAACTTTAACTTGTAATGGAGGTCGATATTACAAAATTCTCCAAATAATTTTAGACCATTTTTAATGTGCATCATGAAATTTTAACACAATGCAAAAAATAGCTAGATTTTTGTGTGACATTGCCTATATGCTTCTATTACTTATTAGCAATATTAGCTTCATTTCTCCAGTGGAAAACTAAAGAAGCAAACCTTAGATACCAAACACATCTTGGCTGATCAACTACATTTTCCAGAAACTATCACTTTAAGGACTGAAACTGGTATAATCACACTACACAAACATGCCAGATCAAATGAAATTGTGTACATAAATAAACTCAAAAGACCTCAGCAGTTTCAATTCTCAGATATTCTCAAACATCTGTCCTTGTGTGCTCTTTAGTAAGGGGTTAGCTGCATCACTAAGTGTGCAGTTGGGGGCAGGGATCAAACAGAAAGGAGACCTATAGAAAAGCGGAGCTGAAGTGTGTGACTCTAAATGGACAGTATTGACGTTTGCGACATTGCCTTCTTTCAATACGAGGATTTCTAGCTTCCTGTGAGGCATTCAAAAGACATCCCACTCACATCAATATCTGACTTTAAAAACCTTCTGCCAAAACAAATCTATTATTAGGTTATTCTCCATTCAGTAGTCTTCCACTTAAACATATAAAAAGAGTGACGCTATCAAGAAAGCAAGGCTTTCAAGTAAGAGCTAGACTCTGAATGGACACTTCCGCTAGTCTATGTGTCTGCATGTGCGTATGATGACACACTCCTACAGGCAGGCATCAGTGGACTGTAGCCTTCATGGCACAAAGGGAATGGGCCAATTTCTACACAATGCAAGTTGAAGGTAAATACAAACAGCATGCAAAACAGAAGAACAGCTTGCTTTCTCTCTGTTTCTTGGTAAGTAACCAAAAGAAAACTACATGCCATGCACTGGGATCTTCACCATGCTGGGAGTTGTGTTTGTGTGTATGTGTATATCAGTCCAAGAATGCAATAACTACTTTAAAGACAAACTAACAATTCCACCAATTTTAAAAAACTTCTACATAAAATGATTTGACATGAAATAGTGTATTGTAGAGAACACTGCCAACTTGGCTGTCTTTACAATGGTTGCGATAAGAACCAGAGATTGCAATGTCTACAACACAAAATTATCCATTTTCTTGGTTGATAATGGTAAAGTAGTGGTAAATCACCCAAACTATGTTTTCTTTTGGTACTATATTACCTCTAACACCCAGTGTGTACCTCTCCACATTAAATAGCTTTTAAAAAAAACACATGTTGGGCCAAACTCATCACAAATCTAGCATAACACAATGTCCCAGGCATCAGTATATTCATAATTATTTAATGTAATAACTTTCTGTGAAGTAGCTTCTGCAGCTACCTGGGTGACCAAACTTTTTGTCTTGGGAGACCAAAGTGCAATGCTTGTGTTGGGCACGTAAGAATGCTTTAAGTTCAAAGAAGGGAAATAAGAATGCTTTAAGTTCTATATACAGTATAAAGCTGTATTTAGTATAAAGATATGCTGGCCACATCATACATCACCATGTGGCCTACAGGCCACACTTTGGACAGCCCTGTTTTAGAAGCATTAAATACTTTGGATGTCTGATTCTTATCACTACTGCTGTGCAAAATTTTGGCAAGTTTCTTTAGAACGGCACATTTCACATCAAACCGCTCTAGTTTATATCTTAGCGATTGAATTATGCGGAAATTGGTGGAATAAAAAGTGAAATTCACAACAAAAATTTGACCAAGCTATATAAGTTAGATCAGTGGTTGGTAATAATTGATCTTGTTTCACTGTTTTTTTTCTTCAAACATGATGACAGAGATTGATGAACAGTGATGGGATCATACAGTAGAAAACGGTGCTGATCAGTCTGATTGCAGGTGATAAGCATGTATGTGTCTCTTAATTGAGTCTCTTAATTGAGTCACAGGGCTGTCTGCTCCTGTGTCAGTGTGTGAAGATTGTGCAGAGGATGGGAAGGGGGGGGGTGCTGGGGGCGGAGTGATGGCAGAATGGGACAGGGGGTCTTCATGCATGGCCCCGGGACCCGTCCTGCACTGTGGTTACCTCATCAGGGGAAGTCGGGGAGACGGGGGTGAGGGGGGTGTCAGGGCTTTCCACCTGAACTACATCCACCTTAAAGGAGAAATTTGACATCATCACAATGGGCCTGCAAGGAAAGGGTTAACCCTGCAACAGCCACTTAGACACGAGGTCTGCGTGTCATTTTGTAATCGGCAACATTTCCAAAAAACGACCCAATGTTCTCTTTCTGGGAAAAATTCTGCACCGTGTGTTAAACGAAAATGCTCCAAGCATGTAGATGTTTTGCCTGCAGAGCTGAAAAGACTACTTGATACAGAATTTTGTCTGTTACTTTCTCATTTCTAACTGGACGTGGTGTATGCACTTTCATGAACCTGCTCTTATTAGTTTGTTGGAAATTTTTTTCCAAGCATTCAAGAATTTTGTCTGGAACATTTAGTAGTTAGATAATGTGTTTCACAGGAGTCTGTTTTTATAGTAGCATCAACTGGACAATCACATGCCCCTCCACATTGTGTGAAGCCAATTGTCTGGGGCTGGTCAAAACAAGAAAAACAACCCAGGGCTCACCCGAATGCTATTGGCAAATTACAAAATGATGACAAGTCCTGAGAGGTCTATACGCTCAAACTAATATAGCTGTGCATCAGTCATGCATTAATACAACTATGCATCAGTCATGCATCAAAATTACATAGGCTATATGAAGGGTGACAAAGTAGGGCACTGTATAATGCGTTGTTACAGTTTTATGACCCGTGACTAAAAAACTGTATGAAACGTGCTGGTCCTGTTTGGCCCAAAACCAAGTCTTTTCATCAGGTCACTACTGCTGCCAATACTGATCCAATATATTAACAAAGTGCATCTCTACCTCTTACAGTCACATCCCACCTGATCGATATGGTTGTAAATACACTGTACATTTAGTTCACAAACTCTGGATATTTATATACTATGCGTTTGGCCAGTAAAGTAACTGTGAGAACCCAGTGAAATTAGTGGATATCCTGGTGGATTTAACCACAGCATTTAAATATTTTAGACTGCGTGTTAATGAAGATTAACTAGCAATGCTTTTGTGGCAAAAAGCAAACATACACAATCTGACAGTCTTAGGAAGACAGTCGAAAGCAGTTTTTAGTAAATTCAATCTAATCCATATAAGAAAAACTGTAAATAAGAACTAGGCCAGGTTATGCACTCCTAAATATTACTTACTTCTTATATAAGATTTCAGTGAACTTTTAATTCTGACTGTCTGGCAGCTCTTTTTCAAGTATTTCTTAAGCTGATAAATGTGACAGCTGAGATGATGACAGCTATAATTTCTCATCATTAGTGACTACAGTTCACTACAGTAACCTCTAAAAACGAATCACAGCTTCCATGGAAATGTCACAGACACACACGCATGCTCACGTACACACTCACACACACTCACACTCACACACACACACACATACATACACACATACACACACACACACACTGCAGCTGCTTTCACTTCTGTATCAGAGACAGAACTTCTGACAAGATATGGTCAACAACTTCTGCTATTACACCTCACTGTCCCTTCACCCATGCAAAGTCTAGATTTAGACAATTCCCTATATTTACATAAGAAAAAAAACAAAAAGAAGATCAATCTCTTTAATTGATCATTATACAGCCTCACTGTCAGAAGTTGTTTCTCCAAAATGGTCATTTTACAGGAAGGAAAAATGTTCTAATCACTTTTAATGTAAGTTAATGTAAATATAATTTTGGACCATTTCTATTGGTCCATTCACAAAACAATGATGATATATGAACTAAGCTATTTAAAAGATCTGGATTGGTCTCAATCACATTATTCCACACATTTAAAATGAATTTGTACACTAAAGTGTCGGCTCTTAATTGAGTGATCATTTGACTGAATGTGTTTAAAAAACAATCAGGCAAATCCACACGTTCCAAGTGATCTGTGTATATCACAGGCTCTCTATACCCCCATTACTGTTATGATTTTATGGTTTGAACTTTTTAAAATTGTAATCCTATAATGGTTACATATTGGCAAAGGGATTGAATTGCAACTTGAGGCAATGAAACGAGAGAAGCAGGCTTTGGTTGCCTTTAGAGAGGCCTTAAGATGTGGTGTTTTTAAAACGTAAGCCAAATACAGTTTTCAAGTCATAAAGCTGAGAATTCTATTTGAATTGTGCAGCATTAAGTGGCACAGTGTAATCAACTGAAGCAATATGTGCTAAAATTCATTTTAAGATCTCAACATGAAAATGCAAGAATATTCACATTAATGTAATTACAACCAGCACTGTACAGCTTTAAAATGATACTGGTTTAATTTTTTAAGGTACTTGTCGTGTCACAGCGGAACTACTTCTTACTATAAAGTAATATTATCTGAAGCACCATCTGTTAAACAAGGCCACCAAATTTGTATTTTAGATGACCAGCATGAAAAAGGTGACTAGTTCCCTTTCATTCTACTTTACTTCCACAGTGAGGACCTTGCACTAACACTCATTTTACCTTTACAATGCCTCCTCCCAACACAAATTCTTGAGCTTCTATAAAAACATTTATGCATTTAAAGAAGAATCTAGAAGTTATCAGATAATCATATTGTTCACAGCATGAAAATAACAGTGTTATATTGTACGGGCCTTTATGTAAATAATCTTAATGGGGACATTCACTCTTATGCTTTTACAGATATTAGTAGATTTGCTGGTTTAATGGTGTCCAAATCGATAAACGCATCAATTCACAAAACATCTCTCGGAAGGATCTCAAGAGACTGCAACAGAGAAAGAGAGCACTGTTCAAAATGACAACATGCTGGCAAGTGGTTTGTCACACAGTCTGTCTTGCATGTCCTGACTGCTTCCTCCAGCAAACACAGCAAGTCAAATCAAGCTCTTTGTTTACTGTTTACAGTCTACTGAAGTAACCCTTTCTCACAATATCATAACAAAGGCAAAGCAACTCCCACTCACTCATAGCTGCATTATAATTACAGTCCAGGTTCGTCCCCTGTGAGAACTGAAGATAAAAACTTTAGATGCCCCTGGCCAAATGACATGTTTAGTTGATTTTCTAAGTGAAAATTAGTGAACGCATCCTCTACAGAGAACACACATGTGCACATTTTAAGGCACAATTACTGTTTATTTGCTGCATTTAACATACTGGAAAAAAATAAACATAAAATGTGAACATAAAATGTGACCTGTACAAGAGTTATGGCACATTTTACATTAAACATTTTTTTTTCCCTAGTTTGTTAAACTCAGCAGACAGTTAGAAATAGTGCACTAAAATCTTCAGAAAAATGCAATGTTCAAGTTCTCTCTTTGTAGAGGATATGTTAATCATTTAGAGGTTCAACAAAACATATAATTTGACTTTGGGTGTTCAAACTTTTGAATTCGACTGTATATCTAATTATATGCCAGTTTAGTCACATCTGAGTCCACCCACTAGCTAGGTCTGCTCCAATCACTTGATGATCCCAAGCTGGGGGGGTGAAGTCTCCACAGGGGCCCATGTTGGCTAGCACATGCTAAGTGATAGCGGAAGAGGGAGGGCCATCCTTCCCACCAAGAGAGAGTGAGGACTACTAGCACTGTCGGGTATAGAACTCACAATCCCCTAAAGATTCCACTGATTTTTTAAAATGTCTGTGTAATTAAATGGTTAAGATGTAAACTAAGTCTTTCAGTGTGGTTTGATGTAAAATGCTCCTTTTTAAAGAAGACTTGTTCACAGTAGTGGTGATTAGAACCAGAAATGTAAATGTCTCTAGAAGATTCCTCACAAAAATATATATAAACTTTTGGCCACCCCTGCTTCCTATCACCATCAATGTAAAGAAATCAATGTTGGTAAGTTTCCCTACAATGAACAATTTTACATCAAACCACTCTGAATGACTGTTTTCTCAACAACAGAATTATGCAGGAATTTTGTAAAATTGATGGAATTCCCCTTTAAGCTGGTAGCTTTTCAAAAAATGAAATAACGAAACAAAACTGAACTACTGTCGAGCACACTGTTATGAATATACTTAAACATAACTTGCTGTACATCTCAACACCGCTAAAGGCTCCATGCAGTGATGCAGACAACCATGCAACACTAGGTGGACCAATCACAGTCAGGGGTGAGGCTGCATCACAAACAACGCAGTGTTTAGGAGTTTTGCTAAGTAGCTGCGGCACACCACACCAGACAAACTAAAACCAGCGTGTTGTTTTGGCTAAACAGAGGTAACTTCGCTTTGAAGCACTGTTTTAGTTTGAAGCATACTGCTGGCTTTATGCCCTTCATATTCAACTCTTATTTGATCTTTTATATCTATTTTCTATGATACTGAAATATATTATATAAAATAGATTCAGATCCTTTTTCTTTGTCTTCTTCTCCCTTAATATTTGTTAACAGTTTTTTTTTTGTGAATTACATGTCTGAATCTGTTTGATCGGTTTTATTTTAATATGCCTGTTTGACCACAGCTAGCTTACGTTCACGTATCTGCATGTTTCAGAGTAAGGAGTTTTACAGGCTGGATTGGAATCTCCCTTCCTCTTCTGCTGACTCACTTCCTGCAGAAAGCTGAACAGTGAACAGTGTCTGAGTGGGCGAGAGATGGCCCGAGCGCTGGTCAAAGACAGAGAAAAAATGACCACATTCCAGTGTCTTGAAGAAGGTCGTTCTGGTTTCATTGGTCTGCAGTGAAGACCAAGCTGGAGCAGAGAGGGCTGTATTTAAAGAGCAGAGGAAGAAGGGAAGGGAGAGTTGTGACTGCTCACCTGACTTTGCGTGTTGCAGGCTGGGGCCGGGGCTGGGGCTGGGGCCGGGGCCGGGACATGAGTGTCAAAGAAGGACAGGTCAAGGGGGGGCACACTTCCTCCTCCTGATAAAGGCTGGGGCTTACCAAGCTGGGGAGAGACAAACATTAAAAGGCCTAAACAATATATTCAACATATCATTTGGTGATAATATCAGGAAGTATTAGGTGCAAACCCCAGTAATTTTCTATGTAATGTCCATCTGCTGCATCTGTAGTGTATGGGTGATCACCATGGACAGTAATTTCAATGCATCTCCTGCTGTATTACTTCACACATATGTAAAAGAAGCCAAACCACCTACTCTCGTCTATTATCACATCAGAATTTCCTGTAATTGATCATATGCTGCTCAAACATCAGACAGAAATTAGGTTAAAAAATGCTGGAATATTCCCTTAAAGTTCATGGATTAATTGGTATCAGCAAAATCCCCAATAATAACACAGCAAGGTCTATAATTGGTTCATTTCATGTTATAATAAACTGATTTCACTTATTAAAGGCTCAAAAATGGTCTCATGTGGTTGGTAAATACAATCATGGTCAAAGTAACAGAAACACATAACATGCAGCCAGCCAGTCAACCTCTAGCTCGAGGATAACATGTTATAACATGATGAAAAATAAAAAAAAATAACATCTAACAAAACCACTAACAATGCTGAGAAGCAATATATATTTTTTTGTTTTTGTTTTTTTAATTTGAGGGTTGTCCCATTTTGTAGGGCAAGATTTCAACCACTAACCCTTGTAATTCAGCTCCAAGGTGTTAAGGGTGATACTCGAAAACAAGGGGTAGGGGTAAAAAGAAGAAATGGGATTGGGCCCAAATTACCACTACAAGTCCTCCAGTCTTCTCATACTGGGGCTGAATCTCAAAGCTCCCTGCTCCCTACATAGTACACTATGTAGGGATTTAAATACTGGCTCCTGCACCCCAACAGTGCATAATATAGTAAACAAACAGTCATTCAGTCACATCCACACTGGACAAATAGTGCACTATTTGGCTGCTATTTGATGTTTTTGCTGGGTTTGATGTTTCTTAAGGCAGATCTGACTGAAACAGAAATTTGAAGCATGGGAGTCTTACAAGTGACATTCTTTAGACTTTCATACTGCCATTTTACAGTGAATCATATAGTGACTACTTTAATTCAAGCCTGTGATATTAATGATGAGTTTTTTTGCATGTTTTCTATCTTTTAGCCTGTTACTCAGCTGACCAGCAGAGTTCTAGTTGTTGACCCCTTAGTTTAAACAAAAGCAGGTTCTTGCTTCATCAGTACACTTGGTGGGTCATGCAAACAGCACTAGAGTCAAAACGTATTCAGTTAACAGCACCACAATTTTTTTTGTGCAGGAATACAAAGTTCAGTTGTCGTGAGGTGGTCATAAGTATGCTTATATTAAGAATTTTACAACGGCCTTGAATGCGGCTTAGCCAATCAGATTTCAGGACCGGAAATATCTGTTTCATAATCATCAATTTTGAGATGAGCTTTTGTCCTAAAATGGTGGAGGCATACATGCAGGCACACAAAGCAAAACAGTCCCCATAGAAAACTTGTTTATTCATATTTGCCACTATTTTACTACCATCAACATTACACAAAAACTGAGAAGACCTGTGTAGGTTCACTGGTGGTTTGAATGGTAAATAAAATATTTATATTTGTGTTGTAGATATTATGACCCCTGGTTCCTTATCAACACCACTATAAAGAAATCCAAGCCACTGAACCATTTCACATCAAACCACTCTGAATGACTTTGTTTACATGGCAGCAAAAAGTTGAATTGTTGGTTGAATTATGCTGAAATTTTGAAAAGCTGATCCCCTTTAAGATGTTTTTCCCCAACTCACTGTCTACAGAGGCGATCTGTGAAAGGAAACCCCATTGAAACAGCTGAAGGTAGAATGTACTTGTAGAGAAGTGTGCACATGTTTGGCTGGTAGAGATGTGTGGTGAAGGCTGTGTGTGCAGCTGTGAGAGACAGTGAGCAGGAGCCAAGCTTCCACAGCAAGCATCAAGCACAAACAGCCTTCATGGCTCCACTGTGTGTTTACACTGAGAAGGAGCTGTTTACCAAGTCTGCATCTGTTCATCCTCACCAAACAGACATCTCAGCCTTCCCTACAGCATTTAGCCTTAATAACAACAGCTACAGAAACGAGCAGACACAAATGCTTTTAAAATTACAATCCGATCTGACAGACATACAACATTTGGGACATTTTCAAAGTGCCTTTAATAGAAATAAGCATGTTTTCTTTGTCAGATGTGACTCAACTTGAAAACTGATTTAAATGACAAACATAATGTTTTCTTCTTTTTGGATATGACAATGACACCTGGCTGAGTAATTTAAACATAAAATTGAATGATTTAATTGATACTAAACTTAATTTCAGTAACATTTTCCAATTTAAGTGACCAAATTCTTAATATCATGGCACAGCTAGGTTTAATAATAAACCCGTAAATTTTTTTATTTCAGATTAAGTATTTCAAGGCTTATTAAGAAATATTCTCTTGGCAAAACAGTGTTTTGCAATTTTATCTCATTACCACAACACACTGACAGCACTGATGTTTTCTTTTTTACTTGTGTCACAGAACATTTTTTTTTTTTTTGCTTTGGTTCACATCCTTACAGTTAACAGTTAACAAAGAAATCATTACAGAAACAGATTCAACAGTTAAAAATAATACTGTTATTTTTTTCTAATGATAATATTAAAAAAAATTACAAATTCCAGTAATGAAAAACATGTGTCGACATTGTTTGGGGATGGGGATTAGAGTTCACAGTAAAATTAACCATTCTGAACTCCAGTCGATCAACTAAATCATATGAAAACTGTTCATCTACATGATACTTACGACACTTAAATATTTATGGATGTGTTTAAGGAGGTTTCATGAGAATGACCCGATAATGTCAGTTTCAGCTTGTGCTTTTAACAATAGTTTGGAAAATAAAACTTTTAAATCATTATATTGACAATACTTGCTTTTCAGACCAAGGAAGACACTTTGATGAACACAAAGCTGAAAGCTGTACCTAAATATACCCCAACGTGTGATTTCAGTTATATTTAAGAGGCTTAGGTGAAGCTACTTTTTGCAAGTTAACAGATGCTTTTAATTCTGGAACGTCCCTTTATTTTGTAATAAGAAGCTTTTTCAACCACCAAATAAAATCTGAAACATTTTCTTACTGTGTAAAATAGTAAAAGCTCAACTGGATAACGTACATGTGTCAATAACACCTTCTGACAGTCCACCTTCTGATGCTCCATGGGCAAAAATAATGCTAAATGTTGTTTCATGTCTTCATTTTTACAAACTGTTTTTTTTTTTTTTTTAATTTTGCATTCCACCTTAACTGGGCAGCAGTTACATTCTGCCAACTGTACAGGTACCTGAGCATAACTGCTGCACCTTTAAGATGAAACAGGAATTTAAAATAAGACGTCAACTCCAGCTTCACTGGAAGTCATTTGTCGCATACTCTCATGCCACAAACCATCAGACACTACAGTCATGCTTCAATGCCAGCTGATCCACAGCTTATCACTGTGGTCTCGTCTGATGCATCTGACCTGAATCAGGTGACTTCTTAGGCGGAAGCATGGCAACCGGTCTGGTATCTATTCCTATGTGTCCACTGACATAAAAATCAAAGGCCTCTTTTTCACTGCAGGGCCGAATGGGTCTGTGCATGGAGTGTAACTGTTCCACTGGCATTTCTGAATGGACAACATTTGAGAGGGAACGTTTAAAACTGGTCTCAGCATGGCTTTTTCGGCATGGTTAGCTAATTGTGAACAGGGTCACATTCGGTGGGATGACACAGCGCTTATGTCGGTGTTGTGCCACCATCTTGCTGTGTTATTTCACACCTGAAGTTCAGTTCGCTCACACAGATGCCAGTCAAATAACAGCAGTGCACGATTTTTAAATCCACCATACAACAAATGTCCAAGCTTAATCTAACACTAGTGTCTAGATGTTAAACAGTGCTACTAACCAGAAGAGAGTAACTGGTTAGCATTAGCTTAGCTTGCATGCTGCCAGCTCTGCTCACAACAGAACAAGTTTAAATGATCATGATGTTAATGACTCAGCTCTTAGGAAGCAAAGTCGAGTGACCAGTGTTAGAGGGAAAGAAAGCTGAAATCAAACCTGCCCTGTGGTGTTCGGAGCTGTAGCCTCCTAGCTAAAATAAAGCTCAGCTAACACCTCAGTACTGGTTCGATTTGACTAGCTAGTGCTCTGCTGTCACAAGTATAGACAAAAAAATCTTATAACAGCAGGAGCTGGCTGTCGGCTGATTGGTGTTGGAGTGATAGCAAACCAAAATCAAACCTGTTCTGCAGTGTTTTAAGCTGTAGCCTGCTAGCTTAAGCTAACCTGAGCGTACTGAGACTCCCACCAGCGAAATGATGCTTAAAAAACCTCTATTTAGAGGATAAAGACTCATGTCTAAGAGCACGTCAAATATTTGGTGTTAAAGTGACAGAAAGATAATAACAGAATTTGTTCTGTGGTGCTTTGAGCTGTACCTTGCTAGGCTATGCTAATGCTAACATAGTAAGCCGGCAACCCAGCAACTGTACTGTACAATCCACCTCATTACAGGTGTGGTTCCAGTAACATGATTTTCAAATACCACCTGGTTCAGAGGATAAAGAATCTGATACCACGCCGAGAGACTGGTGTTGGAGTGACAGACGGAATCAAACGTGTTGTGGTGGGTGGTGCTTGTGAGCAGCCATTGGCCTGTTAACAGTCAGCCAATATCTTATGTAGTTTTCTTCAATATTTCCTGGTTCTGATTTAGCACCATAACAGAAGAAGGAAAACAAAAACTGTGTCTGTATCAGTGTGCGAAATGTCACAGTCCAGCCCTGAAACTACCTGAATCTTAAGTGGAGGCCAAAGTTTACTATTTCACATGCAATGGACTAGACAGTGGGAGGTGATCGATGATCCTCTACTTTTTTATCTTCATTTAAAACATGGCTGAAACATCCCTGACTCGACCACTCAGCTAAATGGGATAACGTTAGCGTGGTTAGTACTGTTTGTATGTCACATTTTCTGTGCTTATTTGTGGCGTACCAGTACAACAATTATGACAACTTCATTGAGATACAGTATACAACCCATTTCCCCTATACACTCTCTAAAACTGGCCTTTTTTGATTCATGCACTTGTTCAGTGTTATGGAGGGAAACAATTTCCATGATATACTCCCATAAAAAACACAATATGATGTAATTTATCACAATAACATATTGTCATATCACCACCCCACCAACACACCCACCAACTGATTGGCACCCAGAAGACAACTTGTACAAGTATCCAAAAACACACTCAAAATATTTTTATTCTCTTTCCTCATTACGCTGCACCATCAAAGTGATGTTTTCCATTCCATGCACACTTTATCTTCCTTTTACTACAGATGGTGCTGATTTAATACCTAGTATCAAATGTTGGTGAGCATATCAGAGGAATATCTGATGCTGTAATAAATCCAGCCTGAAATATGACAGAACAACTTGAAGTGCAACATAACAAAGAAAAGTCAAGTAGGTCACTTAACAACAGTAGCCTCACGTAGCTTATCACTGACATAAGAACGAGTAATTAACTAAGTGTCACGTTAAAATTACAATCCCTTTCTTTCAAGCAGCCAACTCTGGCACACATTTAAATTCAGACATTCATGCATTTGGCAAACACTCTTATCTAGAGTGCCTTACAATTGAATCATGTTACAAATGTATGCAAACATAACATTAAGGCCACCGCACATCAGGCGCATTGCATCATGTGAGGCCTAATTCGCACATATAAGTATCACCTAATTCTGTGTGGTGTGAGCAACGTGGAAAGTCCTGCTTTTCATTTTGGGGCCCCTGTTAAACTGGTCAGTGTATTTACACAGGCTGCATGTGCGAAGCGGCAGAGCGTCCCAGGCGTCGCGCTGAAGTGGCACAGTTTTAGAGAATAGACCTGGCGCCGATTTTTTCACATAGCAAAACACACTAAAATAAGCCATGAAAATCAATGAAAATTAAAAACAGTATTTTTTCATTTTATTTAATTCATGACGAAATACTACTTAAACATTCCGTGCTGCAAACAGGTTTCCCGATTGTATGTTGAAACTTTTGTCTAACCATAAGTCAGAATGCTGTCAAGGATAAACAAATATACTGTGCGCTTTTATAAATGATATTTTTGTTGAGTGAAGTGACTGATTGACCATTTATCTGTCTGGAAAAACGAATGTCTGTATAACTTTCTCGCTGCTCTACTCCGCAGCACAAACGCTGTATGAATGAAAGGCCAGCGTGTTCGAGCTGTAGTGCTCACGCTGCCACGTCACTCAAGCCATGAAGAAGCAGTATGTCTAAATCAGGCCCAGGAGATAAAGTACAAGCCATACCTATACTACATAGAATGCCAAAGACAGCGTGCTGATCAACAATAAGCTCATGTTAATTTTTACACTATACTTGTACAGATTTAATAAAATAAAACTTTCAGCACATTTACATCACGTTTGTCATCAGTTAACTACCTCTTCACAAACTTCATGCTGAAAGACTGAAAAGCTGGACTAGTAACACTGAGTGAAGTTAATTGCTATTAGCGTTTGTCTGATTAGCTAAAAGACTGACTGCCTTTCATACTACATACTCTTTAAATTCAATACATACACATCACACAACAGACTACTTCTGTGGTCTTAATACAGCCTCATTTTTATGTTGTAACAGCAGAATGCTGAGTGGGACACTGAGAAATTCAACAGCGCTCGCAAATACCAGTACCAGAATGCATTAACACCAAACGCCTATGCCAGGGTGCATTAAAGACAATGGTTCTGTAATTCTGAACACTGTGCAACATGGCGCATCTGGGGTGCAGCTGCCTAGACCCTCACTCAAGGATGCTTTGATAAAGAGTGGAGGACAGTCTGCTGCGTTGAGGACAGCAGTGTTACCCACTACACTCCACAAACCACAAATCAGTGCTTGTTTAAGAACCTAGAACCTCATGTACCCAAAACAAGAATCGTGCATTGTGCTAAATTTCCTTTTAGTGAAAGTGCTTAGCTAAATTAAAAAAAAGCTGTGATATTGTAGTTTTGTATTTGTATTAGTGCAAAAGCAGCTTTTCCTGTGCGTTATTGTAGTGTTTGAGCACAGTACTTTTACATTCTCACCTTGAGTCAAGTTCTTCATTTAAAAATAGCTCATTCTAAAACGCAATGTTTGTATCAGGCCATACTCAAGGTTTCAGAATTATTATAGGAAAAGAAAAAGTGGCCTTGTGCAATCTAGAATAACAACAAATGGCACACACAGGGCATACTGGTTTGTAAATATGTCAGCTGGGCCAATCCGGGCCACAAGGAAAGAAAAGGCTTCCTGCTGAATTTGGCAAACACCCTCTTGTGGTAGTTTCCGTCCTTTTCAGGAAATGTCACACACAAACACACCCTCAGTTGTGTGTATGTGTGCGAATAATGTCTAGCTTTATGAGCCTGTGTGCCCTTCGGCCGCTCAGTTATCCTTACCTCAACATAGTCCTCTGGCACCAGGCCAATTTCTCCTCTTGAGTTCTGAGCCTCTATCCAGCCTCCTCCAATGTTCTGACAAAAGAGGCACAGACACTCAGTTTTATAGGAAACACAGATGTTAATGATAAACTGATTAACTGTTAAACAACAAATACTTCAATGTTTGATCATTTATTTTGGTTAAAAAGTTTAGTTCATTTCTGATAAACAGCTGATATTTGAATAGTCAAACGTTTCATTCAACCTTAAGGGGTGCTTTTGAATTGTATGCATGAGAGTGAAGAGCGCAATTTAGTCCGGAAGCCCTACTTAGTGATGCACAGCTCCAGGTTTTCTGGAGTCGACTCTCATCTCTGGAATCCACTTAATTTTAACTGATAACATTAGAGCCACTGATGAAGAGATATAGCAGAGAGTAAAGCATCCTAATGTAGTTTACACATAGCTACATTTTACAGCAATATGATGAACATTCTTATGTTTTAACTGTTTAATGCCTCCAAAAAGGCCTTTGTTTTTGTAATTTTCCACCAGAAATTAAAGGGCCTGTATACTAAATTTTTGTTGTACCCCCTTCCCCAGGTCACTTGTAACAATGTTTGTGTGGCTTTTTATATGACCAGTTTTTAGCCTCTCTTTATTCCTTAGAATTAAACAGCCTGGTTTAGTTACTGCGCCTCTAAGACTCATACATGAAAATGAGCTCTGTTCTGATTGGTTGTCCTGTCCTCAGTCCAGACTGAAACACTCCTTATAACTTCAGAGTGAAAGGGTGGGGCTAAACTGCTGTAGGTTGATATTTGACAACACAAAGGTTTTTTTGTGACATCACAAAACAATAAATTCAAATGGGCTGTTGTTGCAGATTAGTTTGTACATATGAACTGTACAGAGTGAGGAGTAAACGATGTGTTCTGAAACTGTAACAACGTTCCAGGGGCATTTGTGGGCTTTCGGGGCCTTTTTATAGCCTTTCAAAAATACAGATAAAACCAGGCCGTTGTCACAAACTCTGTGCCAGCATGGCTGTTTTCTATAAACAAATATGCAAATATAAAACTGCCCTGATATTTGGTGTTTTCATGTTTCACTCTTAGCCAGCACACATAAAGAACATTCACCATCAGAGAATGAACCAGATCCATCTTTATTTTACAGTCCATCAGTGCAGCTGGATAGAAAATATATACAAGATGACTCATGTGTCAATATATTAAATGGGCTCGATTATGGGACCAAATTTTAAGTCTGTGAGGCATTTTTGGGGACTGTTTCGCAGGGTCACTTTCTGACCCTGACATATATACACACACACACACACGCACACACACACACACACACACACACACACACACACGAAACACAATTTAAGGGCACTGTCAAGGTAAGAAGTGAGTTTACCTGGTTTGTGATTGTGATTGTCTCTCCCTCTCTCACTGAAAGCTCATTATTCCCCGGCTCTGCTGTGAAGTCGTATAAAACCTGCGCCTGCACCGAAAAAAAAACAGAAAAGACCGGGTTAAAATAATACTCCTGTTTCAAACTAACCTTTTAACCACAGACAATAACATCGACACTGTACTCAGTGTAAGAACAGAGAGGCTGAAGCACCTGGCCTTTGGTTTTCTGTCCTTTTCTAAGTACTGTCTGTGGGAATCAACTGTGCTACAGATGTGGCAGACAGGTTGAAAGATGCTGAGGTATTCCTTTAAAGATGCACCTGTCTGCATGTGTGAGCAAGTCTACATACACACAGACTGTTACTAAGTAGATAGTCTATCTTGATAACACGTTCCTGTCTCTCTGTAAAGAACTGAAACTGGTCTGACTTGTCTTGAAGAACAAGTGTGACGTCACACGAATCTTAAATTAAGAATTTTTTAAGACCTCATTACTTTTTTTTTGGTTTGCCTCGGCTGGGTGAGGAAAAGGAAGTCACTTACTGATAAAAGCTTTATCTATGCAGATATGTATTACCATCCACAGATATAACAGAGCTTACAGTGCATCAAAGTTCAATATAGAACAGTTTGGGTGAGAAAGAATATACAGTACTGTGCAGAAGTCACAGACCTTCATTTGTTTATTTTCCAGTCAAAACGGCTATTATTTACAAGTTATGTAGGAAAATAATGGAAAACAACCCAAAAAATTATTTGGGCTGTATTACCCTTTATGCATGTAATTGCCATGTGAATACCTATACGGAATACATGAATAATGATAGAAGGTTTCAGCAGCAAAGCAAAAGTTACTTTTACTACAAAGGTCCCAGTATACTAACACACAAACACAACAGTGTGGGCTGTATTAGCAGTGTGAAGGGTCCCTCTATTCATGAGGCCTCCTCAGGCTACAGGCCCTCTTTATACACACAGGGAGAGAGAGAGTGTGTGTGTGAGGAAGTGTACGTGAACAACTTATTCAATTTGAACACATCACACGTCTTTAAGGGGCCTGTTTCTGCAGAAGTGATGTCTGCCTCTCTCACGTCTTAATGTGGTCAAATTGTAAAACTGCTGAGGCCTGAATGGAACTGAACTGTCAGTCACAGTGAGGTTGGCAAGAACTTATAAGATAAGAAAAGTCAAGGACTGCTGACTAATCAGAGAAACATTAGCTTCTACAAACAGACTCATCAAAGGTTGCAACAGAAACCACAGCACGGGTTTATGAGCCTAAACATTAGAGAGCACAGGAAAAGAGCAGGACAGAGACTATGGCCTGTGAGTCAGCCAACAAGACCATGGCTCTGCTAACAGGGTTTAGCAATGCTCAGATAACTGTTACGATGGGGAAATACACCTGAAAACCTATTATATATCTCATTAAAACTCTCATTAAAATCCGTTGATAAAAGTTTTTGAAACGTGTCAGCTTTTGTAAGCGTTCTAGACCACTAGCAAAACAGTTAAGGCGAAAACTACATTTCCCGTGATGCACTGCGCAAAGTTGTGACCCGTACTGGAAAGGCAGTGAAATGTCACAAGACTCCTAATGATACAATTTTTCCATGTTTACAGGAAAACGAATAAACCCCGTTTTTACTTTTAAAATGTCAACACCTCACATAACCGAGTAAAGCACATTTTTAAAAAAAGTTTAACGCGTCAAATGTAAACTTGTACACCTTCTTTAAAAACCCGATAAGAAACGGCGGCGCCTGCGTGGAGCGCCTGGCAGCGAGAGAGAGGCGAGTTTTCCAGGACCAACGACTAAAAAACAAGTTTTACACAGTAAAAGTCAGCACAGATCTCACCTTTGTTGCCATTACGATCTCGTTAATCAGTCATTACAGACGTGCTGGCTCGCTCGCGCGACTCTTCATCCACACATTTCTCTCTCACAACTCAGACAAGTCAGCGAAAACAGCCCGTCCGTCCTGAGGAGCTGCTGCTTTTAACGCATTTCTGAGTCTCCGCCGTGAACACAGAGCCCCTCTACAGCCCCTCAACACTGAAGAAAGACCACAGAGCGCCTTCCCGCTCTTATTATTCCGCTAATGTACTGATATGAACGCTACAGAGCTCCCTGATCCGATCTGATCTCTGTCCCCCTTCAGACTCATCAACTCCAGCTTCAGCCAGCTACTGAATCCAAACCGGAAACCACAGCTGCGCCCTGCAAGACCTGCTGCTCTGACCAGATAATGTCTGTAATAATAATAATAATCATAATCATAATAATAATAATAACTTTATATATTGTTTAGATTATTGTTGTTGTTCTTGTTCATCTGGTCATTTTCATTAAATGCATGTGTGGTGTATTATTATGGTTATATACAGGTATATATAGTATATGGTGTATAGATTATTATTATTATATTAGATAGATTTTATACTACTACTACTACTACTACTAATAATAATAATAATAATAATAATAATAAATTACAGTGGTAATTATAATAGTATACACAAATATGATTAAAATAAAAATGTATGGGCTATAAGTAAAAAGTGACAATTCAAGGAAGTCTTGTTTGTTCCTTATAATGAGCAAAAATGAAAACTCAGACTAACAATTAAGCAATTTTAGTGGGAAATTAAATGAAAGAATAGCTTCATTCAGGGCCTGTGAGATACATGTCCCATGTTGCTATATAACACCATCCACTATGACCTGGGGGTGTTACACAAGGCAGCGTTTCTTAGTTAGCCAGATATTTAAGGTCAAAGATGAGGACTGCCCAATGGGAATGTCCCTCAGCTCTTTTCATATTGGACAGGCTTGACTTTGGGCTGAAGTTATCTAAACTGAGAAATCCTGCTTTGTGGAGTACCTCTCTGATGTCCAGAACTCTATTATAACTCTTTTTGTGTTCATTTTTGTTGTACTTTATTATAACATGTTACAGTTGATGCTCGATGTTGTGGATACACAGATCACATTCAATCATGTAATTTGCTTTGGAAGTGTTGGGAGTCTCTAATAGGGCCATGTTCCTTCAGGAACCTCAATAGTGTAAGCTCCTCCTAACAGGCAGGGTTTTTGTCAGTGCTAGACTTGTCAGAGATCCAGACTGAGGTGATAGTAGTGGTGTGGTTTTAGCGTTGTTGTGGGTTGGGGGTCTGTTTGCTGCTATTTTCAGCTATCTTCTCTCTTGAATGTTGTTTGAGGGACCCCTCTAGTGGTCATGAATTGTATCGACAAGGCCTTCAGAGAAAGCTGGTTAGACACTAGGACCCGCCTTATTATCTAAAAAACAAACGAACCAACAAGTTCGGACTTTAGACTGACCCTGTCAGCCAAAGGCTGTAACTGCTGATTACTCAGGAAGATTTTTCTGTTTGCTTTTATTTACAGAAAGGAAAACAACAGTTTCTCACCTCTTCATTGTGGTTCTCCTCTAAAGTTATGTCTTATCAATACTACAGCAGTTTTAATGTTGGATGGTAGTGAACATTTGGAAGAGTTTGGGGTCCTTTCTATTCGGTTAGACAGGCACATCATTGTATTCCACAGTGCCAAAAAGCTCCATAAAGCTCCATAAGCCCTGCCATCCTCCTCCTGTAAAAGTTTTAATTATTGCTTTAATGAGTAACTGACAAACTCAGTTATTGTCTAGTCTAGGCCATCTGCTTCTACATTTTGAAGTTATTCAAATATCTGAATATGTGAACTCATCTTAACATTTGTGTGCTTAAAGGCAAACCCCACTGATTTTTCAAATTTAACATAATTAAATGGCTGAGATGCAGACAAAGTCACTCAGAGTGGTTTGGTGTGAAATGCTCCATTCCAGAGACACTTACCGAGTCAGAATCGTTCACAGTGGTGGCGATAGGAACCAGGCGTCCCCCTCTAAAAGCTCGCTCACAGAAAGTTATTACATGAAATGTAATGTTATAAATATGCTGCCTGATGTCTGACACGCTGTTTTATGATAGTTTTGTGATTAAGTTTTGGCTTAAAATGTATTTTTCAATCCATTCATGGTACATGCAGGGCATTGTAAGTCAAAATAGTCCCCAAAGAATTTTACCATCATCAACATCACATATGAAACTCAGAAGACACATGTAGGCTCACTGGTGGGTGTGGATAGCAAATAAAATGGCTATATTTGTGTTGTAGACATGGCGACCCCCGGTTCCCATCACCACTACTGTAAAAAATCATTGCTGCAAGTTTCTGTACAATGAACAATTTTACTTCAAACCATTCTAAATGATGCTGTTTACTTCTCAAGGACTGAATTATTCAGAAATGTTGAAAAGTTGGTGGAAATCCCCTTTAATGGGATATTTGAGTAAGGTATGTGGAGTTTGGGAATGCCCTAAGTAAGAGCACCGTAGCTAACAGGCTAACAGATTCTTCCAGTAACATTCAGAGTTCGGCTTTAATGTAAAATATATACTAAAAAATTCATTTAAAAACTGGAACGCAAGTAATGTATGTCTCACAAACTACAAATGTCACTGTTTAAGGCAGAGCTGCCATAAGCAGAGTTAAATTGCATAGACCACTGATGTCATCCCATCATTCCATGGTCAGTGTCTATTAGGAACTCTGGGTGTAAGCTGGATATTTGAAAAATAACTGCTATCCCATTCTGTGGTCAACAAAAAGGTTCCAAATCCAATATATTTTATCCATCGTATATTCTTCCTTTGAAAGTCACTGGATCTTCTAAATTATTATTACACTGCTGCACACTAGACTGACATCATAAGACAGGCAACCTCACTAAAATACTCCAAAATGAACCAGCAAGCTTTATCAGGTGTGGTAGTTACATTGCTTTAGTTGTAGTAAAGTACGTTGGAAGAAGCTGTTGTTATTTTACAATAGTGTTAAAGTTCAATAGTAGACTTAGTTTCCTGCAACATCATTTCATTGTTCAGAAGTGGTAGATTTTTGTAGCATGAATGTAGCAAAGTTCACATTTTGACTACTTAATGACCTCGTAATTCAGAGGATCCAGTTACATTCAGTGGAAAATAGTCACCTGCATGTAGTAACATTCACGATTCATCTCCTTAACAACTTTGTGATTCAGAAGACCAGTGACATTTGAGAGGATCACATGTGCACAAGACAAAAGTTTTAATAAAATTTAATACAAATTTTTACTGCAAGGGAAAATAGTGGCAATTAAAAAAAGCCATTCATTTTTCCCATAGAGAAAAACGGCTTACATCCAGGGTTCCTAATATAGGCATGATGCCTACTACAGAAAGATGACACATCTGCCTTGTGGTCTTGTAAGTGTGCCAGTTGGGACAGTACTTTGTACAGTTTCACTGACTTAGCCTAAAGGCTTTTCCCTGCTGTCAGTATCTACCATCTTCCACTGAAACAAAATATGCTGTACAGTTTGTCCTCTAACAAAGCAGGGATTTTCTCAGTTGGGTGTGGCATAACTTTGTGTATATACACACTTTACTACAATAAATTAGAACATAACACAGCAGCTTTGATCCCATTTTGTAGTAGACAGTGCTTGCTTTTTTCAGATAATCTGCCAAGTGGCTATGACTCATTAGTCAGTATTGTATACGTCCTATCATTCTCTCAGTACTGTATGTCAGTCCTATCATTCTCTCAAAGGCCATCTGCATTAATACAAACTTTTAATAAGTAATGATCAAATGTGATAATATATTAATGCAAACTAGTGCACTTATGAAATTTTATAGTATAGCACTCAGACACTTGTATATCTTGTATACTGGCATATTTGTAATATTCTATTTAGCATATTTGCACCTGTTTACAGTCACATCCCACATGCTCTCACAAAGCAGCTTTACAGAAAATCCGGTCCAAGCCGCAGTGAGCAAGCCAAGGGCGACAGTGGCAAGAAAAACTCCCTATGAGCAAGAGCGCTTAAAAAACCCATCCTCCTCTGATCACCACCAGATAGGACAGGCTTGTCAAACTGAGGACCTTTTGGGGCAAAGTGCTGTGGATATTAGCATTGAACCCCATCTATCGCTCTGAATTCAGTTCATGAAGGCCTTGATAATCAGCGAATGAGCTGAATCAGGTGTGTTTAATGGGGCTGTGTACTTAAGTCTGCAGTGTTTTGTCCCGCAAGGACTGGAGCCTGACACATGTGAGATAGTAAAACAATAACACAGCAAGAGCAATCTGAATAAAGGACAATGTTTTACAGTTAATACAATATTTAATATGAAGATAAAGAAAAAAACAGTCATTTAATGTAAGTGTAACCAATGACTACTGTCAGAGGCCTATCAGAATAACAGTGAGAAATAGATCTATGAAAATCAGTCACTGATTTACTAATATTTACTAATTCACTACTACTGAAAACCAGTTAGGAGCATACAGTGCTAAATGTATTCAGTACCGTATTTTGTTACAATGCATAAAAAAGTAGCGTATTCTGAATATGTAGAGAACATTTAGAATACAATTCTAGTACATCTTGGAAAAGCACTTGGGAAAACCTTTTACTTAATTTACACTGTTCCTCATGGTTGCTGTTTGGCGGTTTTATTCACGTAATTACTCTTTGAAACATTTACTTATTTAAATTAAGTTCCGAAATTCTCAACATTTTTGATGAGTTTGACCATCTCTCAGAAAGAGCTAAGTAACACTGAGATTAATGACTATCACAGTGATTTATCAGTCCACTCAGGCTTTCGCAGAGCTCAGTAACACTGAGATTAATGACTATCACAGTGATTTATCAGTCCACTCAGGCTTTCGCAGAGCTCAGTAACACTGAGATTAATAACTGACCGACCATCACATTGATATATCAGTCTATTTATGCTTTAGCAGAGCTCAGTAACACTGAGATTAATAACTGGCTCAACACCTTGATTTATCAGTCTACTCAGGCTTCAGCAAGAACTTCAGCGTTTGTAAAGAAGCAGTTAATTGAGTTCCTCTTTAAAATGAATCTAACAAGAATGTTTGTTAGATGCCATAGTTAAAATACAAGCATTGACAGTGTTTCTTTTGAAGATTTTTTTTTTAATATTTAGTAAGTATTCTAAAAGTATTCTTTCAAAAATGTGAGAAGTGACTGTATTCTGAATATTGCCTTTACTGCCAAATGTAACGAGAGCGGAATACAGATACTTAGTTTCTGTATTCTGAATACATGTTCCTAATACTTCCGTTACATCCCAACCCTGGAAGCGTATCACAGTGAAAATGAAAGTTAAGTCCATAAATATTAGTGACTACTCCTAAAAGCCTATCATGATAAAATGTTAGTATGAATATGAGAAGAACTCATATTGTGAAGCAGGTAACACAATGTTTATGATTCAATAGTCTGTGCAGCACCAGCATCAGCAGGAGGGTGAGAGGCATGCAGGTGAGGCTTTCTGTGCAACACTGAACAGCAGGAAGCTCTATGCTGGTCAGGATGGTTCAGAAGGCTTGCCAGCATGGCATCCGATCAAGGCAGATGAAGTAACAGCATCAGACCGAACAGCGGTTCAGCTCAGCAAAGAGTCACACAGGTAGTTAGTTGTGTTTAGGGTGACTGAGAACAGTTCATAGTGTTAACAGAGTGTTACAGCCTAACTAAAAGAGAGAGCCAGAAAAGGAAGACATAAGAGCTCCCTGAGATGTCAGCACCATCAGCACTCAGTTTACCATAATGCTCTACATTAATGAACCCCCAGATCTGCTCCTTCTAACAGGAAAACTAATTGCTAAAGGCTCAACAAGCAGGATTTTAGCCTAGACTTAAAAACTCAGACTGAGTCCAGCACCTTATGACCTTAGTAGACATGATGGTTCATAATGAGCATATATGTTTTCAGATTTTTCCTTGATGCTGAAATTAATAGCTAAAAATTAGCTACATAAAGGCTGTTTTGACTGGAAATGCACTGCACGCACTGTTTACAGATGTACATTTAATTCACATAGAGGATATGCATGCTGTCGCTGTCATGTTAAACTTCTACTGTCTTTGAGTTCTTACTTTTTGCCATTTGGAACTTTTAGTGTTTAGTGATGCACTAGCCAAAACAAATGGCCCAAAATGAGCTTGAAATTGAGTCAAAATTGCCTTTGTGTGTGTTAAAGTTAAGGTTTAGTAATGTTTTTTCTTCTCCTGTAAAGTTAACATTTTGGAGATAAGAGGTTTTATTACAACAGTGACAATATTTTGTGATACCATTTGCTGCTCTCATGTTATATTTATTTGTATTAATAGCTGTTTGATGTATTCTCTATGGTACATTTATGTAAGCACTTTTTACACTAAGATAAATTCCTAGTATGTGCAAGTGTGCCTGACCAAAAAAGTGCTTCTGATTTTGCTACTCATTGCTACTGGGAAGTGTTATGCATTCAAATCCAATAACAGCCCTTGTGCACTCCAGTAAGCCAGTCATTCTTTTGGCCACAAAACATTCCTCTCAGATTACTCATTAATGCAGTGATTCCTAACAATCTGCTGAAGACCCAGTGAACTGGAACCTGATTAACAAGGTTAGAGTGGAGGGAGAGGGGAGGCGACTCCAGTCATGACACCAGTGAGGGGATGGACAGAAGAAGAGCTTACAAAAGATCGTTTCCAGGAACCTCACATTACAGTCAGGTCTCCTCACCCCTCTGGCTTTGGTTAAAAAGAGGAGTTTGCTCTGATAGAGTGAGGTGGAATTATGGGTGTTTCATCTCTCCTTGTGTCCCTCGCCTTGCTTCTGTCCCATGTTTTAGGGGCTGTTGTGGACCCCATGCTCCCTTTCTCGGACTACCTGGACCCAGGAAACAGCACCATGCTCCGGTGGGGATTTGACCTGGTGAAGAACTCCATTCTGTTTGAGCTGAGTATGAAGACCACCGGCTGGGTCGGCTTTGGCTTCAGCCCCAGTGGAGGAATGGCAGGAGCCGACATCGTTATTGGAGGAGTTGGACCTAACGGCATATATTTCACGGTAATGGATTCATAAATACAATAGATGTAAATATGATGTATCATATATATAAATAAACTGAAAGATACAGGGTTTTGTTCCGATAGCAGTTATATATATATATATAAATGTAAATATAAGTGAGTGGATATGTATTTATATAACATCAGTTTTTAGTTATAGCATAGCATATAACATTAGTTATATCTATCTCTATAAAGGATGTATGAAGTCAGAGACCACCCTTCATCAGAATGCCAAATAAGTCATTAATATTTCAGCATCAAGAAAAAGCTGAAAATATTTATTTAACGTAAATAATAGAAGCCTCAACAACTAAATATAATATCAAATTGTTCAGTGTTTAGTATGTCCACCCTTTCATGACACTTTCAGTTTTTCAAAGAAATCTGCAGGGATATTTTTCCACACCTCCAAAGTTCAGTCTTACAAGTTGGTTGCATTTTCTGCTTTTCATGATCCAAATAATCTCAAACACATTCAGTGATGTCGAGCTCTGGACTCTTGATTTTCTCCTCTCTGTCAAAGATGAAAGCTTTAAGTACCATTTATCCAATTGAGACAGTTTTGATGGTCTATTGGGTTTTGGAGTCCAAGAGTCCTGTTTTCACTATATCTTTTAATAATTCAATAAATTCAAGTTTTGGAAACATATCGTTCTTTGAGTTTCTCCCTCCTTATGCAAGTGGACTGTTTTATATCTAATGTCCTCAGAAGTGAAGGATGGTCTCTGACTTTTGCACAGTGTGCATATGGGTATCAATATATATACATACAATTGCCTTATAAATAGGATGTGCATGAAACAGTTTGCTGAATTACGTTATAAATGTCAATGGTAAATACAAATATGTCCAGGTGAATGTGTGGTATATGCAGTTTGAATCCGTAATGTAAGATTTACCTCATGTTCAGGGATCCACAGTATAAATACCTGAGAGAAGGTGTTTCTGACTGGGCGCTGTGTGTTTTGTTAAGGACAGGCATGCAGTGGGGAACTTTGTACCTCTTCTGGACGAGCAGCAGAATTATGAATTGGTCTATCTGACTGAAGCAGACGGACAAACAGTGATGAAGTTCAGGCGGTCCATCAGTGCCTGTGATGAAGATGACTACCCAATCACTGTGAGCAAACCGTCATTTCAGAACTTTTATTGTATGTTCCCTTTCTATCGTTTTCTTTTCACTACCCTCAACAATGGCTACTGTACAGCGGCAGTGAAGGACAAAAGTAGGAATTTCAGCCCCACTAGGATCGGCAGGTGTTGTCTTTCAGATGCTTTATACTCCTGCAGAATGGTCCCAGTACAGTGGGAGGCCTACTGTATCTGCTGCAGTCTCTGCAGGGTTGGCCTGTGGTGTACAGTAACCCAATACTGTACACAGCACATTCGTTTTCGTTTTAGTAAGTTTTAAAGGAATCCAAAAAATAAAGCCAAATGGCTGTCCAAACATCATTCTGGCAAACTGTTTTAAATGGCAAATTTTGCCTCTTTCCTTAAAACACTTCACTTATTGAATATATTGCTTCGTTCTGTACATCAACCTGAAGGTTTTTTCTCTGATAAAAGGCTGATTATTTGAAGCTGTATTGAACCTGACACAAAAGACTGGTTTAATTCTCATCATTTACTGTTTTTTCCCCCCCATGCTGAGTCTGAGTCAGGATGTTAATGGTGAGTTTGAGTCTGAATCACTGACATTTCTGGTAGTTATTATGATTAATAATTGAATAATAAGCCCAGAGCTCAGGGGGTTAAACTTTCCTATTCCATACAGAACACAAAAGCCCAGATAGCAAGAGGATAGCAGGCCACTGATGGCCTGCTGACAGCAAAGCCGACAGCCCACTGGCTTATTGCTCAGCATTATCTGGGCAGCCCACTGGTGGTTAAGTAGAGTATTAGACAAAAAGTCGCTTTTCATCGTTTACTTTCCGCTCACAGTCCAATTTACTTTATTTTCCTTAACAAATAATTCAATAAATAATTTTAATGTAGCACAGTGTCAGCATCATTATCAACAAAATCATTTTATATTAGGCACAGTCTTTTTTTTGTCTCTCTGTAGTTTGTAATATTTGTCTTGTATTTTATTTTCAATAAAAGGTTATGTGCATTCAAAATCTGATTGACGAGATTAAAAACTAGTTAGATCTTGTATGCGTGACAGTAATCTGGGTGGTCCGAGGGTGGACCAGCAGTAGTATACAGTTAATTGGGTGCCGACCTTATCATGCCAGCGGGCTGGTATTTGCTTGCTATCTGGGAGAAAAAAAACAGTAACTTTAATTTTTGTATGGGCTAAATTCTGTGAAATTCATCAAATATCCATCTTTATATCAAAGCTTCCCTTTACTTTTGAACGTAGCAAATGGGTCAAAAGCATAACAACATCACTTTCTGATTTTCTGATTCTGATTTTCTTAACCTCAGAAAACTCAACCTCTCTCAATCTCTCTTAAGGAAGTGCCAGTTAAGCTGATCTATGCCTACGGTGAGACTGACAACATCAGCTTCCACGGGAGCCATCGAGGTACAAAGGAAGTGAACCTGCTGAAGTTCATGCCCAGAGTCAGAGTGCCGGACAGCCAATACTTTGACCTGACCATGACCAACGTAAGGCTGATTCATTTTTAAATGTCTGACCAAAGCTTCTTTTCATTTAGTTCATTTCTACCTCCACCATCATATCAGTTACAACATTACATGCCTTCTGACAGCAGCTCATTGAGTCTTGGCCTAAATATGTCGCTCTTTCAGATTTTTAAGATGAGATCTGTATCCACATAACTGGATCATCCATAAACTGTTGATTGTATTTAATTACTTCTCTCACTTTTTTATCCAAAATAGGTGACTGTTTTTAATATTAGATTCAAATTATGCAATTCAAGTGGCCTTAAATCTGTTTAACAGGCATGTTTACCAGACAAGTGTTTGTCATACCGGGTTTCTAACTCTATTGGATAAGGGCCAGTTACCTGATACTGAGAAACTCACTGGGGAACAAGCCGTCTGAATGGAAACCACCTCAAGCAAATGCTGCACTGTTCAAATAAACCATTAAAAGTAAAAAAAACTTTCAGAGCCAAATGAACAGAATACACTCAAAAATGTACCAAGAAGAAGTCTATACTTCATTATTTTCTAAAGGATGTCACCAATGTGCAAATTTAACAATGACAACTGTAAAAATTCATTCATAAACAAATGTACACAAACTCATTCAGAGTGGATTGATGTGAATTCGTCCATTAGAGAAACTTACAGACGTACAGTGGTGGTGATAGGAACCAAGCGTCATGATGCTTACAGCACAAATATAGCCATTCTATTTATTTTGCAAAACCACCAGTAAACCTACATGTGTCTTCTGAGTTTTATATATAATGTTGATGATGGTATAATAGTGGCTAAACTGAAAAAAAAGTTTTCTTTAAGGACTATTTGTACCTCACAGCAAGAGGGGCCTGGGTTTGATTCCCAGTCGGGAGACCAGGGTCCTTTCTGTGTGGAGTTTGCATGTTCTCCCCATGTCTGTATCGGTTTCCTCCCACAGTCCAAAGACATGCAGTCAGCCGAACTGGACATGCTGTTCAGGGTATTTCCTCCTTCTGCCCAGTGACCGCTGGGATAGGCTCCAGCTCCCAGTGACCCAGAAGGATAAGTGGCTAAGAAAATGTGTGTGTGTGGACGATTTAGCCTTAGAATGCCCTTCATGTGTCTCTCCACCATGAATGTGTTTTAAGCCAAACTATCTTAAAACAATGTCTGAGACTTCCGTCAATCATTTCATGTAATAATTTTCTGCGATGGAGCTTTTAGAAGCATTAAATGTTCCTATTACCACCACTGTGAACAATTCTGGCTCTAAGATTCTCTAGAATGGAGAATTTCACATCCAACAATTCTGAATGAATTTACATCTCAATCATTTAATTATAGTTGAATTAAAAACCTGTGGAATTCCCCCAGCTCTAGCTTTTAATAACCCTCTTGTTATAGAGTGTTCTCACTGAACTATTTCTTTAAAAAAAAAGGAAAATTGATCTGCCAATGGAATAAGATTATTTCACTAGATATACTTATTTCCTTTTCTCTGTAAATAGATATTAATTACAAGTAAAAATGTTTATAAATATGCTGAATAATCTTATTTTGACAACAATCTCAATATAAGAGATATAAGGCATATTGACTAGATTTAAGATAATGTCTTGCCAAGATATCATTTTTTGAGAGTTCAATATTTAATATATTCAATAAAGATGTTATTCAGGTATCATTCTGCATTTCCTAACAAGTGAAACAAGTGTTGATGTGAAATGCTGTGCTCAAATGTGAACATGAATGGAATATATTTCTTCGACACAATTCTTGCCTAAATAAAGACTCTCCTTCATGCTTCCTTTGCAGTTTACTGTACCGGCCCAAAACACTTACTACCACTGCAAAGTTATGAGAATTCCTGCATTCGATCGTAAATACCACATATACCGGGTAAGTAGCTGTGAGTCTAACTTAGCTGGACAAGTTTACAGCTCTGGTTCCTGTGGAATGTTTAGACGTGAAACGTTTGCTCCAGAAATCTCCAGAAATCTACCTATTGTTTCCAGGTAGAGCCACTGATAGACAATCTAGACCTGGTGCATCATCTGCTGCTGTACCGCTGCCCACCGACCGTAACTTCAGCCAAAGAGCAAGCATGTTACACAGAGGAAGCTCAAGCTGAGTGCTACCAGACCGTGGCTGCATGGGGGGTGGGAGGAGGGGTGAGTGACCCTTCTTTTTTATGATCAACATTGGAGTTAAACTCTCTTATAAGTTTGGGGGTGGAAGGGGGGCTGGTGGTGAGGGGCAACAGGAAAAGTCATGTCCAAAAAGCTTTAACGTAACAATTTTGAATATTTTAGCTTACATGTATCTTTACAAACAGCTAGACAGGGCTGTCAAAATAATGAAGTTTTATCTGATGATTATTTGTTGTATAAATAACTGTGATTAATGGTTAGTCGTTATTTGGTTACTGTGTGCATCTATGGGCAAAAAGTGGCAAATTGGCTTATCAGCTATCTTGTTTTCTAGCGATGCTTACAAGTACAGATATTACTGTTGAATTATTACATCACACAGTTGGGCACGTGCACACTCTCACATTACTGTCCCAATTATACAGAATCAGGTGTTATGGTTCTACTCTATCAATGGTCAGGTGACCACATTAAGTACCACCTTCATTGTTGTCTGAAAATGTCTAAATGGGATCGTACACTGTATGTATAGTCTTTGGGGGGACCCGATTGATTGTAACATGCAAGGCAACAAAGCCTGTGAAAATGTTGTGTAATAGTCCTGGCTAACTACCTAAGAACATGGATATCCAAGAAAGACTGGATTTTACCTCAGTCTTGTAGCATCAAATTCTATGTTTTCACTTTGGAAGCTGAAAAGTAGAACAGTTTCACTCAAATTATCACTGACCCTCCACTGGTTGTGCAATCTGGCACTGGCCCTGCATGAATTCCATTATATGGAGCATTTATAACAGTTCAGACATTTTAAGTTTGCCATTCAGTAAATAGTTCAGCTCAAAAAATCAAATATACAGTTTCCACCAAACCCCAAATGTAGTTGTTCAGGTAAGACATGTTTGCCATCTAAACTTGGCTGCTTTAGTTTTGCCCTGGAGCTACAGAGGTTAAAGTGGCTGAAAAGTAATGGAGACTTATATGACACCAATTAGCAAATTATATGGCTTAAATTAGGCTGCACCACACAGTAGTATTACACTGCACTGAGAAAGAGCACTTACCTCCCAATGCACATCTTCTTTTACAAGCCCTAAACTACAAGTAAATCCGCCATGCAACCTCATTTCTCTGTTATTGTGAGTCATTCTATTCCTCCACTCACACAAAGAAGATGAATGTGACAGTTACTTTTTTAATATAAAACTTACATACAGTGTAAGAAACCTCATAAGCAAGTCTATTTGACTCAGAAATAAAGACCCAATCCCATTTCACCTCTTGCCCTCAACACTTAGCCCTTAACCCTCCGTTTTGTGCGTTCACGTCTAGGGGGAGGGTGTCCCAATTTTTGTTGAGATAGAGGGGTAGGGTGAAGTGTGTGGGCTACATGGCCCTCCAAACAGAGGTTTTTCAGAGGCACACTCCAGAGTGTTATGAGAAAAATAGAAAAAAACGTCAAAATGGCTGTGCAAACGACCAAAGAAACCCACAAATGTGAGTATTTTCACCGTTAAACAATTACAATATCCATTATATTATCTTAGTTTAATGTCGTTTCAATGTATTATGGTCCTTTTCTTCATAACAAGCACAGAAAATTGCTAATAGTATGCTAATGTCTTGGTAGCTAGCTAAATTTCCCATTACACCTTAAATAGTCCAGCAGTACTGTCACCAGAATGTAACTGCTGCTCTACTAAAGGTGAAACACATTAATAATTATTAATGTGCAAAAATAATCCCCCCCCCCGCCCCCTTTGAAGGCATATGATGCCCTAAATGTAACTAAAGCCCAGCAGTGAGGTTGCCTCTGCTATCACTGGAGACTGGCAGGGTCACCTACAGAGCAGCGCTAGTAGCTGTTAATGAAGTAATGCTCTTTTGTATTTGAGGGTCCCATTTCGTAGGGGAAAATTTCAACCACTACCCTTTGTAACTCAGTTCCAAGGGGCAAGATGACTAAATAAGAAATGGACAAGGGGTAAGAATAAGAAATAGGATTGGGCCTTAGATTCTACAACTTAATGAACTAATAAAACTATAAGCTTCCATTACCTACTAGCTACATGAGCCTCATAGCTCCAGTGCAAAATTATAGCAGCAAACTTTAGACACCAAAAATGTCTTGGCTGATCTGATCTGGTACAAAGGGAAAACTGTGTACATTTAATTCTAGCTGTTTATTTTATATATTTTCAGGCCTTTGAACTTCCTGAGGTTGCTGGGATTCCTGTAGGGGGCAATGAAGGGGAAACTTTCTACAGGCTTGAGGTGCACTACAACAACCAGTATGAAACTCCAGGTAGTGTGAACTTTTAACTGTGAAAATATCCCCAATACACACTGTAGAACACAATGTAGAATTAATGATGATGTGGAACTAATGGTAATGTACATACTGTGACACTAATATTAGTTTAAAGGCTTTCAGACAGTTTGTGTAAATGGGGATCACAACAGCACAGTTTGTGTAAATGGGGGATCACTACTGTACCCTTTCTGCTGTCTGCAGGTCGTGTAGATAACTCAGGCTTGCGGTTTTATTACACCGCTCAGTTGCGGCAGTATGATGCTGCTGTTCTGATGACAGGACTAGCAATCGCTCCAGGTTATGCAATCCCACCCAACGCCACTGACTTCCTCTCATACGGCCTGTGTGACACTAGCTACATTCCACAGGTACAGTAGGTGTTTCAATCATTTTCAGAATTCTGATTATATTCAAACTCCTCTGTCTAATCATCACTAACAACTGTACTCTACTGAGCCTTTCACTCACATTAGCATCAAATGCTGAAAATGACATCTGTTTGCTTCTCTGGGTAAAAACTCCTGCCTTAGGGTCATTTTACCATTGCAGTGGTGAATCACAACTTTCAAGACATGAAAATTAACTCAAAATAAGAATAAACCACAGAAAGAGTTGATGTATCTGTGTTCTTTGTTCTATTCATAAATTAACTGACAAAAATCACAAACTTCACAGATGCTGAAATACAAGGGTGGCGCCAGACCTCCGCATCTCATCATATTATTGAATTTTACAACCTTGGTTTTAACTCTGAAAAGGACACAATTAGTTGATTAGTGAAATCTCTTTTTATACATCTGATGAATTTACAACTTCACAGATATTGTTTAATATAGCAGACAACATTGTACACTTGAATTAAATATAAACATTTTTACCCAGTTTGCCAATGAAATGGTGGATTGACCGTTAAAAATCAAAATTAGGTTAGAAGACAAAATGTAAAACAGGAGAATAGACTTTAAATTGCGTTATTTTTCCTCATTCTCTTCAGGTCATCTCTGAGTCTGCCCAAGACTTTACAGGTTTTCTCAGTCATTCTACACACACATCTGGCAGGAAGAAAGGTGCGAGTTGGCCAATTCAGGTAAATTGAAGAGCAACATTCAGTTATAACAGACACATTTTTTTAGGACTACAATTCTGTCTCATAAATATAGTCAGTCACTTCTAGGCAAAACTATTTTGCTGATATCACAAAGTCATAAATGTTTTGTTTAGCACTATTAATTTTGTTCTCAGCCCTCCAGTTGGTTATCCCACTGAGATCTCTAAAGTTTGAGAAGATTCCCAGCAGTTTGGTTTTGGCAATATTTGAGGAAATTAGATCAAATATGTCACCCTCTGCTCCGACTTGCCTTGTGATGTCATTAATTCATATCTCTTAAAAAGTGACATTCGACATAACGGATCTTTGTTTTCTGTCCATAATAAATACTTGAGTAACCTCAGGCTCTGTTTCTGCAGGCTTTAAATATGCTATTGTGCAGCTTCTCCTCAAAAAGCATGTTCTCAGTGCTGACATGCTTCATGATTATAGGCCGATTCCAAAACTACCCTTTCTCTCTAAAGTATTGGGGAAAGTGGTTCTTTCTCAATTATAAGCTCACCTGACAAAAATGATATTTTTGAAGTTTGGTTTTAAACCTCACCACAGGACAGAGTCAGCTCTCCTAAAGGTGTCAAATTATCTGCTGCTTGCTGTTGATTCTGGTGATTGTGCCATTCTGCTCCTGCTAGGTCTAAGTGCTGCGTTTGACACTGCTGATCATAACATTGGGCCTTATTCACCAATCGGTTTTAACAAGACATTTCTTCCTAAAAACCACTTATGCAGTTTTCATGAAGATTCTGACATTCACCAGTGTTTTCTTTTTTGAGATTTGTTTTTAGGTGAGAACAGAATCTAAACACACTCGAGCGCAAAAGTGCAAACAATTCTGCGGTTTAAGACCACACTATAAATCTGATGTAGACTTCTTAGGGCCTCTCTCAAGAACAAATTTAAGAAAAGGTCCATTCTCATTGATCATCTTGAGCACACAGTGGGTCTTGGAGGTGTAGTGCTAAACTGTTTTAAGTCCCATTTTTGTCATAGTACATTTGCAGTTAATGTTGGAAATTGTTGTTCTCCTGTTACTGCCTTCGGGTATGGGGTACCTCAAGGATCAATAATAGGGCCGGTACTCTTCTCACTATATCTGTTGCCTTTGGGCAGTAACATTAGGAACTATGATATTCTGTTTCACTGTTACGCAGATACACAGCTTTGGTTTACACTGAGGCCTACTAACTTGTGCTCACTACAGCATCTAAATGAGTGTTTGGGATAGATTAAACTCTGGCTGGCAAATAACTTTCTTCAGTTAAATGAAAACAAATTTGAGCTTATGTTTTTTGGCCCACCCAAGTCTTGTGACAGCTTACTAAAACTCTTGGTGTATTGTCAGAATATGTGAAACCTCAGGTCAAGAACCTTCTGACGTTGAGTTTGACAGGCAAACAAATGTTGCCCTCAAAAGGAGTTTCTGTCAACTCAGGTCAATTGCCATAATTAAGTAATTTCTTACTCCACAGGTACTGCAAAAGCAGCTACTACAGCTGCAAGATTGCTCACAGGCACTAAGCAAAGAGAGCATTTCACTCTGGTTTAACAGATCTTTTATTTGTTTTTAAGGCCCTTAATAGAGCTGCACCCTCTTATATCTCACAGTTACACAACTTCATTCCTCTTCCAGGTCCCTAAGGTCTTTTAGCTCCTGGCTGTTCCACGGTCTTGGCTGAAGCTCAAGGGTGACTAAGCTTTTGCAGTTGCAGTGCCAAGACCCTGAAACAGCCTAAAATCAAATCAAAATCAAATCACATTTTTTCTGATGTCACATTAACACAGGTGTGTGTCTATGTTGTGAGTTTATGTTTTTCTTTTTATTATTGAATCATTGAATCACTCATCATGTCATTGAATCATATGTGTGCAACAATTTGGTTTTAAATGTGCTCCATATATAAAGCACTTACTAAAATAGACATGAACTAAGTGAGTTGTGGGAAAATGAGGGGAGACATAAAAGATGGGTGTGGTGAGTTACCTGAGACTAGTCAACAATATTGTCTTATGAAGTAATGAATGGTATTGTATAGAAGACCTTTCTGAGAATTCCCATGCTCTATATAAACTCCAGGACACTTTCGAAGTCAAAATAGCTAACAAAGCAAAAAGGTAGAGAAAAAGTGCTTTTATCAGCTGTTGTGCTCATGTTTTTTCAGGATATCTTCTCTTTTCTAGGGATGGGGAGCAGATTGATTTCGTAGCTATGAATGAACATTACAATTTTGAATTTCAGCAAGCTGTGAACCTGGGAAAAACTAAGACCATTCAGCTGGTAGGTGTCCAATTGGAATATATCTTAAGTGTGCCTTCAGGGTTGGTCTCACAGTTGCAAATTCATAGTTATTCACACATGCCAACATAGGGCTGTAGTCAAGACCACCTTCGTCAAGTCCAAGACCAGCACAAGACTATGACTAGTAGCAATCAAGTCAAGACTGACTCCAAAGAGGGCCGAGACCAAGTCAAGACTGAGTCCAAATGAGAATAAGACCAAATTCTCCTCTGTGCTACACATTACTGCCAGGGTCAGTGTCATCCAATCAGAGCTTCTCAAACTACGTATCCCAGCCATCCTACAGAATATCACTAAATAATTTAACTTTAAATACAAACAATATCAAATGACAAACACTATTGGCTAACTAGGTGAAAAAATGCTTTTGAGTACATTCAGCAAGTTGGTTAGAAAAACTAAGGTTAAACCAGAGCAGGTTTAAGGGGGGCCTGGATTTCCTATACCTCCTGTTATATCCAAAATATAACTGCAAAATGTTAGAGGGCGCCCACAAGCATGTCCTAAAAATGGGTATGAATGGAGCATAGAACTAAACATTAGTATAGTTCCTAACCACTTGTCCAGGACACTCCTTTAATTTTGGAATGTAGAAAGATGCATTTTACTCAAAAAGCAAAGAAAACTCACTCTTTTTTTCTAAAGCCAATGGGTTTTGGGCAGCAGTACGCTAGTATTACCGCTACTGAGCGCTGACTGGCTGGTCAGCTTATTGGCTGAGTGAAACAGATCAAAGATGTCATGAATGTACGTGAGGCGCTCTTATAAACTCCTATAACTGGAGTTTAAAAGTGCTCAAAAACATAACAGTGGTGTTAAAAGGTTTCATGCTGTTCTGTGTTTAGGAAATTAATGCATTCTTCTGTTTAAAAAATGTTTTAGCATTTACAAACTATGATTTTGCTCAAATGCTCCATATCAACCCATTCATTTTGGACTTGCTCGGGAGGGCCCTCTAGCGTCTGAACACCTCGGAAGACTTTACTGAGTGACAGTTCCTCTCAGTACACATTCTCTGTGCTAAACATCCCAGCTGTGCAACACTATCAAACCTAGTAAATACCCAGTAACATAGAACAGGACTGGTGTATTAATAAGTCAGTGTTTGATTTAGCTTCCTCAGTCGCGACAGCTGTAGCTGGCTACACAAACTCGGCTAGTCACCTATCTCTGTGAGAGAATGCTTTACTTCAGACTTAACAGGATAAATAACGGCAAATAATCGAGGCTACTTGCTGAGGTACAACATAGATTTAAACACATCTACTTACCCAGCAAAGACATCATGAAACAGCAGGAATGAACCAACCAATACTTAAGAAGATCCGGGCAGCGTCAAAAAACGAACGATTAACTGTTTCTCACTGTGATTTGTCACATTGAATAGCTTTCACAAAGGTTTTATACGCTTCGGTTTACATTTACATCAAATTACAGCACCGGACCAAGTCCAAGACAAGTCTGAGAAAATAAAAGTCCAAGACTTGAGTCTGGACTGCAGCCCTATGCCAACATGAATGGAATTGAATATTACAACATTATGTAAATATTCACCTTATTAACAAAAATAAATAAATAAATAAATAATAATAATAATAATAAAAAACATTTGAAGAAGTGCCAAAATGTTTGCCAAATTAACAGAATTACTCCCCTCACAGGGTGACAAGCTTCTGGTGGAATGCACATACAACACTGATAATCGAACAGGACTCACTTGGGTTGGTAAATTTATCTTGATAAAAACTTTCCTGATGGCTTTGGAAGTCTGCACTAATCTGAAACAGGTGGAAGATATACCTAGGCCATAAAAGATTTATTACAGTAGTTTTTAAAGGGCCTATATCTTAGATTTCTCAGTAAAAGAACATGGTAGAACCATATCATTTATAAATACAACTGCATGCTCTCTCTTCATTCTGCCAACAGGGGGGGCTCTCCACTACCAATGAGATGTGCCTGGCCTTTCTCTTTTATTACCCAGCTATGAGCCTGAGCAGCTGCGTTAGTTTCCCAGATCCACAGGCCCTCAGTCAGGAGATGGGTGCAGCTAATGAAATGTAAAACACTAAATATGTAACACTATTAACAACAGCTAATGAAAATTACCACTTTTAAAAGAGAAGTCAAGCATTTTTCAACCTCATGTCTGTCTGCTGCATTTGTAACACATGGTAATCTATGGTAATAATCCACTGTGATTACAGATACAGAAGATTGAGATTAGGTTCAATAATGCTGGAGTATGGTTTAAATAACACAGTGAACAACATGCAGTATCACTGTCCACACTCTTATTCTTAAGCAACCAATCCAAGTGTCCTTTCTACATTTTCAGTGATTGGTACAAACTAATGATCTCAAAGCGTTGGGATGGAAAGTCAGTCAAAGAGTATCAACAAACGCTCAAGAGGGATTCAGCAGTATGTAGTAGTCGGGAACATAGCGGTAAGTTCAGTTTACACAAGAGTTCATCTCTCTCTGAATATCTTCCTGACATTCAGCATAATCAGCATCTTCTCATCATTTCTGCCAAATTCTTAGCTGAACTCCAACACTAACCTTTAGCTGATTCTTTCTGTAAAATAAGTACGGACGTTTTTGATGAATCTGTGCATAAAAAATTCCCAAAAACTGAAAGAGAGAAATGCACAGATTGTGGAATCACCATTATTTACAGAACACCGACCAACTACGTTTCATTATAAAGAGAACATAATTTGTCCTGTTTAATTGGATATAGTGTAATATGTGAAGAACAGAATAAAAATGATTGTATTCAGTTTTATTCATGAGAGTAAATAACGTGATGTAATATTTTTGCCATATCGCCCATTTTTCCATATCAGTGCAGATGTTTGGTTGTATTAGTTTGGTAATGGAAGTAGAAAAGTGCAGATTGTTTTTGTTTTTAGTTGTTATTAATTGTTAGGTTGCAAATCCACTCCCTGCTACTAACTGCACGTGCATCATTAGAGATACCTTCGGTATATATATATATATGTATGTATGTATGTGTGTGTGTCTGTGTGCACATGGATGAGTTTATGTATGTATGTATGTATGTATGTATATATATATATATATATATATATATATATATATTTGATCAAAACTTTGTATCTCCGAAAAGGCGTTTCTGTTGGTCCTTTCATAATTAAATTTAACGCAGTGTAATGTGGTAACTGGTGTTTTCAAATGGATGCATACATGCATGAACGAGAGACCTTTTTTCCCCCCAACAGCCATGATACAGAATGGCATTGTCTTCTCTTAAAATTTCAGGCTTATTACACACTAAAGCTTATTATTCAGTAACTACAGGGACTTCAGTGCAAACTGGTTGAGCTATTCTTAGGTTATAGAAATGTGTAATAAAACTTTGGGCCCTGGCCATTTAATACTTTAAGCACCAGGCTACAGTCCTGTGCATTGTCCACTGTACGAGGTACAGAGGAGGCATAAAAACAAAACTGAAGAAGATGTTAAGAAGTAGTATGCACTTTTCAGTTAGTCTGCCAATCTCAGTTAATCCCAAAGAGTAACTGCAAGCAGCAGTGCAGTGAAAGAACAGCACTGTCCATGTTATTGGTATTGGGTGGGTGTGAAACTCTTGCACTTCTTTAGCATATATATCATTTTTAATTAAAAATCCTATGTGGTCTAAGCTTAGGCCTAGTCTAGATCTGGGAAGACAGCCCATGCACTAAACAGGTCCACTCTTGTATAATCCTGTTTATTCTGTTTTCCCCCTAGAACATGTCGCTCTACACAGGGATGATTCCTGAGCTCAGAGCCACTCCATCTGTGAGCTGCAATACAAACAGGTCTGACATGATGACTCCTGCTGTGGGGTTAGTGCTGCTCCTCTGGCTCATAGCATCACTGGGTCTATCATAACACTCCTCATGACCACAGCAGTGGAGGTGGTCAAACAAGAAGACAAGTGACATTTGAGTGACTACTTAGTAATGGTAGTACTTCTTCACTCAGATAATGAAGTAATGACGTGAATGGTTGGTTTCAATGGCTAGATTTGGTTACTTGGTGTGGCACATGCGCTATATGTCCAAAAGTATCCAGAAACCCCCTCTAATGACTGAGTTCAGCTACTTTAAGATGCACCATTTACTGACACAGGTGCTCTGTTCTGCACACGCAATTTGTATAATCTCTATAGAAAAGCACTGCCAATAGATGGGGAGACACTCTGTAGCGGCAGTAGAGCAGTGGAACTGGAATGATGGAGCTCTGTCCAATACCTTTGGGTTGAATTGGAGTGAAGTTTGTGATCCTGAGCTAATCAACTAACATCAGCACCTGACCTCACTAATGCTCTTGTGAAAACATTCAAATCCTCACAGCAATGTTCCAACATCTAGTGTAAAGCCTTCCCAGAAGAGTAGAGGTTGTTACTACAGTAAAGGGAAACAAACTCCCCAATAATACGATTGATTTCAGAAGAAACGCTGGATGAGCAGGTGTCTACAAACTTTTGGACATACAGTGTATGTTGCTTTAGTTTACTTAGGTTTTTGTTGTCAATGAAGATTACACCAATCAATATATCAATCATACTGATATTTCACCTATTTCTTATGCCAAAAGTTTTTTGTAAAAAGCGGACTGAAGTAGAAGATTATTGTTCTCAGTTGACCAAAATGAATAAAACATTTTAAAGGAGCTGATTTTCTTCTTGTTCCTCTTGTTCCCACATTCTAATATGTAAGTAAAGTAAAACAAATGAGACAATTGCAAAAGCTATAGGTGCTATTTTGAATCAGTCCTTTAAAGTCAGGCATACACTGTGCGATTTTTTAAATCTTGTTCTTTGCTGACAACTCGCACTGTACGTTTTAATCGTCTATTGTTTATGGATAAAGGCTGCAATTTATATACTCACGCTGTACAAAACCACTCGACTGACATGACTCACACTGCAGGCTCTCTGTCTACAGACAATTTCCAATAAAGCTGTTTCATTCAAAACAACTCACTGCGCTTCCGAGTCCTGAGCAAAAACACGGGTTAAATCTCAAAACGCCCCCTGCCCCTTCATAGTGCACCGTGTATTAAAATAGTGACTCCTGCACCCATACAGTGCATCACATGTCTAGCAATTAGCCTTTTGGGATTCAGCCATGTGTGCACAGTTCCATACTGGACAAATAGTGCACTATTTTGGTGTAGAAGCCAGAACTTAGTGCACTAGATAAGAAGTAGGGGGCCATTGAGATTCAGCCATTGACAAACCGCTACAACAGCTTTGCTAACTTGTGGCACAGTAGCCACGTTTGCATGCAGCCCAGTAATCCATTAATAATCCGACTAATGGCTCAAACGGAATAGTATACGTCCACGTATACAATCGGAATAGACTAGTCTGATTGAGGCCATTCGGAATACAATTTCTATCCAACTGAGCGAGGTGGGTAATCCTGCTAATAATCCGTTAAATAGAAGAATAATAACCATGTAAACACCTGTATCGGATTATATTGTTAATCGGAAAGTTTAAGTGCGTTCTGCGCATGTGCGTTTGTGTCATAGCAAAGCTTTATAACGTTCAACATGCCGGAAGCAGAAACTGCTCAATCGAATTGGCAAAAGTCTTGTAAACACAGCCACCGTGCACTGTAGCTAAAGAACAAGTGGTCTACAGACAGCTCTATGAAGACAAAAATCACCATTTTTATTTATACCCTACAATTCAACTCAAATGGAGCAAAGGAGGCATATACGGATGTTGGTGCCGCAAATGTCGACTTTTAGGAGCTAATTGTGTGTGGTTTTGTGTGCGACTTTGAGCAATCAGTTTGTGAGGCTGCTCAGACTGTGACACACAGGAGTCAGTCACATGCAACTCTGACTTCACTGAGTTCTATTACAACATCTATTGTTATTGATACATCTGTTGTATTCTGTTGTAACGTCTTTGTACCTTTTACATACTTTGTTTCTTCAGTCAGCCTTGGCCTTCTGTGACAAACATGTTGTTTTCTTCTAAAAATGTCATGTCATCCTTCATCAGCTATTTCAGTTCTATTTATTAGTTACACCATTACATAAAATAAAAATCACTGGCCTTAAGCCATTACATTCTGATACCATTAACTAAAACACACTTTAAGAAGATGGGGCTGTGTTCTTGATTACATCATGTTACATCAATTTACATATCCAACTTTTCCATAATTTATTGCATGAGAGTACAAAAATGTTATAATCTACTGATGATCCCACACAGCATAGTGTGATAAATTATGAAATCAAATCAACCATAAATAGTGAAATTACTATTTTACCAAACATACTCATAAATCTTAGGAATTTAAATACAAACCCATTTCTAAAAACATTGGGACGCTGTGCCAAATGTAAATAAAAACAAATGTGCAAATCATTTAAACGCTATATTTAATTGAAAATAGTACAAAGACAATATATCAAATGTTGAAACTGAGAAATTCTATTGTTTTTTTGAAAAATATATGCCCATTTTGAACTTGACGCCAACAACACATTCCAAAAAACTTGGGACGGGGGCAACAAAAGGCTGGTAAAGTTGTGTAATGCTAAAGAAAACAGCTGGTGGTGTTTTTGTTCCCAGATTTTCCCAGATTTTTTTTTTCGGAAAGAAAATTTGAAACCCGTGTCATTGACTAGAAACGTGTCTCTGTTGAACTTCCTTTAGTGAAATGGAAGAATATATAAAAGCTACTGACATTAACAACCACCTAAAGACTTTAATAGGTTTAAATGTTGCTGTTTGTTAGTGTGAAGAAGGAGCTCCTTGTCGTGTTCAAAATAAATGGGTTAGGATGGAGCACTGGAGCAAAATCAGTTTATAAATGCTTGAATATTTTAATATAAAATAATACAATCATTACCTGAACACAGAACAGCATAAAACATTTTAACACCTCTGTTATATTTGAGAGCTTTTAAACTCGAGTTATAGGAGCTTAAAATGGCACCTCATGTACGTTCATGACGTCAGTGAGCGCCAACAGCCAATGAGCTGCTCCGCTCGCCAACCAATCAGCACTCAGTATCAGTAACACCAGCGTTCTGCTGCCCAAAACCCGTTTGCTGTAGAAAAAAGAAACATACAGGTAAACTTTCTTTGTTTTTTGGTGAAATACATCCTTCTACTTTACACAATTCAAGGAAAGTTCTGGGCAAGTGATTAGAAACTATTTTAACTTTCCGTTTTTTGGCCGCTGAGCTCCATTTACTCCCATTCACTGAGGACTCACTCGCGGGCGCCCTCTGCTGTTTGGAGTCCTGTTTTTACCGGCTCTGGTATTTTGTCACAGGACGGACCGGGGACAGCGGTTTAGCATGCTAACTTCAGTAGACATCTCTGCAACACAATACTACGGCTAGACCCGATTATTCGGATATTCGTTTGTTGAGTAGGTATTCGTTTTTCATTTATTTTGGGATTTGAATATCCATTTTTTTTGCTAAATGTAGGCTATCAACAAAGGCAAACACTTTGGGGTTCTCGAGAGAAAGAAGGAAAGAGGCAGTAGCATAACGAGGATCTTATGGACCCCATTCCATAAATAAATGAAAATAAAAATAAAAAACATGTAATTTATTTGTTTTCTCCATATTGATATGTCTCAGACAAGCTGACGCTCTTGCAGATAAGCCCCTTATGGAGGGTCAACAGAACTTCATTTTAAATGAGAAAATTTATTACTCAAATTTTATTGGAGCTCTAAAAACACTGAAGAGTTTGAATTAGTGGCCTAAATCGCTTCGAAAGAGTCGCCAAGAAAACGGTGGACTCTTCACTACACAGTGAACAGGGGATGACCTGGGACGCAGCCTGCGGCTCTAAAACCCTCAAACTCAGACTTGCGCACTTTGGCGCAGCTTCAGTCCCGGAAATGGCGCATCTGAGTCTGCCGTGTCAGCCTTTCTGCTGCCGAGACTCTTTCAGGTTCTGGCGAGACTGAAAACAGCTTTTTATCAGCTCCAAAGGAAACATGGCTCTCAGCTCCGCTCCTCCACCGAACTTCTCCTGGGTAGAGCCTCAGAAAGTGGCTGGACTGGCTTTACCCTCGAGCCCGGAGCACTACCGGTTTCTGCTGCGCCACGGCATCCGGCATCTCGTGTGTTTGTGTGAGACCAAACCCCGGCATTACGACTCCTGTCCAGGACTGACCCTGCATCACATCGCCATAGTGGACTTCACTCCTCCTAGTTTGGCTCAGATCCAGAGATTTCTGTCCATCGTTGAAAACGCCAATTCCAAAGGAGAGGTAAGACTCAGTTTAGTACAGCAACATTCGTGATCGAGTAATCTATCGATCATTTTGCCGATTAATCGCATATTTATCTTTTTTAAGATAGTAGATATTTATACAACACAAAATCTCAAAATGCTTCACACAGGAAGATAAAACGTTGTGAAAATAAAATATTTTTCTTTTGAAAGCCTAGACCAAATATAAAATATATAAACAAAGAAGCCTTTAAAATGCTTAATCAAAAAAATCTAACAACATGACAAAAAAGCATGTAAATTGGTGTTTTCCTCAGGGTTTCGTCCAGCAAGAGGTCAGTAGAAATAATTTAAAATGAGTTTTCATGCAAATTGGCAACTAATCATTGCATATTCAGTAGGAACATTTTTAATCACTGATTTGTAATTCAGTAATCGTAACAGTGCTAATTCTACAACAATCGTACAACAATTCTCAAGTGCTTGCCGTCACAGTCACCTATATTTATGTGGTATGTTTAGTTCCATTATGGGTATTTTTCCTTTTCTTTTTTAACCTTATAGGGTGTCGGAGTGCACTGTATGCATGGACATGGCAGGACAGGGACCATGCTGGCCTGTTACCTGGTCAAGGTGAGGAACATCTCAGGAGTGGAGGCAATAAAAGAGATCCGGAAACTTCGCCCAGGGTCCATAGAGACAAAGGACCAAGAGCAAGCAGTGATAAAGTTTCAACAGTACCTCCGTGATACAGTCACTAAAGGTTAGGACACGGTGGACAGAGTTGTAGACAAAAATGTTTTTCTTTTTGGTAAGATTTACAGTGTAATGCAGATTTCTGTGTCAGGTACACTATTTTTTTTATAACAGTCCCATTGCCCCAGTAACAAAGCCATCATATTTTGCTAGAACAGTATTTTCTAACCCCAATACTGAAGGCCCATCTGTCCCGAGCATAAGGCCATCATGGGTGTGTTACAGCAGGGAAGACCTGAAAACTGTGCAGAGCTGAAGTTGGGAAACACTGTTCTACTGTATGCTGATACTGAACAAACACAATTCTGCAATACAGGTTTTCAGAGGCGCACACCCACGTAATGTTTGGACCACACCTGTAAATGAGGGAAGCTGTGGCTCTGTACAAAACATCCTATTATTCATGTTCAAATGGACACTTGACACAACAGTCACTACAAGCTTTATGTACATATTTCTTTCAGAGTTGAAGCACCATGTAGGTGTGGTTTCTGTTTGCGCTGTGTTTTTGCATTCCATCTACTCAGGTCATTTCATCCTTTATGCAGGTACATACATTAAGACAACATTTCACTGATGTAAATGAAATACTTTTTTTTTTGTTTATTGTCTTTTCTCTGGAAATACCACGGTTAACGTATCATTTGGGTGCAGTATTCTGTGTTGAGGCTGAGCCTTCATGAGATACTACATCTGACTAAAAGCTTTTTCTCCAGCTGCAGATTAAAGGGGAATTTTCAGCATTTAAATACATTTCTGAATAATAGAAATGTTTAAATGTCAACAACTGGTCTGATGTGAACATCTCCGTTCTGGAGAATCTTAAGCCAGAATTGTTCAGTGGTGGTGATGTGAACCAGACGTCTGAAGCATTTAATGCCTCTAAAAGCTCCTTCACAGAAAGTTATTACATGAAATGGTTATGATGTCTGAGACATTGTTTCATAATATTGAGAAGGTTTTAGCCTAAAATCTATTTTCTAAAATCCATTCATGGCACTGAGGTACATGCATGGAGTTCTAATGCAAAATAGTCTGCAAAATAAACCTTTTTTTCAGATTTACCACTTTCACCATAATCATTACATAAAACAGACAAAACATGTAGGTTCACAGATTATTTGAAAGGTAAACAAAATATTTTGCCACTGTCAGAAAAAAAAAAATAAAAAAATCTCCAAAAAGTAACTTTACAGGAGAAGGAAAAACATTCGTAACTTGTAATGGAAGTGAATGGAAAAAGATTTTTTTCTCAAGTAATTTTGGACCATTTCTTTGGGTCTGTTCATTATAAAATTAACACAATGCAAAGGGTAGCTGGAGGGTACGCATCAGCAGTAATTTGTATTGTAGACACTGTGACCCCTGGTTCCTGTCACTACCACTGTAAAGAAAACCTGCGTTGACTTGGATTGACTGTTTACATCTAAATGATTGAATTATGCAGATTATGCAGTCTGTGGAGGGATTGTCAAATGAACCCAGGACAGTGTCTGTAAACTCAACCTTATATGAAGTGCCCAGTACGAAAAAAATGCATCCTTACCAAAGCAGTCATTTTTTTTTTGTAAAATCTGCATTTATTTATGATTTACAAAAGCCTAACATGTAACAACCATTAAAATGAATCAAATAAATTCTTCTTTAACCTAAAATGGAAAACATGACTGTGTGTATACATGTCAGTTTACATTTTTGAAGCAGAAAAAAGAGGATATTGACACTATAGCCGTATGCATCGTTTTAAATTTACAAAGGTTGTGTAGTCTGGAAAAATTATTTACACATACACCAGCAAGTCTAGACTGTCAATGGAGATCTACAACCACATCTTCAATGCAAATATAATCTCCAATACTGTAGTGAAGGGAAGTCTAACTAAATTCAGAATGAATCTTTATAACAATCAAGGCTGTTCTGTCAAAACAAAAATACAAAAAAAAGGGATACACAAATAATTCTCTGATGTAAATGCTTTTCATGGATCAATTTCCAACAGAGACTGTCCAGACTTTCATAAATAGAAAAGAATGTGTTGCAAGGTTCAAATAAATACCTGCTAAGCAAAAGCGAGGCGTCCATGTCTCATTTCCTTTTTAACTCTTTTTCTCAAAATCACTTCTTTAACGTATGCTACCGTCAGACTGGTCATAACTACATCGGCTGGTCAGTGTCACTCAACTATGCAAATGTCCATTCAGTTCAATCAAGTCCATTCAGTAATAGTACAAAACTTAAAAGTGGGAAAATAGAAAACTCTGAATATTAGAAAACTCAAACTCCCTCTGGAATGACATGTTCACCAACAGTCAAAATAAAGATTCTGAAGCCAGAGGAAGACTGACATTTGCAAATCATGCTGACGAGGTTTCGTGAACTCCGTCCAATGAACTGTGTTTACATAGACACAACAGAGGTGACGAAAGTCCGACAGTGTATGTGAATGTATAAGTGAACCAGCAGCTCTATGTTTGGAATCCATTAACATGGATGTGCACTTTACTTGAGAGCTACAAATCAAGTCTACTGTGACCAGCTTCATCCCATAAATTTCACTACTGGGAGAGTGGACGTAGGATATTGGTCTGTTCTAAATCAGCACTTGTAGTCAGAAGGAAAATAAATGTGGAAATATGCAGATAGAGCATAAAACACCACCATAAAATGTCCCATGTTGCTGAATGATATTTAAAAAAAAATAAAATGTGAAGAGAATGCATCATTTTGTCTGAACGTTTCACAAACAAAAATGTCATTTCAAATTTATCATTAATATAATTAAAACATTTTTACAGTGCTTTATTATAATATATCTTTGATACTTTAGAGGGAGTCGCTCTTATTGCAACAATGCTTCTAAATTATACTTACTGGTCCAGTTATTCATTACAAATCAAAAGGAATTTTGGAAATCAGTGGGAAGCTCCGGCTGGATTTAATTTTTTTTTCTAAGCTCCAGTGCTGGGTCAGGGATTGGTGTATAGTCCGGCTAAGGCTGCTGGCTACTGTTTTGTGTTCAGTTCATTTTCCAGCTCCATCAGCTTCCGAGAGGCCTTCACTTTGTTTGAAACTTCCTTTCCCTGCGAGAACAGTCTCTGACGCTCCTTGAATGTGAGACTCTCAGGGGCTCCGCCAGTGGAATTCTCTTGCTCTTGACCACTGAAATGAGACAAATTCTTTCAACAACCGAACAGATCAAAAGTTTTAGAAGCTTCCAGAATCAGACATTTTAGCACATCCTTGATAAAGAAGCTAAGGGACTGTGTTTAAGGCTGCCCTCCAGAAATGAGGTGCTTCAGCTGAAAATATTCCAAACCTCTGTGGTGCCAATCAAACTGTAAAAGCCACTCACCCTTTGGTCCATTTCTCTCGTGGGTCCTTGAAAACTTCTCCTGATCCTACAACTCCTGCTGTTGTGTTTCCAGTGTATGAATTAAATCCTGTTTTGGTTTTGGCAGATGGTGAGAAATAGAACACAGTGAATTTCACAGCGAATATCTGATGTCTTATTTTGAGCGAATGGCAATTCCAACCCTTTAATGCGTTACAAAGCTGCTGGGTTCAAAATGGTATGTGGTTTGTCTGGACAAAGGACGTTTCTGCTACTGTATATTACTGTAGGGATGCACAATGATACTGAAATCATGTCAGTATCAGCAGATAAGTGTTTAAAACACATGAAAAAGAAGAATCAGCAATGGACAGATGTTTAGATTTGACTAATATTTCAAACCTATATTTGATGACTTATTTTAGTCTAGTAGAGCAGAACATTAGGTGATACTGGCCTACCCTGCTAAATATCTTCTGTTTTATTTTAGTTAATTTGTAACACCACAGAAATACATGCTTTACTTCTCCGTAATGATAATTCAGGTAAACGTAGTTCCAATTTGTACATATATAAATATTTACATATTGGCATCATCGGCAGATGCAGTCATATGCAAAAATTTTTAACACCTCCAGGCAAGTTACACACTTTATTGATTTAAGTGAAAAAGCCATTCTGTTTGGTGATCTAACGTCAATATAGCATTTTTCAGCTAATTTTAGTGAACAATTTATATTTATTTGCTGAGTTTAACGTGTTGCGGAAAAAGTAAGATTTTTGGAGATCTATTCGCAGAAATGGAATATAGTATACAAAAACTGTAACTATAAATCGCTGTATTTTCATTAGCTTAAAATGAGCCCTTCATATCTACAAACGGAGTGGGTCCCCTTCCAATACGATGTGTCATCATGTTTCTGTATTACCCCAGAACAGACAAACCAAACACTGCCAGTGCTGGCTAAACCATTTTGTGTTGTGAGAAGTTTGAGAACCTAAATTTTGACAAATGGAGGATTATACTTATTATTTAGCACAAGAAAGAGCAAGGGAGGCTAAATCATCAAAGTGGAAATATGAAAAAGCAAAAAAAAAATTGGAAGAGGTGACGGCAGAAAACCTGACTGCCACTGTAGAATCTGCAACCTCACTGCTAGATGCCACTACATATTACATACTGCACTTTTAGACCACAGTTAACATATCTGTGCATCCCTACTGTAGACACCCTAAATATTTAATAACATAAAACACAAATGATGACTCTCATATAAAATCTTGTAAAGATTACAATAAAAACTTCCCAGACTGCATTAAAGTTAAACCCAGCAACTTTTGGTAACATTTCAACAATAAGCTGCATTTACCACAGACCAAAAGCTTAATGGCTAGAAAAAGCTTGTTGGGTTAGTCCTGAAGCATTCCAAAGCACATCTGAAGCAGGGTCTGTGGATCAGCAGGCTAAGGTGGAGGTCAAGCAGCAAGTGTGAACCTCATTTTCACTGCATGGGGTTGGTTTCTGGACACACTGACTTAAAAGTTAACTAAAAAGCTTCTCAATTGACCATGCTATTTGGCCTAAAACTGGGCGTAAAAGTGAGGCTTTATTTAGGCATGGCTAGTGTTTCTCTGAGCTCCACTCTGTTGCTCTAGTGCCTCTGAAGTGCAGCACCAAATGAGACTCAACACCACTGGCCTTTGCAGTGACCTCCACCTCTGACCTACCGAAGGAATTGCCTAGCAGGCTCACGTGTCCGTGTGTCTGTCTGTCTGTCAGGGTAAGGAACTGCGTGGTCTTCCTACAACCTGGGAACTCAACCTTATCCCATACAGCAGTTGTGGTTTTGGCGACCTCAATCCAAATGCATGTTTTTTTTGAATTTCTTGAATAATGAAATGAACTGGGAGGTGGGGGGGTGCAGACACAAACACATTGACGTGTGTGAACCGGAAAGCCACTCTGCTGGCAGAGGACAAAGTCTTCCAGAGCGAAAATGGCTCTGCTAGCTCAGCTACAACTGGGCTGGGTCTTTTCAGTAAGTCCTTGCTTAAGTTAAAACCACAAATTGAGAAACCACTGTAACAAAACAGGGAAAGCAGAAAAGCGCTTTCAAGTTTACAATTAGGGTCCACTGTAAATATATAATGTGGATTATGTGATGCTAAATAATCTAATAAAAAGCCACTGAGAAAGCTTTATCCAGCCCAGAAAGCCATTTAGCTCAGTGGTCTTTGCTCAACCAGCAGAGAGATGGACCTCCATGCATTGGAGGTGATGAGGAGCCTCAGGTGCTAGACGTCACCTGAAGCTTCGGGGGGTGGGTGGGGTCTGTGAAGGAGGGAGGAGAGTGCAGAAGCCAATGATGATGCGATACATACACAAACACAGAAAAGGACAGCCAGACAGTTCAGAAAAGAGCAGGGACAGCAGGCCAGAGTGAGAACTGCAGCACATCTGCAGCCATGTGAAATGTAGAAGAATGTATAATCATTGTATATCATGAGAGGTTACATTTTACAATTTATACACTAGTGATTTTTTTTAGTAACCTGAGATATTAAAATGATATTCTCCAGCATTTTTCTTTTTCCTAATATATCTCCTGTATATGTAGCTATGATAACCACATTCAGTAATATCCTTGTACTTACAGAACAGAAAATCTACTTACAAAAAATATATATATATCATAGTGTAAGTCAAATGACAGGTGCTTTTAGTTCTGCCCACTGGCTTTTATAAAAGGTGTCAACAGGTTTTCCATTATTTCAGTAAATAATGCACTGAAATTACTGCCTGTGGTAATCGACTCTATGCTGCAGCTACTTAAAATGCTGGAGTATTCTTTTAACACTTATAATCTTTTCTGTTTGTTTATATCAGGCTTCAGCAGTGTTGCAGACAAAGAAGAATGGATAGAATGCTTTGGGAGATGGACAGCAAAGCACGGGCAATAAAACAGCAATGGATACACCGCCAGATTAAACTCAAGAAAGCTCTGAGCAGAGAGGGATGCTGCCAGCGGGATTTGTTTCATTTACTGAGGTGGGAAAGCAAGGTTAGTGATTTGTCCCTCAATTAGAACAAATGCAGCTCAGATCATAGCAGGCCCCACTGTAGGTTAGATTAGCTGTGTGCAGGTTACATGCAAGGTCAGATACACTGGGCAACTTCTGTTAGACCGGGTTGCATTACAGGCTTTTTTTATGCATGGCATTTAAAGTATGTAGCCTAGTTTAAAGCATCTATTTGCATATAATGGACTAAGAAAATATGTACATAAAAATCAGATTAATTCAAATTTATTGAGAAATTAAGCCAAGATAAATAGTCCTATCAATTAATAAGCTCAAGATTAAAAAAAAATAAAACTGACAAATATTTATGACTTTTTTACTACTGACATAATAAACATTTCCACTAAGAGGCGCCAGAGGCCCAAGAAAAACATGACTAGCTCTGCAATGGGGTCACAACCAAATGAGAGTTAAAGTAAAGTATTGCGTCTTTAAACAGCCATGCATAAAAAGTGCGTGCCTCATGTGACAGATCTTTTCCCCTTTGCCAGTGACAAGAAGCCAGTGTCTCGTTCCCTGAGCTGATACTGGACGAGCGAGCGTCTGCGGAGGCCTGAGCCTACCCCAAAGCAAACCACACACACATGGAACGGCCGGCGAAACCAACAGTACTCGGACTGAATTTGGAGCGCACAGCGAATCACGGGCTCTAATCGATTGCTTTTACACCGTCAGGTTGATTGGAGGAAGAGGAATTGTGGGGGTGGAACAGGGAAGACAAGAAATTTGGACAGGTGATCGAAAAACCAAAACAAATCTGATTAACTACTGAAAAAAAGGAGGGAAGACAACAAAGTGATGGGAAACAAGAAAGGACGAATCACGCAGGTGACTTGGCTAAAAGCTCTATGGAATTTATACAGAGAGAGGAGGAAAAATGGAGAGCATAGTCTCTCACTGGAAAATGGAAACAGGAAAACGGACAAAAAACACTAAAAAAAGAACAACAAAAAAACCCCAAAAACATAAACGGGAAATGAACCAATAAAAACGGAGGAGGAGTGGGGCAGATGGGGGGCCTCCTCTCTCTCCTTGGCGTCTCTACCTTTCGGGGTGGCTGATGGAATGAAGCTGGGTTTGGCGGGAGGGGGAGGGGCTTGCCCTGCCTTGGGTGCGGTACTGTTGGCATTGGCCGCCGGGGGCAGCTGGAATGAGCCGGACAGAAAGATGCCGTCTGAGAGCGGGCGGGGCTTGCGCGCGGTTGGAGGAGGCGGCTGGGGCTTTGGGGCGGCCAGGAGGTCGCCATATGACTTCCGGGTGGCCGAGAGCTTAACCTGACCTGCTAAGCCTGCGTCCTCCTCCTCCTCGTCATTGTA